TTACCTAAACTTGACCAATCAGGAGCCTTAGGATGACATTGATACTCTTACCTAAATTTGACCAAGTAGGAGCCTGGTTTGACATTTGATACTATTATCTAAATTTGACCAATCCAGTGCCTGGTTTTACATTGATACTCTCACCTAAATTTGACTAATCATGAGCCTGGTTTTATATTGATAGTCTTACCTAAATTTGACCAATCATGAGCCTGGTTTTATATTGATAGTCTTACCTAAATTTGACCAATCAGGAGCCTGGTTTTATATTGATAGTCTTACCTAAATTTGACCAATCAGGAGCCTGGTTTTATATTGATAGTCTTACCTAAATTTGACCAATCAGGAGCCTGGTTTTATATTGATAGTCTTACCTAAATTTGACCAATCAGGAGACTGGCCTTTACAATGATTGAAAGCAAGTCAGTAATGGAAACAAAATATTTTTTAGTTTCATTATATATGTCCATACAGTCATGTCAGATATTGGAGACTTAAATCATGCGTCTCATTTTTCTAAGAATCACAACATCAAAATGATAAAAATTAAGTCTGAGTGACTGAAATTGGTTTATCCACTTAAACACCTAATGTTACCATGTGTATCACCATATAAGGGTCCATCTTATTGTACTGTGGCATCTTTAGGCTGAACTGGCGTCTCCTCTGATGTTTTTATGGTATTTGATTGATGGCGAAATTGACTAGAGAGTAGTGTGTCGGTAGCTTCAGGAGAGACCTAGTTTGTCAAGTAAATATTCTAATGAATATGAATTGGATCACTACACACATACTGTCAATGCTATGTAGTATACTATCAGAAATTCAGCATGGTTGATGATGTAATGGGTCAAAAACAGTTGGAATTTTATTTTTGCCGTCATTAATAATTTAGTCCCAGCAGCCAGCTGTGTTTCGAAATAGGAAAAAAAAAGGGTTTTAAATTGTTTGTTTTGAAATTGAATTCTATGTATGATATATTGGCTTTGTCATGTTCTGTAATCGATCTTTATTCAAAAAATGTTTTTGTAATCTTTCAAACGGAAGATTGGAGTGAAGTTTTGGTTTGGTTTTGCTTTACATCCTATAAGCAGGCATGATATTGAGTAGAAGTGTGTACAAATCTGTTTTGCTTGATTTCAGAAGATAGTTGTGGGTCATTAAGTTAGATCATTGCTCTGATAATTAAGCCAATATTTTTTGATAAGCCCACCCATAACCATTACTTACAACAATATTTTCTGGATTATAAGCTGCACCTTTTTTCCGTGATTTGGGCATGCAGCTTACATACCAGTACAGCTTATGTGTGGTTAAAAAAATTTGGCAAAATGAAGAAAAAAAAATAGAACACAGGAAGCGTACACCAGTACGAGACGGTCCTTAGTTTTTATTAGTACATGCCCGTCATGTGTTTGTGACTGTAACAGATCGTCTAGAACTTCATTAAACACAGGAAGCGTACTACTACACCAGTACGAGGCGGTCCTTAGTTTTTATTAGTACATGCCCGTCATGTGTTTGTGACTGTAACAGATCGTCTAGAACTTCATTAAACACAGGAAGCGTACTACTACACCAGTACGAGACGGTCCTTAGTTTTTATTAGTACATGCCCGTCATGTGTTTGTGACTGTAACAGATCGTCTAGAACTTCATTAAACACAGGAAGCGTACTACTACACCAGTACGAGACGGTCCTTAGTTTTTATGAGTACATGCCCGTCATGTGTTTGTAACTGTAACAGATCGTCTAGAACTTCATTAAACACAGGAAGCGTACTACTACACCAGTACGAGACGGTCCTTAGTTTTTATGAGTACATGCCCGTCATGTGTTTGTGACTGTAACAGATCGTCTAGAACTTCATTAAACACAGGAAGCGTACTACTACACCAGTACGAGACGGTCCTTAGTTTTTATGAGTACATGCCCGTCATGTGTTTGTGACTGTAACAGATCGTCTAGAACTTCATTAAACACAGGAAGCGTACTACTACACTAGTACAAGACGGTCCTTAGTTTTTATGAGTACATGCCCGTCATGTGTTTGTGACTGTAACAGATCGTCTAGAACTTCATTAAACACAGGAAGCGTACTACTACACCAGTACGAGGCGGTCCTTAGTTTTTATTAGTACATGCCCGTCATGTGTTTGTGACTGTAACAGATCGTCTAGAACTTCATTTATAATTGTATACAGGATGATTTCAAAATTGAAATAAAAAAAAGACTCTCCTGGATTAAATGAATCATGCCTTTTAATATGAAACATGATAATGTCTTCTGAACTTTTACAGTTAATTTGAAGCCATAGCAGAAGTTTACAATAGCCTTTTGCGTCCTGGGATCGATAGGTCAACATCTTATAGGTCAAATTGTAGGATCACCACCATGCCTGTTTAAGATATGAATGGCTTGGTGTAATTACAAGAAGAAATAATATGGGACAGTAAGAATTTGTGCGTGTACAATCTGTTTAGACACCCCAATCAAACGAGTTCAATATTTTCTATTCACATTGTTTGAAATATATAAAAAGAATAAAGGATTATCTGTGGAAAATTCATTTGAAAACTTCATTAAATGTTTCTCTGATAATCTTGATAAATTGTCCTCCATTGTCTGTTATATCAACAACTTTGGTCAATATAAAGGTTACCTTTTCATCAGGAAGGGTGCTGCTTACATTCCGGTGCAGCTTATTTGTGAATCTAATGGAAAAAATCAGTGAAAATTGGCTCTGTGGCTTATGTACCAGTGCAGCTTATAACCCGGAATATAGAGTATTATCAGTGGTATAAAGTCTGTTCATATTACAGACACATGATTGACAATTTTGAGAGCCAAATGTTTTATTGTCATGTACCATCCCCGAGGTCCTTCTCTTGTTGCTGGATCTGAAATGAAAAAGATGTGACATCAAACTAGGTACATTTATGCCATTTATCACAGCTCTAAATTATCATGTTAACACAGAGAACAACTAAGTCCAGACAATTTGACATTTCAATATAATATCAAATAAAATTTCAATCTTAAAATGGAGCGGTTTTGTAGACATTCTGACTATATTTTTGTATTTCCTGTCTTGTCATAGTTAAATTTGAAGCCAGATTCTTCGATGATTCAGTTTTCTGAAGTACCTGTATAGGCAGATATATATACAGCCATGAAATATTCATTATGTAACAGTGTAAGTCGGAGCAGTACATACTAAGTGGGGACCTAATAGGATTATTTCCTGACTGTCTGGAAAAACAGAAAAAATCCTTTTAAGAAGCAATCACTGTAATTTTGTTGATTTCAAGTTTGTCGTAAGGACCTTATAGATACTACACTACACTTGGACTAGTCAGTCTTGTTGCTTGTGTATGTAGTAACATGTACTGTTAAAAGACTATGGGAGAAACTCATGATCAAGTCCTCTATTGGAGGTGTTTGGTAGGTATCATTTATAGGTAGTTATAGTCCTCTATTGGAGGTGTTTGGTAGGTATCATGTATAGGTAGTTATAGTCCTCTATTGGAGGTGTTTGGTAGGTATCACATATAGGTAGTTATAGTCCTCTATTGGAGGTGTTTGGTAGTTATCATGTATAGGTAGTTATAGTCCTCTATTGGAGGTGTTTGGTAGGTATCACATATAGGTAGTTATAGTCCTCTATTGGAGGTGTTTGGTAGGTATCACTTATAGGTAGTTATAGTCCTCTATTGGAGGTGTTTGGTAGGTATCACATATAGGTAGTTATAGTCCTCTATTGGAGGTGTTTGGTAGGTATCACATATAGGTAGTTATAGTCCACTATTGGAGGTGTTTGGTAGGTATCATGTATAGGTAGTTATGGTCCTCTATTGGAGGTGTTTGGTAGGTATCACATATAGGTAGTTATAGTCCTCTATTGGAGGTGTTTGGTAGGTATCACATATAGGTAGTTATGGTCCTCTATTGGAGGTGTTTGGTAGGTATCACATATAGGTAGTTATGGTCCTCTATTGGAGGTGTTTGGTAGGTATCATGTATAGGTAGTTATAGTCGTCCTCTATTGGAGGTGTTTGGTAGGTATCACATATAGGTAGTTATGGTCCACTATTGGAGGTGTTTGGTAGGTATCACATATAGGTAAGAAGATAAGAAATTTGATTTAAGTTAGGATTTGGCTTTAGCTCTTTAGACATGTTTACTTGTTTATACAGATCTTACATACAAATTATTGATACACGATTAATTAACCTGGCATACAAATATGTCCAGATCACGTTTAAATACACAACTGTACTTGTAAGGATGCACTTCAGTTTAAAAATAGATATGTGTTGATGTAAACAGGTTACAATTTTAATTCAGTTAAAAGGTACTGATTTTCAAAAAGTAATTGTTTGTCACTATGACATGTCAACAAAGAGACAATTTAATCTGAAAATCCTATTTTGTATGTGAATACCTGTACTGCCTTCCTGTTTTTACACCTGTATCACATTGTCAAAGTGTCACGGTCGATTGAACACCTGTAGCATTACTTGTGTTGTGTAGATTGTCAAGGCTATTTAGTGTGACTCCATTACTACCACTAAGATAGGCTGTATTCAGTTTTACCCACCATTGATAATGTTAAATCTTTAAATGGAGAACACAGGTGTTTCCCTATGTACCTGGTCTCGTGTCTTTCCAATTTAGATGTAAGTATTTATAGTCAAGGAAATAAGATTGTAACATTGACTACACATTTCATCACCAGGTGCCTGTACAATAGCTGAGTAGATGTGTGAATTGTCAGGGGTTTCCCTCGCTACAAATTTAGGAAGTTTACTGATGTCATTATTTCTGTCTCGTCATTATGATTGTGTCCAGCCTAAACATACAGTAAAGAAGTTTATTTATGTCAAGACATGCTCTTCCGTGGTGCTAGCATCTTGTGTCGTAATTAATGTTACCTGGTGAGATACTACCTCTGCTGTAAGTAAGCCATAGGTACATAATGTCACCTTCCTGTTACAGGACCCACCAGGACAACGCTGGAGTGCTAATAGCAGCCCCGGGTCCCAGAGACGATCAAATGCCTCCCTGGATAGTGTAGCCTCCTCTGTTGTAGAGGAATCAGCCAAGTAAGTCTGCATGTAGTATATGTCACTATGAGAACATGAATATGAGAGTAATGAACAGATGATATGTATTAGATCTGAATTAATAACTCTCTTGTCTCCATGGTTACTAGGTTTGTGAAATTATTTTCAGAGACAGAGGCTACCTTGATTGAGTCCGATTATTTCTAGTGTATCTTTGCTATGAAGAATTATCTAAGTGTTAGTATAGATTATTTCTGTTCGATATATATTAAGGTTTTCTTCATCTTTCATATTTTAGACATTTTCTTTATCTTGCTTTCTTACAAATACAGCAGTTCAGATTATCTTATGCATTATCTTTGTATCTCAATCTTAGATTATTTTTGTTTGGAATATCTTAATTAAGATCTTTATCATAATTGTCTTAATTTTTGTTTGTTTGTCTGACCTATCTTACCAGTAGTTCAGATTATTTTAGATAAGATAATCTTAATTTATCTTAGACCAGATTATCCAGATAATCTCAGTCAACATTTCTTAGTAGTAAGACCTTCTATGGTAAAAATATAGGTCACCATTACTATTATTAGATAGAAATTGACAGAATTATTGAAGTCACTAATCATCTAATACCTGCATTTCATAACCTATACTGAGACCTTCAACTTACTTAACATACACTTAGCATACATTTCTCATGGACCTACCAGCTCCTGAAACAGGCCTAATCAGTCTAGATTTTTCTCTACACCTAGAGCTTCATACAACTTTAGGATGGAAAGATATTTGTATTATCTGTCTTGATGAAGAACATACTTGAAACATTCGATTTACACAATGAACAAAAATGTGATTTGCAGAGGGCAATGTTGAGGAAAGGATGGGGAGGAATAATACTTGACATCAAAACATGTAGAATTAAGTATGTGTATAAATGTGGTATATTGTTGGTAGATAACAGAGTATGGTATATTGTGGGTAGATAACAGAGTATGGTATATTGTGGGTAGATAACAGAGTATGGTATATTGTTAGTAGATAACAGAGTATGGTATATTGTGGGTAGATAACAGAGTATGGTATATTGTGGGTAGATAACAGAGTATGGTATATTGTTGGTAGATAACAGAGTATGGTATATTGTTGGTAGATAACAGAGTATGGTATATTGTGGGTAGATAACAGAGTATGGTATATTGTGGGTAGATAACAGAGTATGGTATATTGTGGGTAGATAACAGAGTATGGTATATTGTTGGTAGATAACAGAGTATGGTATATTGTGGGTAGATAACAGAGTATGGTATATTGTGGGTAGATAACAGAGTATGGTATATTGTGGGTAGATAACAGAGTATGGTATATTGTGGGTAGATAACAGAGTATGGTATATTGTGGGTAGATAACAGAGTATGGTATATTGTTGATAGATAACAGAGTATGGTATATTGTGGGTAGATAACAGAGTATGGTATATTGTTGGTAAATAACAGAGTGTGGTATATTGTAAGTATTGTTGTACTATTGTTGGTGCATCAAGACAGAAAGATTTATTATTGGTAGATAAAAACATTTTGGTATGTAGTTCATAAAGAGTGGGTTGTATATTGTTGGTAAGTAAAGACAGAGTGGTGTAGTGTTCAGAGGTCAAGATCTTTAGGTAATTATTATGCCCTTGGGTGGTTTATTGTTTTTGTGCTGTCTGTTGTCAACATTAATCTTGCGCATTACTGTTGCACTGTTAGAGGTAGGGCTTTCATACCTGGCATGTGTGATCCTTGTGACAAGACCTTTCTGGTGGTACCAAAATATTTTACCATGTGACTTTTCCCTTTGACTTATATTTGAAAGTTTTTAACATTAGCCATAACCATTGCATCATAAAAGGTGTATGTCCTTCATATTTAGCATGTTTATTCCTTGTGACCAAACCTTTCTGGTGGTACCAAAATTGGTTACCATGTGACCTTGACTGTGACCTTTGACCTACGTTTGAAAGGGGGAAAATAATTACCACAGTGAAGACAAAAGTGTTTCTCAAAGTGTGCAAAAATTGCATGTAATTAACACATGCCTCACACAGTACAGTTTTGATGTACCACTTCAGAATTTTGTTACAACCGAGGGCATAGTGTTTCATGAAAACAACTTATTTGGTATGTGGTGTGGTAATTTGTTGATATAATGGAGATTTGGTGTATTTCAAAGGGAAAACAACACAGTATTTGCATAGGGAAGTTAACTTGCTGTCAGTTCAATGTTATTTTAGATTTTACTATCAGTCCATGTGATGGTAATGAGAAAATTGATAAACCAGGAAGTATGATGTGTTGTATATTTACATGGATCGCCCTGGACTGATACTATACACATAGGGATAAAAACATTTATCTCACTTAAAATACCTGTACAATGTACCTATCTGGTAAACATTGACAGACAAAGTATCAATTTGAATATAGGTTATGTAGATAATGCTAGTGGTTATGATTTTAATATTTATGACCAATAGAATAATAAAGAGTTGATTTTATGTTAACCTGTCATACCTTTACATGACACAATTGATTTTGGTGTATGAGTAAGGCTTTAATTACTGTAATACACAAATAACAACATACTTTGTCATATGCATTAGGAAAAGGTTTGGATTCTTTTATATCATCTTATTTGGTCAGTTAAGGACATTTCCCCTATATATGTGAAATCTATGCCTATGTGTTTCACATGTGCTTTTGGAAGGCTCTATTTGTTCAGGGTACCTCATTGTGATAGTGAGGAATTGATCCCAACTTTATAGTGTTATCACACTGAATTATCCTACTGAACTTAAGCAACACTGGGTCACATTTTATATTGATACTGGGCAAATCACAATATTGAATGTCAAAAGTAAGGATTAGGAACTTCCATATCTATAGACTGCAGTATGTCTCAGATAGGGTCAGAACCCAAGGCTCATTAACAATGATGCAGTGTCAAGGGACACATTAGGATAAAAAAAAAATGGTTATTTAGAAAGAATAGGAAAGATTAGACCCATAATTAATCACATGTTACGAATCATGTAATTAAGGACAAGGAGTGGTTAAATGATAGAAATTCACTAGTCATTGTGTGTCTTCTATTTGATTAAATCTCTGGCCATTTTAATACTGAATTACTGACATCCTAACAATTTTCACAATTTTCTGTTGATTTAGGCTGAGGCAAACCTTTGACAAAATCCTTTACTGACAAGATTTCTACTTCAGATTTAATCAAATAGGAAGATTCTGCAACAATTCATTAAAAAAACATATTCTTCAGGTATTTCGTAAAGTCTTACATCTAATGGACTTACTTGTGCTAACAGATTTTATTGAACTGATAAATCTATTGGGGTTGGTACATGAAGTTACAGAAAAACAACGGTGAAAGTTACAGAGAAACCTTACTTCCTCCTCACAGTCTACTCATACCCATACAAGTAGATGTGTTAGCCACATTTAGAAAGCAAACTGATTAATATTCTCCATTGCAGTTATGTCATACTAAAGACTGAAAGTGTTTACCATAAAGTAGGTAAATGTACTTCTGCCACAGTGTATATCTGTAGTATATCTTTATATGATGTATGATGATGTTCGTAAAACATGTGCTTCGCTAATGTCTATGCTGGATGATGGACTTAATATGATCTTGATTGCTCCATACAGATGAAATTTCATTGAATCTGTTCATAACTCATTCAGCATTATTGAGGCTATTGTTCAAAATGTTTTCTATTATTTGTTAAAGATATACATTTATATATATTATAGATACAGCTTCTGTTATAATTCAGCTTATAACTGAAAAACTACTTCTAAAATCTCATACACTAAAGAAACAATAGAAAGTAGATAATCTACTAAAGAAGTCTGTAAAGTGGCATGTAAGAATTCATTATCTGACAATTAAGGAGTTTAACAATAAAGCTCGTATTCATTAAATATACCTGAGCATTAATCCAATTGATTAATACATGGAAATGTAGATATGTTGCATATAAAAACTTTCTATAGTGAAAATCATTTATTTCTTTTATGAAATGTGTAAGACAGTCAATTTACTAACTTGAATCATTTTAACTCTTTCTTTACTTAAAATGCATGTTTCTGTTCATAGTTACAAGGTGGTAATAGTGAGTGGGGTCCCCCAGAAGATCCCTCTGGAGAAGACTTCCTCCATGGAGGTATGTATTCCAGTTTGTTACAGGTTTTGTTGCTATACGTAATTAATTACTACATTTTAACTGACCCTCTGACAGGTCAGATGTAGCTATAACATACAGGTATTAATATAGGTTGTTATGGGGAGGACTTATATACTAAAGACAGGTTTCTGAAAGGACCACAAAGAGAGTTATTGCCCCTTTTCAAAGTTTATCCCGTCCTGGACATATCTTACATTTAGATAATCCTCAATATGATTTCTAAATCAATATACATGCATATGAGAGTTCTGCTTGGAATTGTCATATACTAAAACAGTAACATACATCCCTTAATATATATATCTATGTCTTAATGCAGAGTTATTGCCCTTTGCACAGAGTTTGTCAGGAGGTAAATGACTATGGATTCCTTGCAAAACTTAGCCTTGCTGTTTTATATATTTGGTATAATAAGGATTTTTTTTATAAAACTAAATACCTGAAGCCTCTGTATTGAAAAGGTACAAATAAAATGTTTTCTGTTTGCTAGTCTGGAAATGTAATACTTCGACAGAAGAAAACCAAAAAAGTTGGTGAGTATCAGTTTGTTATGATAAAGAAAACAGTGTTTATAAGCATTAAATATAGAATAAAAGTAAAGTTTGTGAACATTATACATGTAACCCATGATGTTCTTAGTATCTGGCCTTATTTGACAAGAAAACATAATGGGCACATTATGATTTCGGACCACTAAATGTGTCTATTGTATATGCAGACATTCATGCATTCATTTTTGAGCACGCAGAATCTCCCAGTGAAAATTTAAAAAGTTGTCAAGTATACATAAATTTTGTCGGAAGTGATGTTTACGTCAACAATGATGAAAACATTGGTAAAAATATCTATAAATAAATTTGTTGACAAAATCAATGCTGTTTTTTGTTATGTGGTATTTTCTCGATTTTCTCAAAATGTTGATGAATTTTCCCAATTCAAAAGGCACAGGAGGTTAGTAAATAATGAGAACAAAAACACTGTAAATGTTTCTTTGTTAGAACATGTGGGCATGTTATCAAAATAACAAACACAAATTAGTGAAATGTCACAGATTTTACCTCCTGAAAGTATTTTATAAAGCTTAGGACTTCTCATCCTTAATGTGTTCCTTACTGATCAAATTCTAATACTTTGAATTATGTACTCTGTGACACTGTGACATTTTGTCACCTAAAGCATCCTGTACTGTATACTCTGTGACACTGTGACTTTTTGTCACCTAAAGCATCCTGTACTGTATACTCTGTGACACTGTGACTTTTTGTCACCTAAAGCATCCTGTACTGTATACTCTGTGACACTGTGACTTTTTGTCACCTAAAGCATTCTGTACTGTATACTCTGTGACACTGTGACTTTTTGTCACCTAAAGCATTCTGTACTGTATACTTGAGATTTCAGTGTCACACATTCTATATTCTGGTGATATCATTAGAAATACTGTGAAAGACCTTTAGGAGGTATAACCTCCTGATTGACATTGCGATGTGTAACCTTTGACCTCTTTCAGATCGGCGTGTGTCATGTAGAGACCTTGGAGAAGGTGACTGCCAGGGCTGGCTCTGGAAGGGGAAGAATCGCGGGGATGGACCACTGACCCGCAACTGGGTCAAACGTTGGTGTGTCCTTAAACATCAGAACATGTTCTTCTTCAAGGATAAGGAGGTATGGCTATACTGGGTTTTACTTCAACACACAAGGAGAAAGTTACATTACAAGTTGATTCCACTTAAAGGAGACAAAAAAATTGAACATGTGAATAATTGAATGTTTATAAGTTTACCAAAAGTCTACATTTTGTCTACATCAGCAATTCAAATGATTATTCACCTGTAGAATTTTTACGTAGGTGTGATAATACACCAATACCACTTAGTACTAGGGCTTTGTGCATTAATTGATAAATATGTGTAATTTTAGTGGTATATAATTACCTGTTAATGACCTTATAGGATATGAAGGCAGAGGGAGTTATACACTTACCAGCTTTCTTAGTGGCCCCTGTATCAGAAAAGGAGATCAGGACAAAAAAATTGTAAGTAAACTTCCATCATCGTGTTTACTTTCTAGCTAGAATCCTCTAGGCATTTTCCTCACAAATTGTTCTCAAATCTTAATCTACATCATTCATCTCCACTATACAACAGACTAATGTTAGTAGACAGAGGACCAGGTTTGTGTTGATCTTTCTATGGTACAACTCATCAGTTCTGTGTCCACAGACATATCATTACTGTTTAGGTTATTATATACCGGTACTTTGTTTTTAGGTCATCTGACCTGAAGGGTCAGGATTGGACATGACACATGAACCTATACACAGTGTTAATTCCTTGATGTAAAGTTGATGTAGGGGCCAAGTGAAAAGAAATGAAAAAGTTAAGAATATAATTACATGTATTTGCATGTAATGAAGAATATAAAATTGCTTATTAGATTGTTTTATTGATTGAGGCCAATTTTTCTACCTTGCTCATAATGTCCTAGTTATTTTATGGAAGTTGGAAGCGAACAGTGTGCTTATATATATAGTATAGCTGGTTCTTTGACAGGAATTATTTTGTTGCGATTTCGCAGTACATAAACGTGATGGCAGAAACTTTATGAAATAATAAGACACATGTGTTTTTCTGTGAAATGATGAGACGTGTGTTTTTTTCTGTGAAATAATGAGATGTGTGTTTTTTTCTGTGAAATAATGAGGCGTGTGTTATTTCTGTGAAATATTGAGATGTGAGGTTTTTTTGTGAAATATTGAGACACTTTGTGTATTAGATGTCCTGATACGTCCAGACTGCAGAATTGTTTTGTGTTAAAATCTAATATAATTGTTTCATAATAACATCATGAAATTTTGATCCCTGAGAATTACTAGCTAAATAATAAATTGTCCTGTCTTGAATTATCATCACTGCAGTGAATTAATTCTACAAGAATTTCAGTTGGAACTGATGAAAAAGACATGTTTGAGAATACTTTGAATGAGTTTTGTATTTAAGGGATCACCATTACTATTATAGATACCCTATTGGACAATTTTACAAACTGACTAGGGAGACATTCATATATCTGACAGATATTTTCAAACATAAGATTTGAATACATTTATAATTACTTCTGTTTAAAAAATAGGAAAAGTATGAGCAATATTTGCATTTGGCTGCATAACTGGATAGAGTTGTAAAGTACAATTATAGTTTTATTAAGAAATTAGAAATGATAGTTTTAATAACATTAGACATTATAAGTGAATGACACATTTATGTAGTTTTATCATCTTGTTTACTAATGCTTTCTGCCAGCACTGGGTAAGTACTGGAGTATCCAATATCACGGATTTCATTACAGTTTGATTTTCTTTTCATTCCACATGAGCTGTTTATAGCCTGTTCACCATGATATGTGATGGCAGACAAATGTTCAGCATAGTTCAACTAAGGAAATACTTAAAAAAACAACAGGATGGGCAACTGATTATTATACTTCCCAAAGGGAGAGCATATAGTAGCTGCTTTTTCTGTCCAGGGGTCCGTCTGTCCGCCTATCATAATTTAGGCATGATTTAAGAGTTATTGCCCTTTGTTATTTTTTATACTTAAATTTTGTCAAATCTAGCCATTTTGGATTTTTTTTTTTGGTTGGTAAATATTTCAAATACTGAAAACCTTCACATGCCTTGATGCAGTTATGTCAGCCATTTTGAGTTCTCTATTGCTTAATTTGAATTACTGGATTTAATGTTTTAAATTTGCCCTTAAAATACTGACATTTGGTAATATTTTCTTTAAAACTCTTACTGTCCCATACTTTAATTAAATTAAATGAAGTGAATCTTTTAAGATAATCAAACATGTATTGAGTATTTTCCTATATTATTCTGTTCATGTTCATTTTAAAATAATTCAATGAACAAAAGATATTTTCTTCAGATGTTGCCACCAGACATATCATGTTTATCAGGCTTTGAACAATACAATCAATATTTTTGACATAGAAATATTTCCATTTTGTTCTGCGGGAAAAAGGTTTGTAAGGTGGAATTGGAAACAAAGGGCTGACATTTGTTTTATCATTATACATTTTGTTTTCATTCAGTTTTTGATGTCATGAGATTTTAGTACAAGTTACATTTGCCAGGTATTGTAATTATGCATGTAACTCATATCAAATGGAAGAGATAAGTCTAGGTTCAACAAAATGCAAAAGTATTCAGAACAGGTTTATAAATTTCCAATTTGCATGAGAAATTTTTATATTTGTATTGGATGCTGTACACAATTTTATATATTATATTTTTTAAATGTTTCTCATACTTTTGGTGAAGCAGAACTCAATACATATCATTTTTTATGTTCAGTTATGACCAATCTATTTCAGACTCGGGCGTTCAGTTCTATCCCCTGTGACACATAATGTTGGATACAGTTCCACTGTCTCAGTAGTCATTTACATGTTAATTAAATTCATTGATTGCAGTAAAAGTCTTCCTCTCACCTTGTTTGATAGTATACTGATATTTTGACACTGTGTGGCAATTATAGCACTATGAACTTTTACTGGCACCATTAACACTTACTGTACCAGGCCTATACAATCTGATTCTTCATAAGTCTCTGTTGATGTCATGGTGTGGGGTGGGGGGATGTTACCAATGTCTGTCCTAGACTGAAGGGATTTCAATCAAACTTTACATTAAAGTAACCTGTGACATTGCCATGGATGAGTTCATGTTTCAGGTTCCAAGATCAAAGTCACCATTTCTTTTTATAGAAAATCATTAAACCTTTCAGTTTCACTCTTAAGTGACTTGGATTCATTTCTCAAAGTGGTATTGATCAAACCGTAAACTGTAAAAGTTCGAACAATATTAAAAGATTACATCAAATGACCTTGTGTTATAAGGTTGTGGTGAATATATCTAGATTCAAACATGATTGTATACATGAGAGCATTGACGTTCATGTCAGACCTACACTTGTTTTATGTATTGGATTATTTGCATATTTACTGTGTTTTCCTTCTTGATATTCACTTAAATCACACAAAAAATACCTACCCAAACTACAAATGAATCGCCTATCTACTGTTACCACAAGTCAATGAATCTTCTTAAAAAAATACCTACCTAAGCCTATCTACTGTTACCACAAGTCAGTGAATCTTCTTAAAAAAATACCTACCTAAGCCTATCTACTGTTACCACAAGTCAGTGAATCTTCTTCTTAAATAAATACCTACCTAAGCCTATCTACTGTTACCACAAGTCAGTGAATCTTCTTAAAAAAGTACCTACCTAAGCCTATCTACTGTTACCACAAGTCAGTGAATCTTCTTAAAAAAATACCTACCTAAGCCTATCTACTGTTACCACAAGTCAGTGAATCTTCTTAAAAAAATACCTACCTAAGCCTATCTACTGTTACCACAAGTCAGTGAATCTTCTTAAAAAAGTACCTACCTAAGCCTATCTACTGTTACCACAAGTCAGTGAATCTTCTTCTTAAAAAAATACCTACCTAAGCCTATCTACTGTTACCACAAGTCAGTGAATCTTCTTCTTAAAAAAATACCTACCTAAGCCTATCTACTGTTACCACAAGTCAGTGAATCTTCTTCTTGAAAAAGTACCTACCTAAGCCTATCTACTGTTACCACAAGTCAGTGAATCTTCTTCTTAAAAAAATACCTACCTAAGCCTATCCACTGTTACCACAAGTCAGTGAATCTTCTTCTTAAAAAAGTACCTACCTAAGCCTATCTACTGTTACCACAAGTCAGTGAATCTTCTTCTTAAAAAAGTACCTACCTAAGCCTATCTACTGTTACCACAAGTCAGTGAATCTTCTTCTTGAAAAAATACCTACCTAAGCCTATCTACTGTTACCATAAGTCAGTGAATCTTCTTCTTGAAAAAATACCTACCTAAGCCTATCTACTGTTACCACAAGTCAGTGAATCTTCTTCTTAAATAAATACCTACCTAAGCCTATCTACTGTTACCACAAGTCAGTGAATCTTCTTTAAAAAAATACCTACCTAAGCCTATCTACTGTTACCACAAGTCAGTGAATCTTCTTAAAATAAATACCTACCTAAGCCTATCCACTGTTACCACAAGTCAGTGAATCTTCTTCTTAAAAAAATACCTACCTAAGCCTATCTACTGTTACCATAAGTCAGTGAATCTTCTTTAAAAAAATACCTACCTAAGCCTATCTACTGTTACCACAAGTCAGTGAATCTTCTTCTTAAATAAATACCTACCTAAGCCTATCTACTGTTACCACAAGTCAGTGAATCTTCTTTAAAAAAATACCTACCTAAGCCTATCTACTGTTACCACAAGTCAGTGAATCTTCTTTAAAAAAATACCTACCTAAGCCTATCTACTGTTACCACAAGTCAGTGAATCTTCTTCTTGAAAAAATACCTATGTTTGATGTAGAACTGTTGCCAGCAGACCACTAAGCTGTCCAGGTAGTAGCTGTAACCTTCTGGTGTACATAATGCATTAACACAGATAGAACTTTTATATAGATAGTACACAAAATCATTTTTTGAGTTAGAAAAATGATATACCAATAAGGTACAAGTACCTTGTGTTGTAAAATCACAAGACTTGAAGCAGTTACTACTACACTGTTATATCAAATAGCAACAGTCATTGAATTATTAATCATGATGAATGCTTTCTGTTGTTCAGGAAATTGTTACAACACAAGTATTGGACAATATATGTCAGAGCAATATTGTATTTTATCATCAAAATTTGCCCTTTGAGCAGTTTTTCTATGCAGACTAATGGGTTGGGTTCTGATTTGATATCAGTTAGTCTGAAATTCATGTTGGGGAGTCGTGATATTTGAGATGTGTGGACCGCTAATACATTGACGGATGTGGACAGAGATAAACAATGTCAGTAACACCTGATATGAACATATAAAATGTGTTTTGATGTCCAGAATCAGCACATAACTTCTCTGTTTGGCTATTGGTTTCAATGAATTGTTGTTATATGAGTATTGAACAACAGCACACAATTGATAAAGTTGATAAAGAGGCTTTCAGCACTAAATGAAGTAATCATAACCTACAGACATACAAACCAGTTGTTACTAAGCTATTGTCAAGTTCCCATGCCTGTCAGGTTTCAGGTCTCTCAGATGTTATCACACTGATATAATTATGTTTAACAATTATTTTTTTTTAGATTTTTGTCATTTATTTAATTATTATCTTTGATCTTGATGAAGGCTGTATACATAGCACATGTTGGATGTTTAAATTGAGTCATGTGTTGCTGCAGAACTGAATAACTAGATTGTCTGTTACTATGGTATCGATTTGAAAGATCAAATATTTCCTTATGTTCAGCCTTGTAATAACAAAAAACACTGATGGTTGTTTGTTTTCTTAAAAGCATGGAAGGCATAATATAGCAATAATTTAGTTATAACCATTAAGTGATCTCCTTGATACTCGAACATTAACTCTGGTTTTGATACACTACTGTTAATAAATAAACTGGTCCTATATATCATATCTGCCCAATTATTTCCATTCTACTGTAGAATTATTTTTAAATTTACAGAATTTGATTTTATTAATTCATGTCTTGTTTTTAGTGCATTCAAAGTTCATAACTCTGGAACGACCTTCATATTTGCCTCAGAGAGGATGGAAGACATGACCAAGTAAGTGTCCTAAAACACAACATAAAATGGGCAGGCTTTGTGTGTATGATATACAGGTTTTGTTTGTATAATGATGTGCAGGCTTTCTATAATGATGTGCAGGCTTTGTGTGTATGATGATGTGCAGGCTTTGTGTGTATAATGATGTGCAGGCTTTGTGTGATGATATGCAGGTTTTGTTTGTATAATGATGTGCAGGCTTTCTATAATGATGTGCAGGCTTTGTGTGTATGATGATGTGCAGGCTTTGTGTGTATGATATACAGGCTTTATGTGTATAATGATGTGCAGGCTTTGTGTGATGATATGCAGGCTTTGTTTGTATAATGATGTGCAGGCTTTCTATAATGATGTGCAGGCTTTGTGTGTATGATGATGTGCAGGCTTTGTGTGTATAATGATGTGCAGGCTTTGTGTGTATAATGATGTGCAGGCTTTGTGTGTATGATGATGTGCAGGCTTTATGTGTATAATGATGTGCAGGCTTTCTATAATGATGTGCAGGCTTTGTGTGTATGATAATGTGCAGGCTTTCTATAATGATGTGCAGGCTTTGTGTGTATGATGATGTGCTAGCTTTGTGTGTATGATAATGTGCTGGCTTTGTGTGTGTATGATGTACAGGTTTTGTGTGTATAATGATGTACAGGCTTTGTGTGTATAATGATGTGCAGGCTTTGTGTATGATGATGTGCTGGCTTTGTATAATGATGTACAGGCTTTGTGTGTATAATGATGTGCAGGCTTTGTGTATGATGATGTGCAGGCTTTGTGTTTGTGATGATATACAGGCTTTGCGTGTGACGATGTACAGGCTTGTGTGTATGATGATGTGCAGACTTTGTGTGTATAATGTGCATGCTTTGTGTGTATGATGATGTGCTGGCTTTGTGTGTATGATGTGCATGCTTTGTGTGTATAATGATGTGCAGGCTATGTGTATGATGTGCGTGCTTTGTGTGTATAATGATGTGCAGGCTATGTGTATGATGTGCATGCTTTGTGTGTATGATGATGTGCAGGCTATGTGTATGATGTGCATGCTTTGTGTATATAATGATGTGCAGGCTATGTGTATGATGTGCGTGCTTTGTGTGTATGATGATGTGCAGGCTTTGTGTGTATGATGTGCATGCTTTGTGTGTATAATGATGTGCAGGCTATGTGTATGATGTGCTGGCTTTGTGTGTATAATGATGTGTAGGCTTTGTGTTTGTGATGATATACAAGCTTTGTGTGTGACGATGTACAGGCTTGTGTGTATGATGATGTGCAGGCTTTGTGTGTATGATGAAGTGCAGGCTTTCTATAATGATGTGCAGGCTTTGTGTGTATGATGATGTGCTAGCTTTGTGTGTATGATAATGTGCTGGCTTTGTGTGTGTATGATGTACAGGTTTTGTGTGTATAATGATGTACAGGCTTTGTGTGTATAATGATGTGCAGGCTTTGTGTATGATGATGTGCTGGCTTTGTATAATGATGTACAGGCTTTGTGTGTATAATGATGTGCAGGCTTTGTGTATGATGATGTGCAGGCTTTGTGTTTGTGATGATATACAGGCTTTGCGTGTGACGATGTACAGGCTTGTGTGTATGATGATGTGCAGACTTTGTGTGTATAATGTGCATGCTTTGTGTGTATGATGATGTGCTGGCTTTGTGTGTATGATGTGCATGCTTTGTGTGTATAATGATGTGCAGGCTATGTGTATGATGTGCGTGCTTTGTGTGTATGATGATGTGCAGGCTATGTGTATGATGTGCATGCTTTGTGTGTATGATGATGTGCAGGCTATGTGTATGATGTGCATGCTTTGTGTATATAATGATGTGCAGGCTATGTGTATGATGTGCGTGCTTTGTGTGTATGATGATGTGCAGGCTTTGTGTGTATGATGTGCATGCTTTGTGTGTATAATGATGTGCAGGCTATGTGTATGATGTGCTGGCTTTGTGTGTATAATGATGTAGGCTTTGTGTTTGTGATGATATACAAGCTTTGTGTGTGACGATGTACAGGCTTGTGTGTATGATGATGTGCAGGCTTTGTGTGTATGATGAAGTGCAGGCTTTGTATAATGATGTGCAGGCTTTGTGTGTATGATGATGTGCTGGCTTTGTGTGTATAATGATGTGCAGGCTTTGTGTGTGTATGATGTACAGGTTTTGTGTGTATAATGATGTACAGGCTTTGTGTGTATAATGATGTACAGGCTTTGTGTGTATAATGATGTGCAGGCTTTGTGTATGATGATGTGCTGGCTTTGTATAATGATGTGCAGGCTTTGTGTGTATAATGATGTACAGGCTTTGTGTGTATAATGATGTGTAGGCTTTGTGTTTGTGATGATATACAAGCTTTGTGTGTGACGATGTACAGGCTTGTGTGTATGATGATGTACAGGCTTGTGTGTATGATGATGTGCAGGCTTTGTGTGTATGATGATGTGCAGGCTTTGTTTGTATAATGATGTGCAGGCTTTGTGTGTATAATGATGTACTGGCTTTGTGTGTATAATGATGTGCTGGCTTTGTGTGTATGGTGATGTGCTAGCTTTGTGTGTATGCTGATGTGCTGGCTTTGTGTGTGGCGATGTACAGGCTTGTGTGTATGATGTGCATGCTTTGTGTGTATAATGATGTGCAGGCTATGTTTATGATGTGCGTGCTTTGTATGTATGATGATGTGCTGGCTTTGTGTGTATGCTGATGTGCTGGCTTTGTGTGTATGATGTGCATGCTTTGTGTGTATAATGATGTGCAGGCTATGTGTATGATGTGCGTGCTTTGTGTGTATGATGATGTGCTGGCTTTGTGTGTATGATGATGTACTGGCTTTGTGTGTATGATGATGTGCTGGCTTTTTGTGTATGATGATGTACTGGCTTTGTGTGTATGATGATGTGCTGGCTTTGTGTATATGATGATGTGCTAGCTTTGTGTGTATGATGATGTGCTGGCTTTGTGTGTGTATGATGTACAGGTTTTGTGTGTATAATGATGTGCAGGCTTTGTGTGTATGATGATGTGCAGGCTTTGTGTGTATGATGTGCAGGCTTTGTGTGTATGATGATGTTGTGTAAGACTTTGTTGTGTATGATGTACAGACTTTGTGTGTATGTTAATGTTGTTAAGCTGTTATGTGTATATTGATGTGCAGACTATATGTGTATGTTAATGTTGTGTTTGTTTTGTCTGTATGTTTATATGTGTATGTTTATAAATCAAGTTGCATGCTTTGTGTGTTTGTTTATAAGGTGTATATTTTGATAGTGTATGAATTTATTTGTCAGTTCTATATGAATATGTCATGTTACAGATGGATGGTAAAATTTGGACTGGCTGCCATTGGATTCAAACCAAAACCCCAAGGTAAATACCAACATTTTATGTATTGGTATAAAAAATCAGGAAACTTTCTTGAAAGTTCGAAAAACGTTGTGCATGATGAATTAGCATGCTATTGTCTGACTTCTCAAGGGGTCATGGTAGCTCAGCAGGTGATCCGAGGTGTATACATGTGTAGATCAATCCCTGCCCTGTTTTGTTTGTGTTTCTCAAGAAACTGAGACTGTGCAGAGATGAGAGTGTCCTTAGTCAGGACACCAAAGTCTTCCTGCATGAGATTCAGTAAAGTTGAGCTACTGACTATTACAAGGAGACAATGGAGTTGTATACCAAACAAATAACAGGACAGCTCATATTAAGTTTCTGCTCAATATATTCAATTATATGGATGTTGTTATATGCATGTACTTTATATAAACTCTGTGCAAATTGAAAAAAAAAACAGCTAGATATGATATATGGATTCCGACAGTTACAAATTGTTATTGCTGTAACATAAGCAGTAATTGATCAAGTGATCTTAATGAAATCTCATGTGAAGGTTCTTGTAAACATCTAAGTTGGCTTGTTTGATGACAAAACAGTCCTGGACTTTTGACAGTTTATTAACACAACTTGTTGAAGTTCTTGATGGATATTTCATCAAAGGTTATATCAAGGTTCCCTATGAGCCTTTTTTGTGCCTTTGCAATAATGAGAATGATGAGGGGGAGAAATGCTTTCTTGGCTATCTTAGGTTTTCGCATGTTCAGATCCTTGTTGCTAATTGTGTGAAAGAACTTGATAGCTTTTTCTAAAAATTTCAGTTGAATGTTTCCCTTACTGAACTGTGCAACAACATGATCCATTCTCTTGTCAAAAACATGATCCATTCTCTTGTCAAAAAACATGATCCATTCTCTTGTCAAAAGACACAATCCATTCTCTGTTCAAAAACATGATCCATTCTCAAAAACATGATCCATTCTCTATTCAAAAACATAATCCAATCTCTATTCAAAAACATGATCCATTCTCTATTCAAAAACATGATCCATTCTCTATTCAAAAACATGATCCATTCTCTATTCAAAAACATGATCCATTCTCATGTCAAAAAACATGATCCATTCTCTTGTCAAAAACACAATCCCTTTTCTTTTCAAAAACATGAACCATTCATGCTGATTCTATATGGCATGGGGTAGTGCATATTGTCAGAATCTGGCTGTGATGAATCTATTTGGTAAAGGGTAATGTATATTCTGTCCACGATATGGTGAAACAGTATGATATTGGGATAGTATATTATTCTGTCCATGATACAGATATGAAATATTTCAATGAAGATGGATTATTAATGTGATTCTAATTACAGTAACCAAAGATCCAGACCCGAGCTTTAGTGAGAGTGAAGAAGAGACGGACCCTGATGATCCCTCGGCCAGTAAGAACAGCTCTGAATCCCTTTCAAGTCTGCCCACCTCTCCATGTGACAAATTGTCCATGGAATCTCTACCTAATTCCCCAGATAACCTGTGGTCCTCTAACAATTCTTTCTCGGAGACCCCCGAATTACCCTCAAACAGTAAGTCCATGTCACAACTTCTACCTGCATGCGGTTAATCAGCCAGAAAGGTGTTGTAAAAGTATGATGAAACTTGTCATTGATGTTAATTCAACCTTTATGAAGTCATGAGAATCTTCAATAGGATCTTCTATATGATGCATCATAGCGACTGGTGATGAAATCGGTCTAGGTTGGAGTTTTGCTATGTGTATGATGTGGTGATCTGTTTTGGTGTGTATGATGTGGTGATCTGTTTTGGTGTGTATGATGTGGTGATCTGTTTTGGTGTGTATGATGTGGTGATCTGTTTTGGTGTGTATGATGTGGTGATCTGTTTTGGTGTGTATGATGTGGTGATCTGTTTTGGTGTGTATGATGTGGTGATCTGTGTTGGTGTATATGATGTGGTGATCTGTTTTGGTGTATAAGATGTGGTGATCTGTTTTGGTGTGTATATAGGTGTATATACTAGGTACATTTCTGTCTATATATGTTTTGCTGTGTGTGTATGTTTGACTGCAGTATTCTGCTGTGTATAGCTATATGTAGGTGTGCATTTTGATGTGTGTATTTTACTTTGTATAGGTGTATGTAGGTGTGTGTTTTGATGTGTGTATTTTACTTTGTATAGGTGTATGTAGGTGTGTGTTTTGATGTGTGTATTTTACTTTGTATAGGTGTATGTAGGTGTGTGTTGTGATGTGTATATTTTACTTTGTATAGGTGTATGTAGGTGTGTGTTTTGATGTGTGTATTTTTACTTTGTATAGGTGTACGTAGGTGTGTGTTTTGATGTGTGTATTTTACTTTGTATAGGTGTATGTAGGTGTGTGTTTTGATGTGTGTATTTTACTTTGTATAGGTGTACGTAGGTGTGTGTTTTGATGTGTGTATTTTACTTTGTATAGGTGTATGTAGGTGTGTGTTTTGATGTGTGTATTTTGCTTTGTATAGGTGTATGTAGGTACATACTCTAAACAGAAAAAGAGAGCTAACGTCTGTTCAAAGGTTGGTGAGTTGTTTAGAGGGGTACTTCACTTGAGCTTGGATACTAAACAGTACGCAGGGCTATTAATGAAATAGTAAATATATAAATAGGAATATTTAATCGCAAGTTCGAGTGTCAGTGGTAAATTTGATTCTAGACTCCATCAACAATAAAACAGCGACACTTGAACTTGTTGCGATTAATTCTATGTATATATTTACAGGTGGATGTTTTGATTTGTATATTTTGCTCTGTAAACTAGTAAGTGAATGAAGGGTGCTTTGATCTCTTTTCTGTGCACAGCTTTATGTCAGCAAATCCATGTACATATTCTGATAACATTACTTTGCTATGCATAGGTTCGACCAGTATACATGAAAGTACTGAGGACTTACAAGTATTGATGAGGAATATACAAAAACAAGATCTTGCTCTTGATGGAACTGATCGAGGAAAGCAGAGGAAGACTTTACTTAGTGTTGGTGGGGATGACTTTCCTAGTCGAGACACCATCAAGAAAGTCAAACAGATCCACTCACTAGAACGAACTGTCAGGGTAAGGACAAAATAGTTATTTTTCTGTCAAATTTTTTAAATCATAAAAGCTTACAGTATTGGTGGATTTTGGAACTGGCAATAATTTCTTTCATTATTTAAAGATAACATCTAAATTTGAACACACTTTTACAAAGCAATGCCCTGTCAGCTATGAAACACCTCATTAGAGAACTGTGTCTGTGTTTTGAGACACATCAAGACTTGAAAATGTATGTGCAGGTGCCCCTTAGTAGCATGTGTAAACAGTTAAAAGGTTGTCTATCTGTGTTTTTGATCTAACGCAATATGTCCACTTCTGATGGCTCAATTGTATTCACACTTCATCCAGTATTTTTTCAAAAAGTGCTTGCTAAGGACTGCTTTTCAGGTCCTGGTCAAAGTCACATATACAATTGAAATGTTACTGTTGAGGCAATTTCATTCAATATTGATACTGTATGATAAAAGATATATAACATAAATTAATGTTGTTGGTAAATATTGTCTTATGACAACATGAAGCTTTATTAAGTGAAATCAAATGAGAATTAAGTTGTTCGTTTAAAAGGAAAAGGTTACCAAGTCAAACATTGAAGTCAAATTTTAATATTTCACTGATAAATACTTCATTTTGACATTATGAAGTAAAGATGATGAGAATCTAATGAACAGCTGCTAGACCACAGTCCATGTCACCATGCTAAGTGTCAAATTTTGAATTTTATTATATTGTATTATATTATATTATTATTTTAGAGCCGCAAACATTGCAGGGCCCTTTCCAATGTGTTGATACCATAGTTGAAACAATTTGTTTGAAACAATAGATATTTAATACAATACAATTGCTATTCTTCATCAGTGAAACTGGTCTGTTGTTATCGTTATTTTGAGGTGATCTCTGTTTATCTATCAAACATGTTTTAGTTAATAGTTCTGCATTACTTTTCTAATAACAGGCCAAAGAGAAAGAGCTAGCTGAAATAGAGAAGTTATTGTCTCTGCCATCAAAGTGTGGACTGAAGTCTTTCCAGGAGGCATATATGAAGTCACCTACAACAGAAGCACACAGTAATCTTTCTAGTGACTCAGACTCAGAAGTCTCTTCATCTTACATATAAGTCGCCTAATGTCCTTGTTGAGTCGTGTTTGCTCCATGTGACTGTAACTTGTGGCAAACCACACCACCTTTGAAGAAGGTATGGATTGTGGGTGAGAGTATCTCCAGTGTAATTTGGTACAAGTCATGAGGAACTGTACTACTCTCATATAACAGGATTTCTAAACCCAAATATCATTTAATCTTAGTAGGCAGTAATACTGGATATTATCATAAGTACTTATGCCTTGTGCGGAGAAGGTATATGTGTACCATATACAGAAGATGGATGCAGTTGGGAGATGTTTTTCATAAACAGTGAATCAGTTTCTGTGTAAATTTCTGTAATATAGCCTACTGAGGTTTCTGAACACCTCTAACTGTGTCAGGTTTGGAGTACTTTGTGAGACTTACCATACTAAGAATAGTGTAAGCTCCTCCCAAACCTGTGATTTGATGTGAAACATTGATCCTTTGATAACAAAAAGTACCACCACCATGAGTTGTTCATAAAAAAGTGTTTCAATGATGACAATGTGATATATTTGAATGTGATATTACCGCTAAAAGAGTGATATAATCTACCATGGCATGAATTGAAGGATGACCTGAAACATTTCCTTTATGTTCAGAAAAACCCAACATATCCTTGGTAATGAGGATGAAGCAATGATGTTCAAAAATAATTAGAATTGAATTGATGTTGTATGCTATGCGACAATGGAGTTTATTGTTTTGCCTGTGATGAATAGTCATGAAAACAAGACTATGATGTTTATTTTCCAATCGTGACAGCATTGTCATTAATATTTCACTTTGCTTTTGTGTTTAGATCAGTTGCATAAAAAACTATCAGTTGGATCATGTAGTGGATACTTCAACACATCCAAAATATCTTCCAAATTTGTTTTATACATCTCATAAAAAAGTTGGGGCACACTGGAAAAAACCCAGTCTGTCTGTCTCAATCTAATGTAAATTAGTTTTGAACTAATTCCAATGAAACTTACCGTAAGAGGAATTTCCAGATTATATGTAGAAGTAAATATAATTTCACTTTCCCCAGACATTTGGTTGCCATGGTAACTTTGTCAGTATAAACAGGTTTTCTATAAATGGAGATAACTCATTAACACTTAGTTCGATTAATTTAATCTCAGTAAATGTTGTAACTAAACAGATGTATAATTAACTCCTCCCTGGGGTAACACATCTTGGGATCATTTTCACACTGACCCTTTCTTTTGAAGTTGTGCCCATTTGTTGAAAAATAACGCCTTAATCTGAAAATTGCTCCCAGACTTTTACACTGATATAATTGAAATTTACATATAGTAACTAATACCATGCACTGTGCAATTTGTTTATTTTGGTTTTTAGAGAAAGGTGTGTTTTTTATTCACATTGTTGCCATGGTAACTGAAACAATGATGTTTTTTTTGGTCGTAAAAGGGGTTTGATCTTTACATCAGATATATTTCACCAATTTCTCAACCTTGCCATAGATACATTCATACCTGAAATATGGCATATAGTTAGCTACAATAGAGTCATTGCCAATTCATGTACCAATAACGATACATGTGGGTTTTGAGAGAATGTACATGGTGTTTTTCTTCAAATTAAGATAACTTCCTCTCATCATTGCTTGTAAATGATGACACCTGTGGGATATAATCAGTGCAGATAACAAATCTAGTTTGTGATATTTGTCCCTCACATGCTTGTGTTACTGGTAGAATTTGATCACTTGTTAAAACATTTTCCTCATTGTCGTAAATGTTTGAGAGAAAGTTTAGAATGAAACTAAACAGGATGAGTGTATTTACATAGTAGTGAAGTACTACTGCTACGCTATACATGTTTATACATGTTTAACTACTAAACAATGAGTGTGGCTGAGAGAGAGATTTGTATTGTATTGTAGTGTGTCTTGCTTCACTTAGGCACACCAGCATTAATTACTCTTAAATACTGTAATTAACCTCTACATGTATAATTAAGCTTTGCTTTAAATTCTCATTAAAAAAAACATGTTCATGCATTCCTATGTACGCGGTGATATAAAGGTATATTCTCTAACTATGTGTTGCTTTAATTGTGTGACGAACTTAAAGAACAATTCATTTGTTTGTCTAAGTGTTAAGTCACAATGTCAGCAACATCGGTGATGCCTGTCTGTGGAAAGTTAGCTGACTTCAGCAGTCATCTGGTTAATTTACAGTGTATCTATAAATTGTTATCTTGTTAATTTTGTTGTTAGGATCTTGACTTTCTTGAGATATCAAAGCTATTCTTGTGTTTGATATGTAACTTTCTGGTGTAGGTTTGTGTCATCAGTAGATACTAAGTACTAATCTGTGATATATGTCCAGAATCTCTCTCAGTAGTAAATCAGTTGTTGCTAACCAGTTGTATATCTCAATCTCCTGAGCATTCTGACATTTCCATTGATGCAAAGGCTTCAGTGGATGGCCTTTAGTTATGCAGCAGACAAAATTGTGCAGCCCGATATTTTCACTTAAGCCATGACAATAAAATCTGGTCTGTTGAAACTGACAAGAAATTGACTCAAAAATTGAGTTTGATATTTAGATGTTCTGACATGCTAGAATATTAATGTTTGTACCGGAGACATGATGTTGAATTTCAAAATGTATGATAATACTTAGACCGTAAATATAAGGGAAGTTCACTGTTATGATGTCACATCAAGTGTTAAGACATCTTTTGTGTGAATGCTTTATTGGGTTTTTTCTTTTTGTTAGATTGTATGATTCAATATTTTGTCAGAAATAAACAACATTAGGGAAGTGCTATGATCTTCACACAACTATAACTAACTTTACTGAATCATGTTTTCTGTTATGACAATGATACTTTTTTTTTTGTTATTTTTGGTGGTAGGGGTTGGTAGTGATTGAAGTCTAATGTGTCAGGTACAGAACACCTCAGGGGAGACAACTCAAGATTGTAATAGGGAAGATAACTTGGAACTTCATTCAGAAACAGAGAACTTTGTTAGGGAAACATTTGGTATTGTTGAAAAGATTCCAGCTTGTGTTATCTCTTTAATAAAAGAAAGATAGTTATGAGTAATTCTTATAAATAAATACTTGGTTCTTCCAATAAACTTTGTTGTATTCTACATACCCTATACATCGAAGGATAGTTCTTACAAGTTTTGTATTTAACTTATTAACTTCAGACAGTTTGTTGGTGACATATAACCATGATTTCCCATTGCCACATTATTACCTGCTTCTATATACTTTATTTAATCACACTTCAATCTATTTATCTTGAATTGTTTTGAAATTTCTGAGAAGCCATAATGTGAGGCAGTACAGATTTAGAAGGAACAGAACCTATATATTCATCTAATTACTTCAAATTGAGATATTTTGGTGTAGTGTCCATATCACAAAGCACAATGATATTCATTTTTTAGACTTCACTTTAGACAATGGAAGAGGACTGTGATAAATATGGTCGGTTTATCTACTAAGCTTTAAATGAAATTTGATAGACATTTATAATCATGTTATATTAGCCATTTTTCATTATTTTATTAATTATCTTAAAATAGAACATATTGGTACATATATACAACTAAAAACCATTATGATATTTTTAATAAATATTCATCATTTTTGTTCTGTTTGTGACTAAATCAGTGTCTAGATTTGTGATGCTATATAATACTGCAGTGTAAAGGCCAGCTTCACTTAATACCATTGTTATCCTGTACAGTAACCTGGTATATCTGTGTTTCACCATTATTATCATGTACAGTAACCTGGTATATCTGTGTTTCACCATTGTTATCATGTACAGTAACCTGGTATAACTCTGTGCTTTACCATTGTTATCATGTACAATAACCTGGTATAACCGTGTGCTTTACCATTGTTATCGTGTACAGTTACCTGGTATATCTGTGTGCTTTACCATTATTAATCATGTACAATTACGTGGTGTATCTGTGTGTTTCACCATTGTTGTCGTGTACAGTTACCTGGTGTATCTGTGTGCCCACATTGCTTTGTTGATTTGTGATGCATCATGTGATTCTATTAAAATGTTAAAATTCTTTGATTTTGTTTCTTATTATTTACATGGAGTATTTGTGTTCATAGGAAACTGCTCAATATAGCAAGCACTTGATTTTCATGTAAGTTAATATGCAGTATCATGTTAGTCCAGTAGTTTGATATGTCACAAGATTTTAGGTGAGGGACATATCATATTATTCAACAAGTTTAAAAAATACCATATTACATGGACACCAGCATCAGATTCTATTTGCAACATATCTCATGTTTTTGAAAAATAAGTAAAAACTCAAAAAAAATTTCCCAACAAGACAACATCATCATTAAATTTGACTTGGATGGTATATTTTTCACTACAAATTGTGTGACATCATAAAAACATGACTTTCCATGATGTCACAATAGTTTTTTTACACATCATGATGTGTGTCTTCGGATACTTATGATATGGTTGTATGACATGACACAGAGGTCAGTTATGTGATAATATATCCATGAATTAGGAAAATAATGTCTTAACTCAGAAGTAATAAAAAGAAAATGTTAAAGGGAATGTCAAGACAGCCTATAATAACAGACAGTAAAGGAATGTTTCACTAATGAAGTTTGTAAAATAATAGGAATCTACAGGGAAATCAAGATATCTTTTGACAAGACAAATAGAATATCAAAACTGAAAACAATAGTAACTGGAGGCCTTCAAACAAATTATAATGTCTTCAGTGTAAATAAATTATTTACAAACAAAATGTCAGCTAGCCTAGCTATAGCAATTTTGCTATCCTTCAGTGATGAAATATCTGTGACATAGCCCTTCAAACCAAAGGGTAAGAGAGTGTCACTAAATATTCATAGTGACAAGGACATATTTGGATAAATAAGAAATGATGGAAATTACTGAGAGTGAAACAGCCATAATGAAATGTTGCTAAATAGCGCAAACTAGTAATATAAAATTTACATGTTTATCCTGCAATAAGTCCAGGGGACACAAAACTCAAAATAGGGCATTTAAGTCACCTGAGACAGTCTTAGGGTGACCAATTGCGATCCCCTTTTTGTATGGCGTCATGGATTGTGCATCGTCATAGCTAAAGGTGTGCCAAAAGTGTAAATTATGTAGTCCTCAACCCCCAGGGGCCTTCAGATGCTTTACCAATCATGTAAATTTCATGACCCCAGGATCTCACATTTCCCATTAAGGACAAGTTAAAATGTACTATAATTCAAATAGGAAAATGACATTTTGAATATAATTTATTTTCTTTTTATTGACCTTGTCTGACCCACATGGGCTGATGGGCAGGGCCAAAAATAGGTTTAATTGATTGAAATTTCAAAGATGTTTTACTGTTCATGGATGGAAGAGTTTTTGTAAGGAAATTCAATTTTCGAGTGTAATTTCTTTTAATCAAACGCATGGGACAGCAGTTGATGTTATTCACAGTTTACATTTGCATTATGTGTATAGTGTAATTAAAATTATCTTACTTTTTTTAACAAAATCATTTCTATGACATGTAACAAGAAGCATTGTGACTCAGGTGACTGGCCCTTGGGCCTCTTGTCTGCTTTTCTGTTGAAACTGGAATTAATGGAGGTGGGCTTATCATCAGACATGAACTTATTCACATATAATATGGAGGTAATTATTTTGTTGAAATTGGTAGTAAGAGAACTGGGCTTATTGTTAGTCATTGGCTTATTGGCATGTAAAATCGGGGGTAGGGTGTTGCATTATTTCTGTTGAAACTGCAATTAATGTAGGTCAGGTTTATTGTCAAACATTGATAAATTGACTTATGATATGGATGTAATGATTTTACTTCAAAGCTGAGATTAATTCCATTTTCTACAGTAAGCCCATTTCACATGTAAGGTCAAGTTGATGTAAAAATTCCTTATATGACATGTTTTGTAGTGCTGAGAATTTCATAACTCCTGAGATTTTTTTTGTACCTGGTGATAATGTATTCCTAGTAAACACATAGCTATAAAACTCAGCCATTTCTGAGTTTTTAAAGTATCGAGGCCAAATAATTTCCTTAATAACTACAATGGCCATGCTATGTTGCTCAGTTCCTCATTGTTATTAATATACTTAAAGATTTGACATACAAGAGTATTTCAACTGAAATCCCTTAAGTAAGTGGGGCATGGATAGAATTTATTGTATACCCTCACATGACAAGTCATGTGGTATGGATTTTATGAGTCACATGACTTTAAAATGGAGTATAAATACCTGGACTGACTACCAGTTGATATAAACACTAGAGCGATGGAGGGAAACGCTGTCTCAGTGGTCACTCTGTGTATGGTCCTGTTGATGGTCAGTGGCCATGACCAACAGAAGCCTAACTTTATAGTGATGTTAATGGACGATGTGAGTGAGTTCAACCACCATAACATACTGTTGAGTATGATATGTATATGTTTAGCTAGATCATTGACACACACACACACATAGTGAGCACTTAATTGTGTCTGGGTTTAAATCTGTGTAAGTGTCTATTAGGCTGCATTGTACACAGTGTAGTGTTGATATTGAAAGTGCTACCAATTACAGCTATATGTAGTTCAATCTTATCTCTTTAAATTCATATGTCAGTTCAGTGGAATTGGAATAAATGTCATTTATCTCCCTTGCTACTTTCTGTAATTATAACTATGGAATTTGTTAGTCTGGACACTGTACGGACAACTCTGTTAAGTCCAGGTATTCTAGTGTCTGGACACTGTACGGACAACTCTGTTAAGTCCAGGTATTCTAGTGTCTGGACACTGTACGGACAACTCTGTTAAGTCCAGGTATTCTAGTGTCTGGACACTGTTCGGACAACTGTGTTAAGTCCAGGTATTCTAGTGTCTGGACACTGTTCGGACAACTCTGTTAAGTCCAGGTACTCTAGTGTCTGGACAGTGTTTGGACAACTCTGTTAAGTCCAGGTACTCTAGTGTCTGGGCACTGTTCAGACAACTCTGTTAAGTCCAGGTATTCTAGTGTCTGGACACTGTTCGGACAACTCTGTTAAGTCCAGGTACTCTAGTGTCTGGGCACTGTTCAGACAACTCTGTTAAGTCCAGGTATTCTAGTGTCTGGACACTGTTTGGACAACTCTGTTAAGTCCAGGTACTCTAGTGTATGGAAACTGTACATACTGACAGCTCTGTTAAGTCCAGGTATTCTAGTGTCTGGAAACTGTGTATGCTGACAGCTTGAAAATCCAGTCACTCTAGGGTCAGTTGTACATGGTTGAACCTTTTTGATTGAAGACATGTGATTCTGCATGAAATTCAAGGACCACCCTTATCTGGATATTTTGCCTTCTGTGTATAGTAGAACCTCATTAATTTTGCCTTCTGTGTATTGTTTTGTACTCTCAGCTTTGAGGAATAAAGAATGATGATGATGATGATGATGATGATGATGATGATGATGATGATGATGATGATGATGATGATGATGATGATGATGGTAGATTCCATTTTTGTGGTCAGTGAAAATTTTTTTGTTTTTTCAAGATGTTGATATAAACAGTGTTACAGATGTATTTATGTGCAGTATATTGATTTCCTATTGTCTCTATGAGGTACAGCTTTTGGGTTGTATATTTTTTTTACCACACTACATACATACAGGGAATGTAGATTTCTGCCAATCAGTTGAAAGCTTACTGTGACAGGTTGCTGTTGTGATTCATGGAATCAAGCACAGCTGATAAACACACTGACTTATACACAGTAAGAAATCTCAGTCAATGAAAAGTTTATTGATCAGAAGGATTAATATCCCTGCTCGTTGTCACATGTAAGTAATCAATGTAGGATTAATATCACATGTCACATATAAATAATCAAAAAGTTAGTCATATGACAAACATTGTCATGAACTTGGTTATTTATACAACAGTATTACACACTGGTCTCATTCTTAGCTTTGATTTGTCTCCCACCCTGTCTATCTCAGCTCTGATATGTCTCTACACCCTGTCTATCTCAGCTCTGATATGTCTCTACACCCTGTCTATCTCAGCTTTCATTTGTCTCTACACCCTGTCTATCTCAGCTTTCATTTGTCTCCCACCCTGTCTATCTCAGCTTTGATTTGTCTCCCACCCTGTCTATCTCAGCTCTGATTTGTCTACCACCCTGTCTATCTCAGTTCTGATATGTCTCTACACCCTGTCTATCTCAGCTTTGATTTGTCTCCCACCCTGTCTATCTCAGCTCTGATTTGTCTCTACACTTTGTCTTTCTCAGTTTTGGTATGTCTCTACACTTTGTCTGTCTCAGCTCTGATATGTCTTTACACCCTGTCTATCTCAGCTCTGATATGTCTCTACACCTTATCTGTCTCAGCTCTGATATGTCTCCCATCCTGTCTATCACAGCTCTGATATGTCTCCCACCCTGTCTATCTCAGCTCAGATATGTCTCTACACCCTGTCTATCTCAGCTCTGATATGTCTCTACACCTTGTCCAGCTCAGCTCTGATATGTCTCTACACCTTGTCTATCTCAGTTCTGATTTGTCTCCCACCCTGTCTATCTCAGTTCTGATTTGTCTCCCACCCTGTCTATCTCAACTCTGATTGATATGTTCCAACACCTTGTCTATCTCAGCTTTGATATGTCTCCCACCCTGTCTATCTTAGCTCTGATATGTCTCTACACTTTGTCTTTCTCAGCTCTGATATGTCTCTACACCTTGTCTATCTCAGCTCTGATATGTCTCTACACCTTGTCTATCTCAGCTCTGATATGTCTCTATACCCTGTCTATCTCAGTTCTGATTGATATGTTCCAACACCCTGTCTATCTCAGTTCTGATATGTCTCTACACCTTGTCTATCTCAGTTCTGATTTGTCTCCCACCCTGTCTATCTCAGTTCTGATTTGTCTCCCACCCTGTCTATCTCAACTCTGATTGATATGTTCCAACACCTTGTCTATCTCAGCTTTGATATGTCTCCCACCCTGTCTATCTTAGCTCTGATATGTCTCTACACTTTGTCTTTCTCAGCTCTGATATGTCTCTACACCTTGTCTATCTCAGCTCTGATATGTCTCTACACCTTGTCTATCTCAGCTCTGATATGTCTCTATACCCTGTCTATCTCAGTTCTGATTGATATGTTCCAACACCTTGTCTATCTCAGCTCTGATATGTCTCCCATTCTGTCTATCTCAGCTCTAATATGTCTCTACACCTTGTCTATCTCAGTTCTGATATGTCTCTACACCTTGTCCAGCTCAGCTCTGATATGTCTCTACACCTTGTCCAGCTCAGCTCTGATATGTCTCTACACCTTGTCTATCTCAGTTCTGATTTGTCTCCCACCCTGTCTATCTCAGTTCTGATTTGTCTCCCACCCTGTCTTTCTCAACTCTGATTGATATGTTCCAACACCTTGTCTATCTCAGCTTTGATATGTCTCCCACCCTGTCTATCTTAGCTCTGATATGTCTCTACACTTTGTCTTTCTCAGCTCTGATATGTCTCTACACCTTGTCTATCTCAGCTCTGATATGTCTCTACACCTTGTCTATCTCAGCTCTGATATGTCTCTACACCCTGTCTATCTCAGTTCTGATATGTCTCTACACCTTGTCTATCTCAGCTCTGATTGATATGTTCCAACACCTTGTCTATCTCAGCTCTGATATGTCTCCCATTCTGTCTATCTCAGCTCTAATACGTCTCTACACCTTGTCTATCTCAGCTCTGATATGTCTCTACACCTTGTCCAGCTCAGCTCTGATATGTCTCTACACCTTGTCCAGCTCAGCTCTGATATGTCTCTACACCTTGTCTATCTCAGTTCTGATTTGTCTCCCACCCTGTCTATCTCAGTTCTGATTTGTCTCCCACCCTGTCTTTCTCAACTCTGATTGATATGTTCCAACACCTTGTGTATCTCAGCTTTGATATGTCTCCCACCCTGTCTATCTTAGCTCTGATATGTCTCTACACTTTGTCTTTCTCAGCTCTGATATGTCTCTACACCTTGTCTATCTCAGCTCTGATATGTCTCAACACCTTGTCTATCTCAGCTCTGATATGTCTCTACACCCTGTCTATCTCAGTTCTGATATGTCTCTACACCTTGTCTAACTCAGCTCTGATTGATATGTTCCAACACCTTGTCTATCTCAGCTCTGATTGATATGTTCCAACACCTTGTCTATCTCAGCTCTGATATGTCTCCCATTCTGTCTATCTCAGCTCTGATATGACTCTACACCTTGTCTATCTCAGCTCTGATTGATATGTTCCAACACCTTGTCTATCTCAGCTCTGATATGTATCTACACCTTATCTGTCTCAGCTCTGACATGTCTATACACCCTGTCTATCTCAGTTCTGATATGTCTCCCATTCTATCTATCTCAGCTCTGATTTATATCAGCACTTTATCCTTGCTGTACTCTGCCTCCTTACTCTGCCTTGTTCAGCTCTGATTGATATGTTCCAACACATTGTCTATCTCAGCTCTGATATGTCTCCCACCCTGTCTATCTCAGCTCTGATAAGTCTCCCACCCTGTCTATCTCAGCTCTGATTGATATGTTCCAACACCTTGTCTATCTCAGGATCTGCTTCTGTTTCTTTTCTATCACTATTCCATTAAAGGTTTTGTATATATTATCATTGATATCCGTAAATAATGTTCAAAAAAAAAGTTGTGTTGCTGTTTCCTTGGCAGATGGGATGGGGTGACCTGGGAGTGTTTGGAGAACCCAACAAGGAAACACCAAATCTTGACAAAATGGCTGCTGAGGGGATGCTGTTTCCAGATTTTTACTCAGCGAACCCAATCTGTTCTCCATGTAATACTGTTTGCATTTATCTACCACAATGAACTTATACACAGGAACAGTTTGTATTGTACTTAAATAGCAACCTGGAATGAAGTTTCTCACATTCACTAAGAAATATATTCTATGATGTTTAAAGAAATAGATGAACTGTGAACCTGTGGAGGGTCGCCTACTTTACCTTGATAAACTAATGACTGCAAAAGATACATGATATCTCTATACTCAAGTAAATAGGAGCATGTACAAGATTTTTGTAACACCAGAATTAGATTTACCTGATGTAGCAGTAACAAAAATTACTAGTGATTACTGACTCTTTACAAAGATGACAGTTATTCTGTAACTCTTACAGCTAGAGCTTCACTGCTGACAGGACGTCTGCCAATCAGGAATGGTTTCTACACGACCAACGCCCATGCTCATGACTGTAAGGCCTAACAAGTTCCATTCAGCCCAATGATGATACTTTTTGAGAATATTTTAAGAATTTTATGACAATGTAATATGAATTTATACCTGAGTGGTTTTATCAGAGAAAGGATTTCACATGATATACCAAGTATACTAATTCAGAAATATATCATGTATACCAGCTGTAGTGGTTGTTATAGACAGGTAACACAGTAAATTATACAATACATCCCTCAAGTTATTATGAGATATACCAGCTGTAGTGGTTGTTATAGACAGGTAACACAGTAAATTATACTATACATCCCTCAAGTTATTATGAGATATACCAGCTGTAGTGGTTGTTATAGACAGGTAACACAGTAAATTATACTATACAGCCTTCAAGTTATTATGGGATATACCAGCTGTAGTGGTTGTTATAGACAGGTAACACAGTAAATTATACTATACATCCCTCAAGTTATTATGGGATATACCAGCTGTAGTGGTTGTCATAGACAGGTAACACAGTAAATTATACTATACATCCCTCAAGTTATTATGGGATATACCAGCTGTAGTGGTTGTCATAGACAGGTAACACAGTAAATTATACTATACATCCCTCAAGTTATTATGGGATATATCAGCTGTAGTGGTTGTTATAGACAGGTAACACAGTAAATTATACTATACATCCCTCAAGTTATTATGGGATATACCAGCTGTAGTGGTTGTCATAGACAGGTAACACAGTAAATTATACTATACATCCCTCAAGTTATTATGGGATATACCAGCTGTAGTGGTTGTTATAGACAGGTAACACAGTAAATTATACTATACATCCCTCAAGTTATTATGGGATATACCAGCTGTAGTGGTTGTTATAGACAGGTGCTACAATACATCCCATCTTTGATCCTTTTGATTATTATAGATCACTATTATTAATGACTGTTTAAGACAGGTGCTGTGCTATTTTACAGCTTACACTCCCCAGATCATTATGGGAGGAATTCCGGACTCTGAGATTCTCCTTCCTGAACTACTGGAGCAGGCTGGGTATCGCAACAAGATCATTGGCAAGTGGTTAGTCAACACAACCAAAGTCATACTATATAGATTTGGTCAAGTGTATAATTACAAACTCCCATATTTTCACAAAATGCCGAAAAAACATCAAGAAGCGTAAGATCTTCTGAAGTATGTAATGACATGAAATATTTGAAATTTTATTTCACTCACTTTTTTCTTGTGTTTAGTTGTTCTATAACAATTTTTGGTATTTTGGCAGGCATTTGGGACATCGTCCTCAGTACCATCCACTCAAACATGGCTTCCACGAGTGGTTTGGTGCTCCTAACTGTCACTTTGGGCCTTTTGATGACATACACACACCTAATATACCCGTGTACAGAGATGCGGAGATGGCTGGCAGGTAAATTTATCTTCATGTATATATTCATACCTATGTATAAAGATGGCTGACAGGTAAATCTATCTATATATCTATACCTGTGTATAGAGATGGCTGACAGGTAAATCTATCTATATATCTATACCTTTGTATAGAGATGGCTGGCAGGTAAATCTATCTATATATCTATACCTGTGTATAGAGATGGTTGACAGGTAAATCTATCTGATCTACAATATATACAACAAATTTGAGGTTGGAAGTAAGGAGTTTTAATCTTTTGTTATCTAGGATAAGTGAGGCATTTTGTAACAATTTCTAATTTTTGATTGGTTGATTTCCTGGTGTTTGTTGCAGGTATTATGAAGAATTTGTTATTGACAGAAGTACTGGACTGTCCAACTTAACCCTCATATATCTAGAGGTGAGTATGATTGTCCTCCATAATCTATGATGATGTTTCGACACAAAGTCTACAGCTGCCTGGCCATATTGTAAAGACAAGCACACATTTGTAGTGATGTGATTCTCTAATTCTACTACATTATATTTGTGTTGTCCAGCTTTAAGGCTATTTTACACAGATCTTGCTGTCTTTCTATGTTTTGACATTGTCAGTCTACTAGTCCTGGTAAGATATTTTAGGATTGTAGTGAATTCTCGCTACAGCTTTCCGAGTACTCTGATTTCTAGCTAACCATTAACATTTGATCAGTCATCCTCTTGTCCCTACAAGTTAGATAACCAACAAGGTACATTTTACCCAACATTTATTGTAGGAAGGGATAAAATTTATAGAGAAGCAGACACTTGCAGATGAACCATTTTACCTGTACTGGACTCCTGACGCCACCCATGAGCCACTGTATGTGTCAGAAAAATTTTACCAGACCAGCCAACGAGGCAGGTAAATTTATATTGTCATATTTAGTCTACTAAATTTGTGTGAATAACTCATCTACAGCTATCAGCATTTGAATGTTATTTTGCAAACATCTGGAAAGTAAGATACCACCATGCTGTCTTTGTTGTGTTGGAGCCATATTGTTCCAGTGTTACACCTGTTTAATTACACGTCAAAACTAAACCTATAGTTATCGTTATATAATTCTTCTTACCATATTTTACTGGTTATAAGTTGCACTGGTATATAAGCCGCAGGGCCAGTTAAATGATTTTTTTTATCTTAATCCACATATAAACCACACCTGAATATAAGCCGCACCATTTCTTACGAAGAGGTACTTCAATAGACTTGTATGCTAGATACAGAAACCAATCTGATCTTTTTGTAAAAGGTATGGAGACGCAGTGCGGGAACTCGATTATGCAGTAGGTCAGATATTAAACACTTTGAAGAAGTTACACATAGAGAAAAATACATTTGTGTTTTTCACATCAGACAACGGGGCAGCAACATATGCAAAAACTGCAGGTGAGTATGATGTACCGTACATTTTCTTTGATTTTATATATTTGCAATGTTATAATTCCAATGTCTTAGTATTAATTGAAAAAAATACCAACAATAATATTTGAATAGTACTTGATTTTATAATTTGTTAGGTGGCAGTAATGGTCCTTTCCTGTGTGGAAAGCAGACAACATTTGAGGGAGGTGTGAGAGAACCAGCCATTGCATGGTGGCCAGGGCAGATACTGCCTGGACAGGTGTGTTACTAGTTACCTGTATCTATACTATGTCAACAGAAAAAAGTATACACTCTTGTGTGCAAATATTGGAAAGAAATAGTTTTAATCATATTTTGTAATATCTTGAAAATGCAAGCCTAGACAGTTTCTGGTTCTGTGTTAGCCTAAACAGTTTCTGGTTGTGTGTTAGCCCAGACAGTTTCTGGTCCTGTGTTAGCCTAGACAGTTTCTGGTCGTGTGTTAGCCTAGACCGTTTCTGGTCGTGTGTTAGCCAAGACAGTTTCTGGTCGTGTGTTATCCTAGACAGTTTCTGGTCCTTTGTTAGCCTAGACCGTTTCTGGTCCTGTGTTAGCCTAGACAGTTTCTGGTTGTGTGTTAGCCTAGACAGTTTCTGGTCGTGTGTTAGCCTAGACAGTTTCTGGTCCTGTGTTATCCTAGACAGTTTCTGGTCCTGTGTTAGCCTAGACAGTTACTGGTCCTGTGTTAGCCTAGACAGTTTCTGGTCCTGTGTTAGCCTAGACCGTTTCTGGTCCTGTGTTGGCCTAGACCGTTTCTGGTCCTGTGTTAGCCTAGACAGTTACTGGTCCTGTGTTAGCCTAGACAGTTTCTGGTCCTGTGTTAGCCTAGACAGTTTCTGGTTGTGTGTTATCCTAGACAGTTTCTGGTTGTGTGTTAGCCTAGACAGTTTCTGATTGTGTGTTATCCTAGACAGTTTCTGGTTGTGTGTTAGCCTAGACAGTTTCTGATTGTGTGTTAGCCTAGACAGTTTCTGGTTGTGTGTTAGCCTAGACAGTTACTGGTCCTGTGTTAGCCTAGACAGTTTCTGGTTCTGTGTTATTCAGACAGTTTCTGGTCCTGTGTTAGCCTAAACAGTTTCTGGTCCTGTGTTATTCTAGACAGTTTCTGGTCGTGTGTTATCCTAGACAGTTTCTGGTCGTGTGTTATCCTAGACAGTTTCTGGTCCTGTGTTATCCTAGACAGTTTCTGGTCATGTGTTAGCCCAGACAGTTTCTGGTTGTGTGTTAGCCCAGACAGTTTCTGGTTGTGTGTTATCCTAGACAGTTTCTGGTCCTGTGTTATCCTAGACAGTTTCTGGTCCTGTGTTATCCTAGACAGTTTCTGGTCATGTGTTAGCCTAGACAGTTTCTGGTTGTGTGTTAGCCTAGACAGTTTCTGGTTCTGTGTTAGCCTAGACAGTTTCTGGTCGTGTGTTATCCTAGACAGTTTCTGGTTGTGTGTTATCCTAGACAGTTTCTGGTTGTGTGTTAGCCTAGACCGTTTCTGGTCCTGTGTTAGCCTAGACAGTTTCTGGTTGTGTGTTAGCCCAGACAGTTTCTGGTTGTGTGTTAGCCTAGACAGTTTCTGGTCGTGTGTTAGCCTAGACAGTTTCTGGTCGTGTGTTAGCCTAGACAGTTTCTGGTCCTGTGTTAGCCTAGACAGTTTCTGGTCCTGTGTTAGCCTAGACAGTTACTGGTCCTGTGTTAGCCTAGACAGTTTCTGGTTCTGTGTTATTCAGACAGTTTCTGGTCCTGTGTTAGCCTAAACAGTTTCTGGTCCTGTGTTATTCTAGACAGTTTCTGGTCGTGTGTTATCCTAGACAGTTTCTGGTCGTGTGTTATCCTAGACAGTTTCTGGTCCTGTGTTATCCTAGACAGTTTCTGGTCCTGTGTTAGCCCAGACAGTTTCTGGTTGTGTGTTAGCCCAGACAGTTTCTGGTTGTGTGTTATCCTAGACAGTTTCTGGTCCTGTGTTATCCTAGACAGTTTCTGGTTCTGTGTTATCCTAGACAGTTTCTGGTCATGTGTTAGCCTAGACAGTTTCTGGTTGTGTGTTAGCCTAGACAGTTTCTGGTCCTGTGTTAGCCTAGACAGTTTCTGGTCGTGTGTTATCCTAGACAGTTTCTGGTCCTGTGTTAGCCTAGACAGTTTCTGATTGTGTGTTAGCCTAGACAGTTTCTGGTCCTGTGTTAGCCTAGACAGTTTCTGGTCCTGTGTTGGCCTAGACAGTTTCTGGTCGTGTGTTAGCCTAGACAGTTTCTGGTCGTGTGTTAGCCAAGACAGTTTCTGGTCGTGTGTTATCCTAGACAGTTTCTGGTCCTTTGTTAGCCTAGACCGTTTCTGGTCCTGTGTTAGCCTAGACAGTTTCTGGTTGTGTGTTAGCCTAGACAGTTTCTGGTCCTGTGTTAGCCTAGACAGTTTCTGGTTGTGTGTTAGCCTAGACAGTTTCTGGTCCTGTGTTAGCCTAGACAGTTTCTGGTCCTGTGTTAGCCTAGACAGTTTCTGGTCGTGTGTTATCCTAGACAGTTTCTGGTCCTGTGTTAGCCTAGACAGTTTCTGGTCCTGGGTTAGCCCAGACAGTTTCTGGCTCTGTGTTAGCCTAGACAGTTTCTGGTCCTGTGTTAGCACAGACAGTTTCTGGTCCTGTGTTAGCACAGACAGTTTCTGGTCCTGTGTTAGCCTAGACAGTTTCTGGTCCTGTGTTAGCACAGACAGTTTCTGGTCCTGTGTTAGCCTTTTTTCTTTAACTCAAATCTCTTAAATCTCTTATTAAAAGCAAACTTATAAAACATAACAAGGAGCAATAAAAGGAGTGGTTTCAATCAAATCGGTAAATTATGTATGTACAACTGTGAATGATATTGTAATAAATTCCAGGTGTCCAGCCAGGTGGGTTCTACCATGGATCTCTACAAGACACTGCTGGACCTGGCTGATGTCAAGATCCCTACAGACCGAGTTATAGATGGCATCAGTCTGCGGTCAACCCTGCTTAACAACACTGTTGTCCAGAGGTGTGTGAGGGAATGGCACCAATTTATCAGATCTGTTCAATGATATATAGCTTAAGCCCTTGGTGTAAGAGAAAGTCTTTATATTTAATACTTTTAATGCTATAGTTAACTTTTTATGTCATATGTTAGTTCTCCTCAGACATTTGTTTAATGACCTTTATACAGCCAGTACTCAGATTACCTTCATATGTCCAGTCCTCAGACTGTTGTATGTCAAGCCTTCAGTAGACCTTTGTATGTCCAGCCCTCAGTAGACCTTTGTTATGTCCAGCCCTCAGTAGACCTTTGTTATGTCCAGCCTTCAGTAGACCTTTGTTATGTCCAGCCTTCAGTAGATCTTTGTTATGTCCAGCCATTAGTAGACCTATGTATGTCCAGCCATCAGTAGACCTTTGTTATGTCCAGCCTTCAGTAGACCTTTGTTATGTCCAGCCATCAGTTGACTTTTGTTATGTCCAGCCATCAGTAGACCTATGTATGTCCAGCCATCAGTAGACCTATGTATGTCCAGCACTCAGTAGACTTTTGTTATGTCCAGCTATCAGTTGACCTTTGCTATATTCAGCCTTCAGTAGACCTTTGTTATGTCCAGTCCTCAGTAGACCTTTGTATGTTTAGCCTTTATTTCACTTGATTCTTGATCTACCAGGCCTTTGTTTTATTACCGTGGAAATGAGCTGATGGCAGTAAGACTTGGTGAATACAAACTTCACCTCTGGACTTTCACCAACCCAATAAAGGAGTTTAACAGGGTAAGCCTGTAGAGCACATATTTAGTGAGCATAAGTTGACATTATGTAAGCAGGGTGATTTAGTTTACTGTAGTCAAAGTGTGAATGATATATCACAAGCATCTACATTAGTAGTGTATTAAGATAAGCATAAGTTTATCTAACACAGCTAAATGGTTTTTATAAATGTAAGAAATAATAATTTTGTTTAACTAATGTCTTTGACTTTTTTATATTTCTAGAGTTGTGTGTCAGCATATGTTATAAGTATTATTATTTGATTACCAGGGTGTTGACTTCTGTCCTGGCCAGTACATACAGAATGTGACTACCCATGAACTAACACGCCATGATCCACCATTACTATTCCATCTTGGCAGAGACCCAGGGGAGAAATACTTCATCAAGTAGGTCAGAGAGAGGGGAGAAATACTTCATCAAGTAGGTCAGAGAGAGGGGAGAAATACTTCATCAAGTAGGTCAGGGAGCCAGGGGAAAAATACTTCATCAAGTAGGTGAGGGGGCCAGGGGAGAAATACTTCATCAAGTAGGTCAGACAAAGGGGAGAAATACTTCATCAAGTAGGTCAGACAGAGGAGAGAAATACTTCATCAAGTAGGTCAGACAGAGGGGAGAAATACTTCATCAAGTAGGTCAGGGATCCAGGGGAGAAATACTTCATCAAGTAGGTCAGGGAGCCATGGGAAAAATACTTCATCAAGTAGGTGAGGGGGCCAGGGGAGAAATACTTCATCAAGTAGGTCAGGCAAAGGGGAGAAATACTTCATCAAGTAGGTCAGACAGAGGAGAGAAATACTTCATCAAGTAGGTCAGACAGAGGGGAGAAATACTTCATCAAGTAGGTCAGGGAGCCAGGGGAGATACTTCATTAAGTAGGTCAGACAGAGGGGAGAAATACTTCATCAAGTAGGTCAGGGATCCAAGGGAGAAATACTTCATCAAGTAGGTCAGACAGCCAGGGGAGAAAAACTTCATCAAGTAGGTCAGGGATCCAAGGGAGAAATACTTCATCAAGTAGGTCAGGGATCCAAGGGAGAAATACTTCATCAAGTAGGTCAGACAGCCAGGGGAGAAAAACTTCATCAAGTAGGTCAGGGATCCAAGGGAGAAATACTTCATCAAGTAGGTCAGTGATCCAAGGGAGAAATACTTCATCAAGTAGGTCAGACAGCCAGGGGAGAAAAACTTCATCAAGTAGGTCAGGGATCCAAGGGAGAAATACTTCATCAAATAGGTCAGACAAAGGGAAGAAATACTTCATCAAGTAGGTCAGACAGAGGAGAGAAATACTTCATCAAGTAGGTCAGACAGAGGGGAGAAATACTTCATCAAGTAGGTCAGGGATCCAAAGGAGAAATACTTCATCAAGTAGGTCAGACAGCAAGGGAGAAATACTTCATCAAGTAGGTCAGGGATCCAAGGGAGAAATACTTCATCAAGTAGGTCAGACAGCCGGAAGAGAAATACTTCATTCAGTTAAAAATGTCAGGGAGCCAGACAGAAATTACATATATTATCAGCTAGTCCATTAATTTTGATGATATTACACAGAGAAATAATAGGTTACTGTTGATTGGATACATTTGTTTTAGGGGCCATACTGAGGAATATAAAACTGTGGTGCCTGTAATACAGTCGGCCATAGATAATCATAGGAAACACATGGTACCAGGCAAACCACAACTCAACATGTGTGATCAAGCTGTCATGGTAAGTTAAAAGGGTCAACATAAATGGCAAGGAAGGTTTAGTATGAAAGTTGAAAGGTCATCAGATGTGATAGAATTATTGTAAGGTCACTGTTGTAGTGATACTATTGCATTGCTTCAACATGATACTTAGTATTACCTGGTAATACAACTTACAGCTGTGCATGAGTAGAGATATATATCAGTGTTATTGACAGTATTAAATGTTACTAAAATTGTCATTTTATTAATGGATACAACAAAATCTGCTTCAGAATTGGGCTCCCCCTGGTTGTGACAAGGGAGGTAACACATGCTTAAAGGGTCCACCCTCAAAGCCATTTCTGTGTAGCTGGCCACATTGAGAAACTAAGATTTGTATGCTTGCATGAAGAAATCAAGAATATTTCTGTATAGATGAGACCAATGTGTTTCTGTTTGTGAGAAGGAAACAGAATTGTTTCACTTGTATGGTGCTGAACAATCAAGCATCTTTTCTGTATGAAATATAAGGGATGATAACTAACACTAAGGGGATGAGCAAGGACTATTTCTGTCAGGAAGGGGACCAACTAGCAACATTTCTGTGTGGAGGGGAACCAACTAGCAACATTTCTGTGTGGAGGGGAACCAACTAGCAACATTTCTGTGTGGAGGGGAACCAACTAGCAACATTTCTGTGTGGAGGGGAACCAACTAGCAACATTTCTGTGTGGAGGGGAACCAACTAGCAACATTTTTGTGTGGAGGGGAACCAACTAGCAACATTTCTGTGTGGAGGGGAACCAACTAGCAACATTTCTGTGTGGAGGGGAACCAACTAGCAACATTTCTGTGTGGAGGGGAACCAACTAGCAACATTTCTGTGGGGAGGGGAACCAACTAGCAACATTTCTGTGTGGAGGGGAACCAACTAGCAACATTTCTGTGTGGAGGGGAACCAACTAGCAACATTTCTGTGTGGAGGGGAACCAACTAGCAACATTTCTTGGTGGAGGGAATCAACAAGCAATACTGTTGTGTGGAAGAGGACCAACTAGCAACATTTCTGTGTGGAGGGGAACCAACTAGCAACATTTCTGTGTGGAGGGGAACCAACTAGCAACATTTCTGTGTGGAGGGGAACCAACTAGCAACATTTCTGTGTGGAGGGGAACCAACTAGCAACATTTCTGTGTGGAGGGGAACCAACTAGCAACATTTCTGTGGGGAGGGGAACCAACTAGCAACATTTCTGTGTGGAGGGGAACCAACTAGCACATTTCTGTGTGGAGGGGAACCAACTAGCAACATTTCTGTGTGGAGGGGAACCAACTAGCAACATTTCTTGGTGGAGGGAATCAACAAGCAATACTGTTGTGTGGAAGAGGACCAACTAGCAATATTTCTGTGTGGGAAGGTCCAAAAAGTGTTGTTTTTGTGTGGAGAGAATTAACAAGCGATGCTTCTGTGTGGAGGGGGACCCAATGCAATCTTTCTGTTTGGAGAGGACTGACAATCAATGTTTCTGTCTCAAAGAGGAACAAACAACAATATTTCTGTCGGCAGGGAACAAACAGGCAGGATTTCTGTGTGGTAAGGTGACCAACACACATTGTCTCTGTCTGGAGAGGGGAGGCTAACAAATATTGTTTGTCTGGAAGGGAACCAACGTAGTTTCTTTCTGGAACAGGGACCCCATGCATTGTTTCTATCTGGAAGGGACCAACAAATAGTTTATCACTGGAGGGGGACTTACAAACAACGTTTCTGTCTTGAGGGGGACCAACAGGTATTGTTTCTGTATGAAGAGGGACCAACCAGCATCTTTTCTGTCTGGAAAGGACCAATAAGCATATTTTATATATGAAAAGAAGGCCTACAATAAATGTTTCTTGTGATGAGGGCATTGTTTTGTAAGGAAGGGCCAACACTTTGTATAAAGTGAAAATATCACACAGTATTTGTGTGTGCAGGGAATATCAGCATTCTTCATAATTCAGGTTGAAATGGTTTAGTTCCAGGCAACTGACAAATACATTCTACTAATAAAAATGATCAATAAAAACATGTTATAGCTATCCAGCTTTGTAGTTTATTTGTATGACAGTACCTAAGTGCAACATTGTGATTCTGAGTCCACCTTTGTTATAATGGTACACAGTGTGATATATAGCTGTCTGGTTAATTCTGAGTCCACCTTTGTTATAATGGTACACAGTGTGATATATAGCTGTCTGGTTAATTCTGAGTCCTCCTTTGTTATAATGGTACACAGTGTGATATATAGCTGTCTGGTTAATTCTGAGTCCACCTTTGTTATAATGGTACACAGTGTGATATATAGCTGTCTGGTTAATTCTGAGTCCACCTTTGTTATAATGGTACACATTGTGATATATAGCTGTCTGGTTAATTCTGAGTCCACCTTTGTTATAATGGTACACATTGTGATATATAGCTGTCTGGTTAATTCTGAGTCCACCTTAGTTATAATAGTAAACCTTGGCGAATTGATCACCTTGGTCCTTTGAATTAATACAACTTTGAATTTATTGTAAAAAAATAACACAACAAACTTATATAGCAGAAAAATAGAATTTGTTTAATGTACAGACTGGATGCTTATCATTATATAATTAAACATCCATCATCTCGCTTATTCTATATGAACTGGAAAGAAAGTAAATTACTTCTAATACAAACAACTGTATCAAAATCTGATCAGGTGGTGTGTAGTCGGCTAGGTGGATACAAGTACAATCATTTATATATATATAACTACCAGTAGTATAAAGACAGCTTTGACAGTGAATTAAGCAACATGGCAGACATGTATCCACGTGTATGTGTATACCAGGGCGTTTCTTCATATCTTACATCTCAATGTCACATGACAAATGTCATCTTTATAAGGAAATCCATGTAAGCAAAACTATGCAACTGTCACCTGTTCCGATATGAATTCCTGTAGACCTTCCACACTGTGAAGCATGTTATGTCATACAGCACTGAATTCTATCCCTTTTTCAGAATTCATTTCAACATCATCATCAGAAAGAATTTTCTTCCTTAATAGTGTGATTTAGATAGAATTTATTGTATTTCTAAATTTAATTCACTGACTAAATTCAACAAAATACTTTTAATTTATTTACATAGTACACCGTGGTCATCAACATCATTTTGAACCATTTTACTGTTACAATCATACTGAATTGCTTTGTGTTGTTAAATAAGGAAAAGCTGCCAAAGATTATAAATATTGAACTGAGGATAAACGCACTAAAAATAATATACATATTGCCAAATTTTAGAAGTAAATCATACCTGAAAGCAATGTTGTTGCTGCCTTAATCAAGAAACATGAGATACCAGAGGACAATGAGTATGTTGTTCTGTGTCTACTCTGACCTGTACTATTTTGATATCTTAATAACAGAATGGCCAGTTGGCCTTTTTTACTTGTTCATTATAGCTGAGAAAAAAGAACAGAAGTAGCACCTATTTTGAAATGATGATTTGGGAAAACAATGATGTAATGTTTAAAATGATTAAAATAAGGGAGGTTAGGTTGTGCAATGTAACACACTCACCTTTTACCTAGACATCCGTGATTAAACCCCAAAACGGATGTGAAAAGATATGGGGTTATCTGTCTGACTAAATGGGTTTTCCATGCGTTATCCAATTTCCTCCCACAACAAGTTCCATCATACCATTCCATACGAGACAATATGAGTGATAAATATATGATGAAATAACTTGTTTCACAATTGTCTTTACATAAATAAAGTATATACATGTACTATATTTAAATGATTCACTCATGAAAACGAAACTGATATAATGCCACGGTATGTCATTGTGACATTATTTGTTGTATAACTACCCTGTTATAAGTGTAATAACATCCATTACACCTATTGGAATATAACCATGTGTAATAATAGTTTCCAATGTTTCAATTGTGATGTCATGACTGCTATGCATCATATGCATTGTGATGTCACTGAAGACAGATATGGAGGTAAAATAGGGTAAAATATAGATGTTATATCAGACAATGAAATGCTGCTTTAACTGGATCTAACATTTGTTTTCAAAGTTGGTGCTTCATTATTCAATTAATTCCCAGGCATTTGTACAGCTTCTTCAGAGTTTTACCTAAATAAGGAGGTGTAAAACTTGGTCCAAAACTTGTTATGCTGTAAAAATTATTTGTAAATACCAGCACTACAGGCATAACATCATGCACAGCCATAACATCGTGCACAGCCAATCAAAATGATTGTTGCAAACACTTTTCATCTATATGCTTAGCAAACCCAACAGATGAAACAGCAATGAGTACTAATGTATTAACCATTAAAACAAAACCTGAGTAAGTATATAACAACACTTATTGTTAAGGATACCACAGCATGATGACCTGGTGTTACAGAGTTGACACAGGTATGGAGAAACAGACGGGTATTAAAGATTTTGTTGTAATATGACAACTTGATTTCTTATTTTAGATTCTGAATGAACAATTAATCAAAACTTTTAACATATAAGCAAGGTATGTAAATTAAAAATTATCTAATACATATAGCTGAATAGAGAGTGAACTAACAGGATATAAGTGAACTAGTGATATGTACTAACAGGATATCAATGAACTAGACATATGTACTAACAGGATATCAATGAACTAGACATATGTACTAACAGGATATCAATGAACTCGACATATGTACTAACAGGATATCAATGAACTAGACATATGTACTAACAGGATATCAATGAACTAGACATATGACAGACATGCTAGAGATACACTGCCCCTGAACATGGCTGTTAATGAAGTACCCGTAAACTTGTCATCTTTACGGTTACGGTAAAACTGTAATTATAATAGTACAATAATACAATTTATGTAATATATGTATGAATAATGCTTACAAATAAACAAAACCTCAAAATTAATAGAATATATCCTGGCCCAAACAATATATACTTTGCTAGTTGTTAGCATTAGTCTTTAAGGAAAATATTTTCATAAACAAAGTTCGAAAAAAGAAAAATAAATAAAAAAAAAAAATTAAATAAAGATGTATCTGAAATATAAAATGATGATACACACTGTATAACAATAACCATTTGTGACCAGTAAACATTTAGTGTCATTGAATTGTACGACTGACTTGACACAAAATCCCAATAACAACAAAACATTTACAAATGATTGTGCAGCACTACAAATACAACAAACCCAACACATATCTATTATATCAAAAGGAAGCAAATCAACAAAACTTGTGTGAATAAATCAATAGTTTATCACAAAGCTATTAGTAATATGAGACCCTTAAATAACTATCATTAATACAAGTTGGACTTGTCTCCAACACCAAGGAAAACTTTCTTTTTCAAACCTCATAAAATCTTATCCAAGGAAAGTTGAGGTTTCTCTGTCTACAACACACAGGAGTAATTACAGTTGTGTTCTTTACATTCCTCCCACACTTTCCCAATGTTGAAATGGTGAGTCCAGCACACCATCACATCATCAATGGCAGCAACATGTGATAAAACTGATTCTAGAACAAGTAGCAAAAGTGATCAGGTTTTACTTGGTAAATAAAGGCAGATATTTCTATAGAAGTGAAAATGCAGGACTAAAGTGTGGGAGAAATACAAATTTAGTGTTATCCACTGAAAAATAAACAATCATGAAATGTCCACAGAAGACAAGAAGGAAACTACAGCTTTAGGATTAAATTTACATTTGAACATAAATCACAGCCTTGGAAAATGCACTCCCAACTGATTTAATTCCAAATAAATACAAAAATACAAATTTTTAATAAATATATAAGAATCTACATGTAAATGATTTCTTCAGATTGTAATGCAAACTAAATATACAAAGAAACAAAACACAAGTACAATATCAATGTACTTACAAATGGCAATAGTGTCACTTTATATTATAAACAAGAATATTGTTTTGTTCAATGCTTTGATGTGAACAAGGAATGCTTACTGAACCTACTACATGTAATATGATTCCTGCCTTGTTATTCAATACCAACTTGTCATAGACTTGATTTTCAAATGACCAGGCTAATTATCACACAAAAGTCATGTTGTACAAACAGAAAAATGGCAATTAATACTGAATGTCAATATTGTTACCATATAAAGACAATTATTAATATATCATTTTTTAAATGGTCTTGATACTGTACAACGTATTTTTCGGTTAAAAACTTTTTTTTCATCTGTAGAGCATGTGGCTTATATATCCATGCTGCTTATATATAGATGAAAAAGTGAAAAAAAAAATGAGAAAATGAAAAAAAATCAGTGTTTTTAAGCGATATACACACTTTAAACATTAATTTCCAATCACTTCGAGATACATTTTCATGAAGAAAATTCTGTAATACTTTAATCCTTGAAACAGTATGAATATTATAGACACTCTTCCCTTTGGCTGTAAGTAACAATTTCACATAGGCAGAAAACTTGTTATCAAACAACCAGCTATTCTACCATCACAATAGGTCAAGTGACTACACTTCAGTACGTAGTTCTCTCATCTAAACAAATGCGTATATACTGAAGCTCGTAGTTCCAAGGGACACAGTAAACAAGATATACCCTGATACACAGTAAACAAAGGGCCATAACTCTCATGGGATAAGAAATATGAGATTCCCAAAGCCATCAGGGCAACAGGTATCAACTGATAGAATTTGGCAGTTGTATGCGGCAGATTAAGCTCCAGACATATTGATGTATGGAGTGAAGGACGGAGCACTGATAGCACCTGGTATATCCCCTTTACTTTATCAATGTCTTCATTTCGGTGGTGGTGTATCTACCCCGTTACTCATCACATCTACAGGAGTTCTATTTCGCAAAAGCTACGGACTAGGTGAAAAAAGAATTTCACACAATCTTTCATCATGTCTCCATGTTGGCCAAGATACGGGATATTTCAGCTCGCTGACAAGTTGACATGTGCTGCAAGATATGTATGAGTGAGTCCATGGTAACCTCTGGATTGTCCTGGATAAGGCTGGTAAAGTATAAAAGTCAAAGTTGATAAATATCATCTACTGATATTACAACTTTAAACGTTCAATGATGTTAAGGTGTTTCAAATTCTACGAATATTTGTTTATTATCATAAAGATGAATAGTTTGTACACTGTATAACATATTGAAATGTTTTAAACTTTATAAGGTAGATAATTTGTAAAACATCTTACCTGTGGACTTGATGGATGACATGGTCACGTTGAAGACAGCGCATATTCTCTGTAACGGCATTATGACCTGAATTCTCGTCCAGTTGTTCTACCAGCCAGCCAACAACTGACTTGTCATCTTCCCACTGGTACGCCTACTCACAAAAGAAGGAGGAGTCAAGGGAGGCAACTGTATCAAATATCTTGCATGTTATATTAAGGTGACTCTTAAGTCAGAAACTAGATATTTCAGTCAGAGACAATCATATGATGATCAATAAGATCTATTATCAGTACAGATTTACTGATATGTGTATTACTTCTTAACTTACAACTGTTGACTAGAAGCTTCATTAATGCAGAAAATTCATGCTTAATTTTAACTGCTAAACAACGTCCTGAATATGACTTACATTGACTGTTCCTTGGTCCTCTACAAACCAGCGACTGAGGCTGGAGTTGAGCTGTCCCTCACTCAGGTTCGAAGTGAAGGAATGCATCTTCCGTTTGAGTTCACACTCCAGCAAACGGCGCTTAAGTCTCCAATACATGAACTCACGACTTCGCTTCCACTTAATGGTGGCCTAAAAAAATGAAACTTGTCCAGTATATCCTACAGATATTGACTTTAATTAAGAAAAAGAAATGAACATATGAGGCAGATGACAGTACAAATTGGGAGGAAAAAGCTTTTTCACTAAAACTTTTTTTCATTTTGTTAAACTTAAGCAAAGTGTATACAATACAATTACATTCCATCAAAGAAGAGCATACAAAGAGAAACTGATTAGGATAGATGCTCACAAATCCTTAGTCAATGATGTAGGTTCATTATCAACCATATTCAAATCAGACAATATACTACATACGGAAATGACATTCTTTTCTTCCATGCGTCCAGGCGTATCGTGAAGGTCAGCGAACTGTATTGCCACTTGATGGTACATAGGTACAAGTTTCTCCTCATGTTGTGATAACTGTTTCTCCAGTGATGCCTTTTCCTCTGCCCCAAGGTTTGGTGTATTTAACTTCTCTATAAGATTCTTACAACCCGGATCTAGACGTCGCATCGACTTGATCAAGTCCTTTCGTCTGAACTTGATTTCTACTGTCCCCTCAGGCTCTAGAACTCCTCCACTGTGTAAACATTTACATGAGGTGGTTTATTTTACCTTTTATTACTCCCCCTTTTCAAGATAAAGAAACTTCGGACGACTCCTACCATTTCCTTGACATTATTTACACAATGTTATAGTCATAAACAAAGGTACCAAAATATTTCTGTTGTGCTTACGTAACTGCTGGTTATTCCTTCTGTAAACTGTTATTGTTTTCCTCTGTGATTGGTGTGGAACAAGAAGAGAATCAGAAATAAGACTGGTTTGTGTTGAGAGTTGATAAAGAGATACCACCAAACACCAATATGGCTGAACACTTCATTTATCATAGAACTCATAGAGCCTGAATTTAACATCAATGCACTACTGTATATTATCTCTGAAAACTGTGTGTCCTTACCGGCTAAGCTGGTCAGCAAACATTTCCATATGGACTGGGTTAATCGTTGGGTCAACGACTACCCAAGCCCCACCCCTCAGCTCTGCGTATGGCGGTATATACACAAAGATGGGCCGATTGTATTCCCTCAGAGCGTCAACAATGTAGGAACCAAACTTGAGCACTTGGTCATACATGTCTGTAAAAAAGTGACATTTGTTATGAATTTAGTAGTTGGACTTTAAACAAGAAAAGTTTACAATCTTTAAAAGTGTTACAACAAATTCATCAATGATAATGAAGAAAGAGTTTGACAGGAGTTGTCTCACCTTTCATACCCCCAGAGAAACCTCTCCAGTTGGCAAACACCAACAGAGGGAGCTCCTCTCTGTTGAAGTCTTTGATGGCTTGAGCTGTCTTATAGGCAGAGTCTGGGAACCAGACTTGACCAGCCTGCTGGATTACCTGTAGCAGAAACCATTTGTTACACAATAGTCACACTACAGAAAGAAATATGTTTATTGATTTGAAAGCCTATCTCTACAGCCAGCTGGTAGATACAGGCAATCATTTTTGTGTAATACAATAATGTTTTTGTAATTGTGGTAAGCATATTTATTTCATAATTTAAAAATGAAAAGACAAATGATTGTCACAGTAATATATATATATATAAATGTATATTGTTATGGAAATACCTTCGATTCTGAATCCAGATTGGCAGGGTCAGCTGGAATGGTGACCTCTACTGTCCTAGTTTCCACGCTGACGACCCCTATAGGGATGCCCCCTAGTCGCGCACGGCCCACTACCACAGTCTGGGCCCAGGGCTGAAGGATCTCCTTGAAGCTATCCTTGTCAAAGAAACCACTCTGCCAAACATTCTTCTTGTCTGAAACAGAAAAAGGGTTCAGTTGAGACAAAAGTCCAGAATTGTCGCCCTAACCATGGGTCTTTCCAAAATACATCACCATTTACAGAGACAAACAGTATTTCAACAAAGGAACACTCAAAATTAATAACAAAAATATACAACTGATCCTGAATCATTCAGAAATTAGAAATATCTATACAACTGATTGTCAGACAATCAGAAACTACCAATTTCTATACAGCTGACTACATGTTACTCAAAAATAAACATTATTTAAATAACTGACTGCTGTCCACTGAAAAATCAGTTACTACCAGGAGGCGTCCCGGCGTCATATGATTAAGTGAAGCCCATGGTTGCTACACCAGGTCTCCAACAGAACAACACAATGTTTCTACTATCATTTAATATCTTGTAGATGACAAACTTTCCCTGATACTGGAAATCAGGACAACCAGTACAGTGATAGATGATACTATACAGTTTACACTGTATTACATATCTAAAGGGAGCAAGCTATCAGAATTCATCAAATGTTACAGAAAATACTTGATATAGTTCTATTACACTTTAAGACCAGATTCAGTGACCTTGTTCCCTGAAAAAGAATTAACGAAATAAGCATCATTGAAAATGTACCAACCAGGGTGTGGCCTTCCACACAGCATCCAGCGAGGGTCGTATGGTGCTTTGGTGGGTACAAACTCCACATCCCGCTCCACAGGATCCAGTATAGGCAGGGTAGGAAGAGGGGACCCACGGTGCTGTGTAAAGAATGTCATTATTTCTAAAATAAACAGGTGTATAAAGCACAAATTTCTATATCATGGTGAATTTCCTCACAAATCTAGAAATAATATCGTAGATAAAAACAAAGTCTTGTCATACAACAATGGTTTATAAGTAAAATCCATGATTACAGAATCTTTGACTTTACCTTGGGTACATACGACAGCCACTCCAATACTTTGTTGGTACCTTCAAAGTCGTCGCTCACCACTTCATGTGACACACCATTACTGTGCATTATCTGTATTCCACCCAACTGATTGTTACTAGTGTACACCTCTCGACCAAGGACCTGTAAAATATAAAAACAAAGTAAGAATGGGCTCACATAGCTATATCCCTTGTACACTATTGCAAGATTTCAGCTTTTATTACAAAAGGTGTTCAATTTCATAATGTAACAGGAAAGGAATCTGTCACACTGTCCTGCAATTAGCCCATTTCTGGTAATATGCCTGACTATATATACTGCAGTTCAGAAGTAATAAAAACCCAGTCATTTCACCCTAGTCTCTTAGGAAGAAGTTTGTCATTTCACCCTTGTCTCTGTGGAAAAAGTTTGTCATTTCACCTTAGTCTCTGTGGAAAAAGTTTGTCATTTCACCCTAGTCTCTGAGTAAGAAATTGCTACATTGTATGTGTTGACCCCAGGCTTAGTGCAGGACAAATATGTTCTACTTTTCTTTGCTGACATTTCTGTATGTTTACAGATCACCATGCTGGAAACCAAATTTCACCTTATCAAATGTTCCTCTCTAAATTCACCTTACCTTGTTGAGAGCTCCTGCTCCTGTAAGGATAATGTGTGAGTTTTCTACTTGTATAGTCCTCTGTCCTAGTCTTACTAGGTAGGCACCAATACCTATAGCCCTGCAGGTTACCTGGTACCAAAAAAAACCGAAATAAATAAATACCATATGTATAGTCCCACAAAAACTAAAACCTTCATATAAACACAAATAGGCACATCAATCACCACACACCTGAATCACTGAATACTAGAATCCAGAATCTATAGATCTATAGCCCCACAGAACAGGTTACACATAAACCTGACAGATATTACATAAACTAATCTATATCACTTATTTCCTGAAAAGATTGTCACTATCATTAAATGTATTGCAACTATGTGTTTTTCTTATAACAAGTTATGAAAACATAAATGACATCCAAACTGATACATGATGATGTAGCGTCTACCTTACCAAACTCATAGTGGGTATTTCCTCATAGGCAGCAGATGTTTCTCCAGCAATCATTCCTGAGCCCCTAAGGTTCTCTACTCCAAGGCCCTCCTCTTTTCCTACAAAGGAATTATATCCTTTTAAGATAGCCTACCTGACTTTATAGAAAATGTACATTGCACCACTCATCAAAGCCTTACTTGTTTCCTACAAGAATTTTGGTATCTTACATCAATAAGAGGTCCATAACTGACAGATTTGAATATATTGATGTAGATGACAGAAAACTTACCAATCATATCATAATATTGTAATAAATACACAGTACATTTACCTTAGATATTTTTCTATGGTTCCTTACAGTACTATGTCTGTAAAACTTACCAATCATAGTATTGTAGTAAATACAAAGTACATTTACCTTAAGATATTTTTCTATGGTTCCTTACACTACTATGTCTGTAAAACTTACCGATGATGTCTGTGATTTTATAGCGAGATTCACCCTCATCCTCGATCAGTTCGGCCCGGACAGCATTCACGGCGCTCACCTTCTTAAAGTCATCAGGAGCCAGATACAGATACTTAAAGCCCTGTAATAGTATAGATTATGTAATGAATAAATAAGCAATATGGTTAACACTATTAAAATTCATTCTCGTTTGGTATTTCCAGATAGATACACATTTGAAATAATTTTCACTATAATTTCACATATTTCTCAGCTGACAAAAGATCTAACTTCATTTTGTTTTTATTTTTTCCCTTGTCAATCAAATTTTACTTTCATTTTACTGTTGATACAGAATCTATCTAAACAGGTCAAATCAATCAAATTACTGTTAGTATTCAACCTTCAAAAATATTTTGTCCTTGTGTATCCTTACATTGTCAGGTATAAGTTATCTCCCCTACCTTGTCTGGGTCGTCATTGTCATGCCAGGCCACTCTAAACAGATGCTTGAGTTCCTCGCTTAGCCCTATCCTGGCCCCACTGTTAGCAGAGATGTATATGCGAGGAATGCCCTTTGTCCTTGCCAACTCTGATGACCTCTGTATCATAAATGGTTAAAGATTCATTGTATAATCCTACTTTAATATCATCAATTATACAACTATTAAAAAGTACAACAAATAAATTACGACAAAAAGACAATTCAATATATTGCCTTAAATATCAACGCCCTTCTATTTAAAGTGAACGTTCATATGCAGACAATCACTAAGATAGACAAGTTCCCTGTTGGCTGTTTTATAACACAAAGTTTTGTGTTGAGTTTGAGTAAAGTCTGTATATTGTAATGTTATGTGTGTGTATTAATACCTTGAACAGAAGGTCTTCCTTAGGTCCAAATGAGCCAATCCTATGTGTGATGTCATTAGCAATGACGATAATGTCTCGTCCACCGGGGTACTCTGGAGTTTTCAGCGTTACTTGCCATGCCACCATGCCAATCTGTTTTATATCAAATTTATAATCAATTATATGTAGCAAAAGACAAACTGCCTATAAAAAGCAAGGTACGTACCATCAGCAAAAGATTAGATTTAGTACAAATACACTTCAAGATCACATAAGTAAAGCAGTTGTTTTTTTTTCTGTTTCAAAAGGCTGAAATTTTCATGGTTTTACAAAAGTCTTGTTGTAATTTTTTTTTTTGCAGGAGTCATAAAATGGACTATTTTTTCTCTTTGTTAAACTTCTTTTCAAGGTAGATATTTTCCAGTTTTATTCCATTCTCAGAAAAAGATTATAAACCTTTCGAGAATCACAACTTCTACTGTAAAATTAATTTTCTGATAACTTAAGATGACACGGAGAACAAAAAACGATTATCAAGTACTTACGTTAAGCACAATATGTTACGTTGTTAAATAACATTAAAAATTTAAAACAATAAATTCTAGTTACTGCACTCAATTCTGATGATTTTATATACAGCTATAGATGAAGCAGTGATTCTGGTAATTCTTTACTTCTGATAAAGATATCACTTAACTTTTGATGATATATGCCGGTACCCAAGATGTGCCACATTAAAGTAGAAAGTAGTAGAAATACAGAATGACATGCAGATTGTTTATAAAAGATGAAATCAATCATAAAATTGACTTAATTTCTAAATACACTAATCAATTTCATATGTTCTATTTGGGTAACTACAGCTGTCGTTACTATAAAAGAAAATGAGTTAACTTTTCACTAGAATTGATTACAACAGTTCTTTGATAAGATCATGAGAAGATGAAGTTTACAATATTTTGCATTTCTTTATACAGAAAGATAATATTCATAATTATGTCCCTTGTGGGTAATGCGGTAATTTCTCAAGTCGTGACCCAAAAACTTTAATTTCTGAATGGTGCGGCCAACAATGCTTGAATTCACTGGAATATTATGACTATGTCATACAGATCACAGATCATACAAAGTGTTGGTTTGGTTGGGTAAAATGTCCCCACACAAAGCCACCAGTCTCACTATGTATTGCTGATCAGAAGGATTATCAACATAATAAAAATGATCTATAACTGCTGGAGAATGTGCAGTTAAACTCCTGCCTAACAAATCACAGGTTTACATGGACCATACTGACCAGTGACATTTAAATAAATAGATCACTTTTAAGAAACTACTTTTCCCACATAGTTGTCTCCCAATCAGAACATGTTGTACAAAGTAGATTAAAATTTTCTCTTCTACCGCCCACAATATATCTACCTGTACATTTCCATGGCTCTTGTTCAGTTTGGATATTTTGAGACGCTGTACCAGATATATGAAATATTGGACGAAGGTAAATATTATAACACTTGTGATAATAAATGGAAGAAATGAGAATTTTAAATGATGCACTTCTATTTTACAAAGAAGTCTATCATTCAGAATGTGAACAGGAATGCCAACTTGTTATAAAGATGTCTTTCAAAACCAGTGGGACATTTTTGTCAATCATGGAATATATACCCAAGTATCACAATAAAAATGTTTTAATAATATAAACAAGTGCTCACAAGTCCTTATATAACAATTCATCTGGACAAAACAATCCAAATTCAAAATCCTCAAATATTTCAAATACTTCAAAATGTTCAAATAATTCAAAATGTTCAAATAATTCAAAATCAATACAACTTGTTGTAGTCTTCCTTGTAAGCTCAGTAAGTTTGACATTTGAGGTCAAAAATAGATAAATCTTGAATCATTTACTGATATCAAAGTGTGTTGCAGTCAGTCAGTCACAAAGTGGATTCTATGTTTAAGACTGTCTGTATATTGTGCATACCTCATTTTCACCAGGCAATCTGTTTTGGACACATAGTCGATCCTGATTGTCTAGTACAAGTTCTTTACTGGAGAAGACTTCAGATGGAATGTCGGTCTCCTCCAGTTTGTATTGAGTCACATAGTCCTTCCACACTGAAGTCATCACCTGAATCAAACACACAGAAAATTACATTATCTTTTACAAGAAATATTTAATTTGCTTTAATTACCTAAAACACACACAGATGTGTCCATAAAGAATGTGACATTATCTTATACATTAAACATTTAAATTACTCTGAAGTTATTTAATATAATTTGATATAGACAACCTTTTAGTTTTCATTATTGACCATAAACACTTCAGGCAGAATTCAGAGAGAATCTGCAAATATTTACACAGGCCATGAAAGGTTCAGTCAAGGAGAGTCGAGAAATATAACAAAAGGTTCAGTCAAGGAGAGTCCAGAAATATAACAAAAGGTTCAGTCAAGGAGAGTCAAGAAATATAACAAAAGGTTCAGTCAAGGAGAGTCCAGAAATATAACAAAAGGTTCAGTCAAGGAGAGTCAAGGACTATAACAAAAGGTTCAGTCAAGGAGAGTCAAGAAATATAACAAAAGGTTCAGTCAAGGAGAGTCAAGAAATATAACAAAAGGTTCAGTCAAGGAGAGTCGAGAAATATAATGAAAGGTTCAGTCAAGGAGAGTCGAGAAATATAACAAAAGGTTCAGTCAAGGAGAGTCCAGAAATATAACAAAAGGTTCAGTCAAGGAGAGTCGAGAAATATAATGAAAGGTTCAGTCAAGGAGAGTCGAGAAATATAACAAAACGTTCAGTCAAGGAGAGTCAGGCAAAACAAGATGTATTAGATTCATTATTTCATAAACTTAGTCCAGCTGGTAAAATTGATAAATGGAAACTAAGTTTCTTTCTCTAGGAACTCATAGAGAGTTTTGTGAGAGTAAGTGATATTCAATACTTTTTTTGTGTATACCTGTTTGAACATTGCTGGGAAGTCGTACACATAGGTGGTTCCACTTGACTGAGCTTGGAAGCGTTTAAGTTGTAAATGGTCTTTGGTGACGTAAGGAGTGCTGATTAAGAGGCCGTGGAGGGCTCCCTGCTTTGGCCCGTAGGCTTCAAACATCACCTGTACAAAAAATGAATCATTAATACTTTAACAGGACCTCAGTAAAATATTTAATCACTATATTAGACTTCACCAACACTATTCCATTGTTTATCTATCTATTCACATAAACATTACAGTACATGTGAATCAACAGCTTTAACTAACAGGTTTCCTTGCAGAGTTTGTTACCTGTCCTGAGGTTGCATCTGTAGCTTCCTTGTATAGACTCATATCCAGGTAGTAGCCACTCTCATTGGTCAGAAACAGTCGGATAGGGTCAACTGCACCGGTCAAGCCATTTCTGTTCATATCAATCATGTTAATTATTGTAGCAAAGTAGCAAAAAAATATGTATCAACACACTGTGTCTCAATTCTCACAAATCTTATTCCCCTTAACAGACAAGATAAACGCTTAATGTCTGCCTTTCCTGTTACATGTTGATAAATGGAATAGTTTTCAATACAAACAGAATATTAGATATTGTAATAAATTTGATTAAATCTTCCTTAAACTTCCATGTTTGATAACAATATAGAGGATGAAATAAGAATGTATACTCAGACATCATCTATTACAACCTATCCTTTCTATTCTTAATATAAACATTGGCTTACCTGATGGTGAACTTAAGTTCAGCACTGAGCACACGGATACTCCACAGTCTGTTTCCGTATCTCATCACCATACTCCGCACTGTCTCTTCCAGCTAAGGGTACAATTACAGGCATCAATGTCATGTCACTTTCACTTTCCAATTAATTATATAATCATCTCTTAGAACAAGGAACTAAAGTCTAATCCAATTTCCACGTGAATGTTTCCATATATTTTTAATGGGAATGTTTCCAAATATTTTTAATGGGAATGTTTCCATATATTTTTAATGGGAATGTTTCCATATATTTTTAATGGGAATGTTTCCATATATTTTTAATGGGAATGTTTCCATATATTTTTAATGGGAATGTTTCCATCTATTTTTAATGGAAATGTTTCATTTATTTTTAATGGGAATGTTTCCATATATTTTCAATGGGAATGTTTCCATCTTTTTTTAATGGGAATGTTTCCATACATTTTTAATGGTAATGTTTCCATATATTTTTAATGGGAATGTTCCCATCTATTTTGAACAGGAATGTTTCCATATCTTTTCGTTTCCATATATTTTTAATGGGAATGTTTCCAGACATTTTTAATGGGAATGTTTCCAGAATTATTAATACCACAGTGAAGTGTCATTAACATTTTCCCATACATATAGCTCCTATTTAATTGATTTTTCTAATAGATATTTTTTTATCAAAACCAACACACACTCACCTTTCCTGGTTCATTCAAGGTCAAGGTGGGTACAAAGTTGAGGAAGATATGGTTACAATCAGTCCTTTTGGCCTGTAACAATGATATATAGAACTTAACTTCAGAATAAAATGAGAATGGTACACTTACAGATTAAAATTTATAATTGAATACAGTATAAAAAGTATAGAAGACATAATATCCTGTACTACTGATTCTTGGTAGATTTATTTTGGTAGCAGACAGAATATAATGACCAAATTGATACTCAAAGCTAGGATCCACTTACAAACTAACTTAGTACCCTGTCATCAGTTATTGACCTTGTCAAGTTAAATGATAAAAGCATGAATTCTTGTGAACCAAATCTGTTCAAATTAAGTCATAAGCAATGAATTACAGACCCCTAGTTATGGAACAGCCTTAAATGTTCATGTTAGAATAAGGTATCAAACAACCATAAGGCCTTAAGATGAGTGGGTAACCCAGGTTACTTACCAGAGGATGAGAGAAAGCCACCTCCAAGGAGTCCATGGCCTCTAACAGTGTCCTTTCTGCCTCATTCTGTAGGTACTCAAACGATGCCTCCTGTAACATTTAGAACAATACTTCATTAAGCAATGATATAACATTCCCATCAGGTGGAACAGATCATCTGGCCAACAACTTGTATGTTTCCTTTTTTTTGCGTAAGTATTGAACTTCAAGAAAAATTTCTGCTTTTATGATATTACTTTTGAATCATATTTTCATCCATTACCACACAAACGGACAAAAATAATAATTTATCATTGAAAACTTACTCAAAAGCAAAAAAATAAAATAAAAATTACATATGTAAATCAAGTCCTACTCACTTTGGTGACAAGATCTGAATGTCTAATGATTGATCTGACGAAGAATCGGTAGTCGGTGACCTCCTGACCCTTGGCAACCTGGTAAGGAAATAATCAAATTATGTGTACCAGGAGACATCTATAGGTCTCAAGTTTGTAGATTCATGTTCACAAATGCAACACAGTACATAATTCTCAGATATGTGTATAAACTGAGACTTGTACTATAATTAGTCACTATGTTGAAGTTTGTGGAGGACAAATTCGAACAACTACACAACCCATGATACAACCAATCTTAATATACGACAAACTTTTATGGTCGTATCACATAAAGGATATGATCATAATTATTTAACATAAATTCTTCAACAAGTGATTTGAAGTCACCCGTTTGAATACGATCAAATCTTAGTTTTCTGCAAACACGTAATCTACTAAAATTTTGTTTTGCTCCAAATTTGAATTTTTTACATATTAATTCACAATCACATTTCTATGCAGTACATATAATGAATCACATTCCGGTCAGAAAGGACAGGCCCTTAAAGCCTTTCCCTATCACTGCTAAATCAGAAAAATAACAGCTTTCTAAACAAGACAAATTGATACTTTACAACTGAGTTGGAATTGAAATATTTAATAGAAAAGTGGTTTCTGAATATAGTGTACCTTGGCCTTTCCAAGGTAGAGATGCATTTTGTAATTGGCTGTAGGAATAGCCTCAAGGTCAAAGTTCCGCAGACGGTTGATTTCCAGCTGGAAAGCCAGTGCAGGTTCCAAATGACGGTAGATCCTGTCCTCATCAAACTAAAACGAACCAGGTAAATGATGTAATCTGCTTTTAGTATCAGTGTCTATCATAAATTATCATGTAGTAATATTTCTTTTAAACTGACAAAATTAACGTGTTGTTAACCAAAATTCAAATGATTTCATAATAAAAAAAATTTCACACAAATTCGTGTTTTGTACTTAAAAAACCTGAAAACCTTTCTCAAAGTAACTTATTTTGTACATACTAGCAGAGGCTTCTTAACAACAAATCATGAATACTATTTTCATTTACTTATTGCTAGAAGCCATGAATTAAATTAAGTATTATAATATCCATATCAGGTTCTGGTGTTCTTTACCAACCAATGTAGATATTGAAGGATAATGTAACATTGTAACTTACCTCAAACTTAGCTCTGTATGTGAAGTACTTTGGGAAATGTCTCTGTCAAGAAAGCAGATCAACATCTCAGAGTTTGCTTTATACAATCATGTCAATATTTCAATATTATCAGCCCATACACTGGAGACCTGAACAACAGTAATTGTAACAGCAACCAACTAAGAATGCTCAGCAGGAATGGTAAACTAATTAACTGTCTACAGTAATGGTGGGACAGTTAAATTATAACAACCAATTAACAATTAACTGTCTACAGTAATGGTGGGACAGTTAAATTATAACAACCAATTAACAATTAACTGTTTACAGTAATGGTGGGACAGTTAAACTATAACAACCAATTAACAATTAACTGTTTACAGTAATGGTGGGACAGTTAAACTATAACAACCAATTAACAATTAACTGTCTACAGTAATGGTGGGACAGTTAAACTATAACAACCAATTAACAATTAACTGTCTACAGTAATGGTGGGACAGTTAAACTATAACAACCAATTAACAATTAACTGTCTACAGTAATGGTGGGACAGTTAAACTATAACAACCAATTAACAATTAACTGTCTACAGTAATGGTGGAACAGTTAAACTATAACAACCAATTAACAATTAACTGTCTACAGTAATGGTGGGACAGTTAAACTATAACAACCAATTAACAATTAACTGTCTACAGTAATGGTGGGACAGTTAAACTATAACAACCAATTAACAATTAACTGTCTACAGTAATGGTGGGACAGTTAAACTATAACAACCAATTAACAATTAACTGTCTACAGTAATGGTGGGACAGTTAAACTATAACAACCAATTAACAATTAACTGTCTACAGTAATGGTGGGACAGTTAAACCGTAACAACCAATTAAGAATGCTCAACTGTAATGGTTGGACAGTTAACAACCAATTAACAACTCCAACAGTCATGGTGGGATATCTAACTATAATGACAATTGTACATAAACAAAATGGTGGCTATATCTGTCTTACCTTGTATGTCACCAGGAATGTGATCCTACGGATACCTTTCTCATACATCACAGACGACTGAAAAAGTAATTCAGTATAGTTTTTTATTTCTTTAAATAGATGATAATACCACCAAATATATTTATCAGTGTTAATTTCTCACTTTAATAATCAGTTATGCCTTCCACAGTATTTTAACATACATTTTTTGTCTTTGATCTTTTTTCATAGCAAACTCTATAGCAGAAGATGTAGCTCTGCATTGTTACTTACAGAAGTGGGTGGCTGATATCATTCTGGGTATCAGATTAAAATTCAAGAATGCGTGTACCAAGGAGAGCGAAATGATTCAAGTTTACAAAACTCCATTCATAACAGCTACAAAACTGATTTTTAAGCGACTCATATGCGGACATCTTTTTACATCCTCAGACACCGGATTATTACAGAGTTTTCAATGTAAAGGTTTTCTGTAGAGTTCTTTGATACACTATAATGTTATTTCATAACTGACACTGAACTCACCTGTTCTTTACAAAATGTCTGGAACATTTCAGCCAACTTGCTATCATCAATCTTTGTCTCCATCTTTATGGCTACATTAATGATGTGGATGGGTTCATCAGCATCAGACACAGCACTCTGGAAACACAAGCCACACACTATACTTATATATATTGTACCTATCCTATAATTAAAGCCTGTGGGCTTAAGTGACTCAAAGAAGGAAGATAGGTTTATTACAAGACAATAATAGTTTTTGGTATTTCTAGTAAAACTACACCAGATGTGGGTGGGATATTACCAACTCAACTTAATGCTCAAAACATATTGTAATACTTGCTATATATAAACAGAAATTCACATTACACTTTCTCAATATCACAGGGAAAATAAGAGCTCTACATGATATTTTTAGAAAAAAAAACAAAGCTTTACCTAGGTATATTGATTTAAATCAATCCTTAGGTATATCTTACCTGTAAAGATATTGTGTCCTCCTGTACAGATACACTTCTTTCTAGAAGTTTGGGACTATCAGGTGGCGACTCAAGTTCATTGGTGAATCGATCCATTAGAGACTCAAAACTCTTGACAAAATCTTCAAAGGATGAGAATGAGGCAATAATACCCATCCTCTGACACATGGGTAGCTCTTCTAGCTGGTCGATGTGGGCGGAGGATTCCGACTCGGCCAACTCGGACACTTTATCTGAACTGTCGAACCGCATCACCATCATCCTGGTAACACATTCAGTATATCAGGGTCAGCATTGATACAAAAGTCATCACATACTGTGAGTACATAAAAAATATTCACCTGACAGTCACAACTCTACATGTTTTGTCAGTAATTCACAGACAAAACTTAACACATATTGTCAACAGCTCACAGTAAATACAATAAAATAAATATTCTCAGTAACTCACCAGATATTGTCATTAACTTACAGTCAACACACAACTCAATAGGTACTGTCAGTAACTCACAGTCATCATACAACTCAATAGGTACTGTCAGTAACTCACAGTCAACACACTACTCAATAGGTACTGTCAGTAACTAACAGTCAACACACTACTCAATAGGTACTGTCAGTAACTCACAGTCATCATACAACTCAACATACTTGTGTCAGTAAATTAAAGTCAACACATAATTTAACATTGAAATGTTAACTCAAATGAAGTTGCCCACATGCAATTATGATTATATGAATGAAAGAAATGCAGGTAGCTGTCAAAATAAATCAAAAGTGATAATTTAGACTTTATTTTTCAACACCTGCTTCTCAAAACAAGTTTGATGAAATAAAGCACTGGGTTGAAGCATTTTCCAAAACGTAAGACATGCAGTTGATGAAAATATAGCAGATTCAGTAAGGTCAGTGTGGATTTGACTACAAACAGGTAAACACCCTTTAAAAAAAAAATAAAAAAAAAAAAAAAAAAAAAACGAAACCAGCAACTTCAAATCTCAGTCCCTGTTTCAAGACTACACCAAAGGTTAGAACTACTACACTGGTCACAGAAGAGAGTTTCAAAGTTATCTAACACTTATCCCTGGGAATAGCAATGGAGATGGATTCAAAGTTACAGAACATCTATCCCAAGGAAATGTCAAGGGTGACAGATCTGAAGTTACAGAACATCTATCCCAAGGAAATGTCAAGGGTGACAGATCTGAAGTTACAGAACATCTATCCCAAGGAAATGTCAAGGGTGACAGATCTGAAGTTACAGAACATCTATCCCAAGGAAATGTCAAGGGTGACAGATCTGAAGTTACAGAACATCTATCGCAAGGAAATGTCAAGGGTGACAGATCTGAAGTTACAGAACATCTATCCCAAGGAAATGTCAAGGGTGACAGATCTGAAGTTACAGAACATCTATCCCAAGGAAATGTCAAGGGTGACAGATCTGAAGTTACAGAACATCTATCGCAAGGAAATGTCAAGGGTGACAGATCTGAAGTTACAGAACATCTATCGCAAGGAAATGTCAAGGGTGAGAGATCTGAAGTTACAGAACATCTATCGCAAAGGAATTTCAAGGGTGATAGATATGAAATTATAGAACATCTATCCCAAGGAAATGTCAAGGCCGACAGATTCAGGAAGTTAAAATATTTATCAGACCCTTTAGCACCAACATATAATCTGGACATTGAGAAGTCCTCCCCCCCATCTTGAAAATAAAATATTTTACTTTGAAACCCTCCCAACTTATACGTTAGTTGAATATGTTTCCCGCCATGACACAATGATTAAGACATAGTGCTGGTAAAAAGACTTCTTGAAAAGACAAGTTTGTCCACCAACCAATGTGATTTGCTGTTTTGATAATACTTCCACTGACATGCAGTCCATATCTATCTGAAGCTGGTTCCAGGAAAGCATATCATGCACCAGACCTGCTGTAGTTATGAAATGTGTTTACATTGTTCAGTCAAATTATTTTAGCTTAACCATTACACCAAATCTGAAAAAAAAAACCAATCCATTTTCATATGTGAAAATACCTTCCACAATCTATGGTGAAAATGTTAAGCTCTACTGAACCTCAATATAATATGATAATGGCTGTTAGTTGCAGTGGTTTTGATGCAGAGTGCAGCTCTGGTTTAGATAGAAGATGACAGGAGAGATGAAATAAGGAGGTTACAAATAGGAAGCATGCCATAGGAGTCCAACACACCTGGGCTGGCTGTCATCTACAGAAAATCCCTGGCTCACAGGCGCTGGGAATAATACTTCACTGTCTCTTCTGGAAATGTTACAGAAATGTGATGCCTTATGTTAGGTGAGAGACAAGGATATCAAACAGTATTGTTAAAAGTTTAGAGAAATGTTGTGCATGAAATAACTTGTAAAAGTGACAAGAAATGAAATGAAAGCATACAAATTTATGGGTATATACTACTCGACTTAATAACCATGAATAATGATTCCAACTTTCTTATAATCAATCTTACTACATAAAAACATATAATCTGGGCACTCTCAACAGACTAGTTAGATACTAACAAGGCAATATCCTTACTAATTCCATCTAATTTATGATTGATATCTGCTGTGTCAGGACACACAAGTTTCTATGACTGATATCTGCTGTTCCAGGACACACAACTGTCTATGATTGATATCTGCTGTGTCAGGACACACAACTGTCTATGATTGATATCTGCTGTGTCAGGACACACAACTGTCTATGATTGATATCTGCTGTGTCAGGACACACAACTGTCTGTGACTGATATCTGCTGTGTCAGGACACACAACTGTCTATGATTGATATCTGCTGTGTCAGGACACACAACTGTCTATGATTGATATCTGCTGTGTCAGGACACACAAGTTTCTATCCAATATAAACTATGGTTAGTCTTACCTTCATAAATGATTAAAAAAAAGTATAAGTTCTATAGTGGGGTCTCCATGATCATGTGTTCCCAGTAAATACTAGTGGGACTGAAGGTTAGTAACTACTTGTAATGAAAAATTCAATGAAGAAATTTTATCTTTTACTTTATATATATATACACTGTGATACAAAGATGTTTGATATTGTCACCTCCAATAAACCACTTAATTAACTATTTGATATTTTACTTGCTCTGTTCTTGACAGTACAAGTAAGGTATTAGTATTATGATTGTGTCTAAAAACAAGATTTATTTACATTACACAGGTCATTCAATGATCAAAAATAAATCCGACTTTTTACCTGACAAATTTGAACACTACAGGTGAAACTAAGCTCTCCCCACCTCACCTTCCCTCCCCTCCAAAAAAAGAAGAAAATAAGTTTTTATTTTGTGCTATACCAGTTTCATTATGAATTGCAAATTAGCAGAGCGTCATTATATTTCACATCTAGTAAATATTTATCAAATCGTTAATTTAGGAAAAAACATGCTGAATTATATTAGCTACACAAGTTTCACACATATACTTCTAGCCTTACATGGTCTACAAAATAAAAAGCAAAACTACATAATATACAGGTGTCATAATGTACAGCCGGACAGTTTCATGTGGTTGATACTTCTGCGTGTTGTCAAACATTATATAATATAATTCTGTTACAAAATTCTAATACTACTTCTACAAAAATAATATCATCGTCCACTAATTTGACAGATGTCATTGTTTTATCTAACCACAGTAAGGTACTGAAACAGTGAAATTAGTTCATGAGAGAGTACCTGGTAGAAAAAAATATAAACTCATTAGAAAATATTTCAATAGCCTCAGGTTTATATATGTATTAATAAGTTTAATCAACAAGAGCAGAAATTTTGAAAATTTTAAACCAACAAGAACACTCCTGGCTATACATTATTAGGCATGCTACAATAGAGTAGAAATAACACACAGTGGCTAAACTTCATATAAACACATATCCATACAGGTGTTACATTTGTCTCCTGTCACATAACAATGCTGACTGTGACAGGGTCTCCCGTCACATAGTACTGACAGTGTCAGGGTCTCCTGTCACATAACAATGCTGACTGTGACAGGGTCTCCCGTCACATAGTACTGACAGTGTCAGGGTCTCCTGTCACATAACAATGCTGACTGTGACAGGGTCTCCCGTCACATAGTACTGACAGTGTCAGGGTCTCCTGTCACATAACAATGCTGACTGTGACAGGGTCTCCCGTCACATAGTACTGACAGTGTCAGGGTCTCCTGTCACATAACAATGCTGACTGTGACAGGGTCTCCCGTCACATAGTACTGACAGTGTCAGGGTCTCCTGTCACATGACAATGCTGACTGTGACAGGGTCTCCCGTCACATAGTACTGACAGTGTCAGGGTCTCCTGTCACATGACAATGCTGACTGTGACAGGGTCTCCCGTCACATAATACTGACAGTGTCAGGGTCTCCTGTCACATAACAATGCTGACTGTGACAGGGTCTCCCGTCACATAATACTGACAGTGTCAGGGTCTCATGTCACGTAACAATACTGATTGTGACAGGGTCTCCCGTCACATAACAATACTGATTGTGACAGGGTCTCCCGTCACATAATACTGACAGTGTCAGTGTCTCCTGTCACGTAACAATACTGATTGTGATTGTGACAGGAAACTCTGTCACATAAAAATACTGACAGTGACAAGGTCTTGTGTCAGATACCAATGCTGACTGTGACAGGATCTTGTTTCAGATATACTATAAGATCATGGTCAAAGTTCTCAAAAGAGAGAATCAAATTTATCAAACTTTGGAAAAAGTAATGTCTTTAAGTACTCATCTTATTTCTATGTTTTCATTCAATCACATTAACTATTTGTGCAATATGTGAAGACAGTTCTGCAAGAGACAGCCTGAGAAGACATAGATGCAAATATATACATATGATAATGATGATGATGTTATCTACAGATGATACGAAAGTGACTCTCACCTGTTGGGATGGGATCTGGGTAGAAGGAACTTAAACTCGACTACACACAGGTCTGAATCCATTTGGCAGTGTCGCAGGCAGTTCACCTCATAAGCTATGTAAGCTCTTCTGATGTACACCTGACAACAGTATAATATTTTATAACAGACATCACAATGGACACTCTGCCAATAGACATTTTCACTGTTGCATCCATTTTTATGTACCTAAAACTTGTTGCAAGTGTTTTCTCTCATGTGATTTTAAGAAAATACCTGAAGCATGTAAAGACACCTTACCTCCAGTGCTGCCATTTGTACAACTTACCTCTAGTGCTGCCATCTGTACAAGAGTATTACAGTGCCAGAAAAACTCCTGCAGGATATCATTAATGGCTGTCTCAGAGTAGATCAATTTCTGTAACACGAAATAATCAAATATCAATTCTCAGCAAAACAATATTTCTCCTCTCGACTTCTGGAAGAAAATATTGTTCATGTTTTAATTTCAGAAAAAGTAAGAGAGAAAAATCTTGGCATTTTTAAGAGTTACCTGAATCAAACAAAAGAGGAAAAGAACTGATACATCATTGAGAGAGTTCTTTGAAGCAAATCAGCGACAACTAATTTGGAGTAATTAAAAGACCACTTGTGTAAGATGGTGTCTTACCTGAAGGTTTTCTGGACAGAATTCAGAGCCATACATGTCAATGGCAGACAGAAAGATGGACTCCATTTGATTATGTCTTAGTTCGTATGGAGGTTGGTGAGCCGCTATCAACACCTTTGTAAGATGAAAAGAAATCAAAGTAATTTGGCTAAGGTACTCTTTACAATAGAAATTCAAACACCTCCAACATACAAAATTTGAACAAGAGGCCAATTGGGCCAGCAGCACTCATCTGGTATATATATCCCAGTCAAATATCATGCTTCTAGGCCTTTTATTTCATTAGATGAAGTGGTTTTAAGGTTAAAAAGAATAGAGGTCAAGGTCACTTATTTTCCTAAACTTTGTCTGGCTTCGTCCTAGGAACATACCAGCCATATATCATGCCTCTGACCCTTTTAGTTCATGAGATGAAGTCATCTAAATTTTTTCAACAAATCTGACCACTGTGATCTTGAACATATGTAAAGGTCAGTTCTTACCTTACTTGTCATGTTCATCCCCTTACAGGTTATTTTTATTTCTTATCTTTCGTGTCTATCCATTACTTTACATGTCTATCCCTTACCTGTTGTGTCCATCCCTTACCTGTTGTGTCCATCCCCTTACATGTTGTCTCCATTCCCTTACCTGTTGTGTCCATCCCCTTACCTGTTGTGTCCATCCCTTTACCTGCTGTGTCCATCCCTTTACCTGTTGTGTCCATCCCTTTACCTGCTGTGTCTATCCCTTTACCTGTCATGTCCATCTCTTACTAGTCGTTTCAATCCCTAACCTGTTGTGGCCATACCTTTTCCTGTCATATCCATCCCTTACCTGTCATGTTTATCCATTACCCGTCATGTCAATTTCTTACCTGTCATGTCTATTCCTTACCTGTTGTGTCCATCCCCTTATCTGTCACGTCCATACCTTACCTGTCATGTCTATTCCTTACCTGTTGTGTCCATCCCCTTACCTGTTGTGTCCATCCCCTTTCCTGTCACGTCCATACCTTACCTGTCACATCCATCCACTTACCTATCACGTCCATACCTTACCTGTCATGTTTATCAATTTCCCGTCATGCCAGTTTCTTACCTGTCATGTCTTTTCCTTACCTGTTGTGTCTGTCCCTTACCTGTTGTGTCTGTCCCTTACTTGTTGTGTCTGTCCCTGTTGTGGCTATTCCTTACCTGTTGTGTCTGTCCCTTACCTGTTGTGTCTGTCCCTTACCTGTCATGTCTGTCCCTTACCTATTGTGTCTGTCCCTTACCTGTCATGTCTGTCCCTTACCTGTTGTGTTTATTCCTTACCTGTTGTGTTTATTCCTTACCTGTTGTGTGTGTCCCTTACCTGTTGTGTCTGTCCCTTACCTGTCATGTCTGTCTCTTACCTGTTGTGTCTGTCCCTTACCTGTTGTGTCTGTCCCTTACCTGTCATGTCTATTCCTTACCTGTTGTGTCTGTCCCTTACCTGTTGTGTCTGTCCCTTACCTGTCATGTCTGTCCCTTACCTGTTGTGTCTATCTCTTACCTGTCGTGCCCTGAGGGCCACTTTGGCATTGTTTGTTTGATTAAGAGTGGTCAGTTCTGTGAGGATATTGGTCAGCTCTTCGGTCAATCCAGGTTCTTTTCCACACAGACGATCCTATGTTAAATCATAAATGAGGTAAATATTCATATTATAAAAGCACACAAGAGGACACTTACTCTTCCTTAACAACACAGATCTCACTTCCCAAGTACTATTTCAGGGTCTTCATGTAAATATTTTTGTTCATATTTTCAGTGTCACTGCAAATAAATTTTGGATTAAGATTAAACATGTCAGTATGCTGGTAATCATGTTATAATTCTCAGCTTAAAGGACTTTTTAAAATCAATTTATTATCCACAAAGATAAAGAAAGTAAAAAGTTATTTCCTAATGAAATAATGATGGTTCTCTTACGATGAGCATGATGACCAGGTTGTTCTTGTTGCTGATGGCGATGTGGGAGAAAATACTGCCTACAACTTGAGACATGTTGTCCTTGTTCTTCTCTGTTAGCTTCATCACACACTTGTCATAGTGTCCTAGAACAATATCATTATACTGTCACAGACTACTTATAGTGTATCAACATTCATCACACACTTGTCATAGTGTCCTAGAACATGTATACTGTCACAGACTACTTATAGTGTATCAACATTCATCACACACTTGTCATAGTGTCCTAGAACATGTATACTGTCACAGACTACTTATAGTGTATCAACATTCATCACACACTTGTCATAGTGTCCTAGAACATGTATACTGTCACAGACTACTTATAGTGTATTAACATTCATCACACACTTGTCATAGTGTCCTAGAACAATACCATGCATACTGTCACAGACTGTTTATAGTGTATCAACATTCATCACACACTTGTCATAGTGTCCTAGACATACCATGTATACTGTCACAGACTATTTGTAGTGTATTCACATCATAATTAAAAAAAGACTTACTGTTTAATCATATATGTTCATGGGGTGCAGTTATCATTTAGTGAATTACAAAAATCACTGTTTACATTAGTTTTCATTATATCAATGTTACACCATGATGTTTAAACATTTATACTAAACTTGTGATACATTTTATCTGTACTTACCATGCTGAAACTGTAACTCTACATGTAAATACTGTTTTAGAAGATCTTTTACCACAGCCTTCATGTGGCCTCGGATTCCATTACGATACCTGTCAAGGTGACATACAACATAACAGTCATAATCTTCCACATACATTACACTCACAAACCAATTTTCCTTAGAATAAACACTTTTTAGAAATTTTAAGCAATACTGAAAACTCTTTGTTACTACAAACTCTAACTACAACTGTTCACCCAGAGCTAATTTTGTATATTATGCTAGTAATATAACTGATTCATATACAAAAAGGCTAAAGTCAGATGTCAATAGTAATATGACCTACAGAATGTACCAACTTTATACCATAAGAACCTACTTACACAGTTACAGGTAAGTTTGTATGCCAACCTCAGATCATGTGATATATATATATATATATGTCAGTTCTAATATGATCAAAATTACAAATTGAAAGCATACAAAATATAAAATGATGACACATTCTGAATGGATCTTTTAACTTACTCAACAGTATACTGACTGACTCACCAGAGAAATAACTCAATAATTTCTTGAATGAATTGCCACTGAAGAACTAAATTTTTTTCTTGGCTAATTTAAAACTCCCTGACTGACTCATTTCTGCACTACATAGAAAATCCCTGATCATTTCTCAACAGAAATAACTCAACAATGCTCTGACCCACTTATTTCTTGATTAGCTCGAAAATTTCCTAATGGTGCATTATTCTGACTGACTCATTTCTAAACTTACTAAATATTCACTGAAGACTTACACAAAACTGTCCTTACAGACTCACCTCTGAACTAATTCGACAATTCCCTGAGTTGTCATGAAAAAGTTTTCCCTATCAGTACGTCGAGTTAGTGAGGCAGCATGTCCATCTATGCAATTCGCAATCTGAAATAAGAGAAAAGTTTTCACTGAAACAGGAACATGTTACTATAGGGGAATATAACTTGTTGACTAGGGAACTGAAAAATTACCAGAGGACACATATTCCCATAGAATTATGTTACCCAGTGACTAGGCACCTTACAGAGAACATTACAGTACTGAAGGGGTATATTACCTGTTGATTAGGGAACTGACAAAGGACACATGTTACTATAGATGAGTATTACTTGGTGACTGTGGAAATGACAAAGGACACATGTTGCTATAGATGAGTATTACTTGGTGACTGTGGAAATGACAAAGGACACATGTTACTATAGATGAGTATTACTTGGTGACTGTGGAAATGACAAAGGACACATGTTGCTATAGATGAGTATTACTTGGTGACTGTGGAAATGACAAAGGACACATGTTGCTATAGATGAGTATTACTTGGTGACTGTGGAAATGACAAAGGACACATGTTGCTATAGATGAGTATTACTTGGTGACTGTGGAAATGACAAAGGACACATGTTGCTATAGATGAGTATTACTTGGTGACTGTGGAAATGACTGAGGACTCCTGTTACTATAGATGAGTATTACTTGGTGACTGTGGAAATGACAAAGGACACATGTTGCTATAGATGAGTATTACTTGGTGACTGTGGAAATGACAAAGGACACATGTTATTATAGATGAGTGTTACTTGGTGACTGTGGAAATGACAGAGGACACATGTTACTATAGATGAGTATTACTTGGTGACTGTGGAAATGACAAAGGACACATGTTGCTATAGATGAGTATTACCTGGTGACTGTGGAAATGACAAAGGACACCTGTTGCTATAGATGAGTATTACTTGGTGACTGTGGAAATGACTGAGGACTCCTGTTACTATAGATGATTATTACTTGGTGACTGTGGAAATGACAAAGGACACATGTTGCTATAGATGAGTATTACTTGGTGACTGTGGAAATGACAAAGGACACATGTTATTATAGATGAGTATTACTTAGTGACTGTGGAAATGACAAAGGACACATGTTGCTATAGATGAGTATTACTTGGTGACTGTGGAAATGACAAAGGACACATGTTGCTATAGATGAGTATTACTTGGTGACTGTGGAAATGACAAAGGACACATGTTATTATAGATGAGTATTACTTAGTGACTGTGGAAATGACAAAGGACACCTGTTATTATAGATGAGTATTACTTAGTGACTGTGGAAATGACAAAGGACACATGTTATTATAGATGAGTATTACTTGGTGACTGTGGAAATGACAAAGGACACATGTTATTATAGATGAGTATTACTTGGTGACTGTGGAAATGACAAAGGACACATGTTATTATAGATGAGTATTACTTGGTGACTGTGGAAATGACAAAGGACACATGTTACTATAGATGAGTATTACTTGGTGACTGTGGAAATGACAAAGGACACATGTTACTATAGATGATTATTACTTGGTGACTGTGGAAATGACAAAGGACACATGTTACTATAGATGAGTATTACTTGGTGACTGTGGAAATGACAGAGGACACATGTTACTATAGATGAGTATTACTTGGTGACTGTGGAAATGACAAAGGACACATGTTACTATAGATGATTATTACTTGGTGACTGTGGAAATGACGAAGGACACATGTTACTATAGATGAGTATTACTTAGTGACTGTGGAAATGACAAAGGACACCTGTTACTATAGATGAGTATTACCTGGTGACTGTGGAAATGAGAAGGTAACTAACAGAGGACACGATGTCACAATAGAATCATGTTACCCCATGACAAGGCAACTTACAGAGAAGACCTATTATTTCTGTAATACAGAGGTATTTTACCTGTTGACTGGGGAACTGACATAGAACTGATGTTATGTTACTGGAATAGGAGCTCAATAACTTCTTGATGGACTTCACCACTGATGAAGGAATTCGTCCTGCTATCATCGAGAGTAAGTCCTGCAAAATCAAATTTTCATACTAAGTTGCAGGTCAAAGTTAATAATCAGGGATGTTTCCACTAATTGGTAAATGTAAGATAGCAAATGTTTTGTACATCTTAAGAATATTATTTTTAATTGATCTCAATCATTTTGCAAGATAAAACAAACAGATTCCCCTTCTCTTACTTACCATAAGTTCTAGAAGAGGTAGCATTGGATCTTTGAGACATTTCATCAGTGTTTCCACTGAATTGGTCATACGTTTCTTGCTGTATGGTTCAGGAAGGGTATAACCTGCAAGAATGCTTTCTAGTTCGTTGCGTGTGCTCTGGAAGACTTGGTGGATTCGTTCACCATGGGTATGGGAAGGATGGTGGGTATCAGGGAGAGTTCCAGTGTACAATTTGGCCTGTTGAACTTTACTAGGGTCATCAAGGTCAAGTCTAGCCACAATGGTCCCCGCATCCAACACGGCTCCAGGCCGCTTCACATAGTGGATACTATATAACAAAAGAATTTTATTTGTATGTTTGAGAGTCCAATACAAGCACTTTGATTTTTTTTTAATCAATTCCGTTTCATAAATCTAAATGTTTGTCAAAATACAGATATCAAATACCTAAAGCTGATTTATATACAGGAACTACTACATCTAGTGTGTAAAATTTGTACTAAAGCTTTTTATATAGAGTCTTACCATCCATTTTCTGACACTCTCAATTCTATAATCATCTTCATGACCTCAATTTCTGCGTAAAAGTCTCCAGCAAACACATGGCCCCCATCTTCTATGAGGTACGTCATCAGCTTTCCAGCGGAGGGTGATCTGAGAATGGTGGGGTCGTTTTCTCGTTCCAGTACACAGGTCTTGTGGTCAATGGTGATCCTGTAGCTGCTTACATCGTCCTTCATGTACGTGGTATAACTAGAGCCGTCAATAGACAGTAACAGGCCTCCGTCACTCAACCTAGTCAAAGAAAAATAAAAACTCTACGTCAATAGACAGTAACAGGCCGACATCACTCAACCTAGTCAAAGAAAATTAAAAAAACTCTACGTCAATAGACAGTAACAGGCCTCCATCTCTCAACCTAGTCAGAGAAAAATAAAAACTCTACGTCAATAGACAGTAACAGGCCGCCACCACTCAACCTAGTCAGAGAAAAATAAAAACTCTACGTCAATAAACAGTAACAGGCCTCCATCTCTCAACCTAGTCAGAGAAAAATAAAAACTCTACGTCAATAGACAGTAACAGGCCTCCGTCACTCAACCTAGTCAGAGAAAAATAAAAACTCTAATGTTTCTAAAGCATTAATCTAGTCATAACATTAAAACCATAATTATGCTCTAAATAAGTTTTTAATGAGAAAAGTTTTTCATAATGTGATCATGTTAATCAGATCATTGATTACTGTGCTGAACACCAATGTTTCTCATTAGTAACAAATGAATATAACTGCCTTGTCATATTTTATGCCCAGTGATATCTACCAGTGTCAAATCAGCAAAAATAACATATCACTGAATCCTTCACTTCATTTAACTATCATTTAAAAATAAATATATCACTGATAATGTACTTGTATTATGGGACAGACCCAAGCATTCTTGTCAGTGAAATCCATAACCATAGTGTGACAAATTAGGTAGGAAGACAAAAACTGTTCCAAATATTACCTGTGAGCCTCCAAGTCCAAACAGGAATCGTTCATACAAATAAAGTAGTTGGTGGGACCAGTTTTAACAACCTGTTTAAAGAATAAGTGAGTATATGTAATTGGAATATCAGTACATATTGATTGGACCAGCTTCCAAACTCTATATAATCAACACAGGTAAACAAAAATATTCCAATCACATTTAGGATTAGACTTAATGCATTGAATCTAGTAAAAAAAAGATTATATACCTGTAACTAGGATGTCTAGAATAAGTTTCAAATACAACGAAAACTTCACTATACATTTTTTTCTCTGAAGAACAGAGACAACTTTCTTAAAACTGATAATGCAAGAAATGTGTTTGCAATATTTCTCACAGTTAAATTTGTCATCTCATATTTAAAGTGATGTTTTTAAGCTGTCAATGCAATTCATTGTTAAATTGAATTTTTCGCTTGCAGCCTTTTATAACATATACACTTGGTACCCCATCACAGGAAACATGATCATCATAGGAAGGTTTCCAATATATTTAAATCTCTAAGACTGACTTCCAATGCAGTCTGCCATTGTTTAATGAGGAATTCTCACCTGTACATGATACTTGATTCCTTCATAGATAAACTCCACATTGACTTTGTTGTTGAGGGAGTAAGCTGGCAACACCTGACCTCTGTTGGTGAAAATAAATCCATGACATTAATTTGTACCACTCATAAGGACTATTCTTAATATATAACAAAGAAAAAATGGAAACAGAGATAGATTTTAGTGACACATATAACCAGTAATTTATCTACCTCCTCTCATCCACAGTGCATATTCAAACATATTCTAATCACCTTTGATGTCAAATCATATTCTGAAATATCCCCGTGAATCCCCCCCATTTCCCTAATATTTGACAATATCAGAAACACAACAAATCATTGTTTCAGAAGCATCTCTAACTTAATACTAACAGCAATTTTCAAAATCAACATCAATGACAATTCATAGCCTACCTTTCTAGAGAAGTTTGAAAGTCTTGAAAGCACTTGAGTATGGTTTTGTCACCGATGTGTAAAGCTCCGGAGATAACACCTAGCATGGTGTCCGGTTTCTCTGCCTGTACCTTCTCTGCAATAAGTTTGTCGAGCCAGCCTGTGGTGAAAACGTTGTTCTGGTATTCGTCAGTCTCCAGCACCTTGATGAGGTATTCTACAGTGGTACGGAAGTCACCACGGATAGACAGCTCCTTCAAGGCCAGTACAAGGTTCCTATCATATAATAACAATGCATTAGTGAACAACACATGAATTTACTTCATTATATTTGCTTAAATCATAATTATATAACTGAAGAAAATGATTTTTTAAATACAGTTTATGGAATACACAAAGAAAATATTAATGATTTTTTCTTAATCATTCATGTTTCCTCTGAATGTAGTGGTAGCTTTTATGGCCCAGGTGACACTTGTTTACTGTGTGCCTGATTCAGTATTAGATATAGAGCCAACAGAATGCCCGATCTTGTGTATACCACATGTTCACTTACTCTCTAGCATCCTCTCTGTCCTCCCCCCAAGAGAAGCAATGACCAAACTGGGAGTCAGCAAACTCATGCAGTCCCCCTGAGGCAGCAACACTGAAATAGCCCCATACATCTTTACTGCTGCGGAAGTTTAACTCCTGTACTGTTCCAGAGCTTGGCTTGAATCCCTGGTAATGGAAATTAATACAGATTTAAAGAAAGTAAAGCAAATGCAAAAAAAATCCCTAAACTTGGCAAATTGCTTGCAAGATTATGCTAAATAGTTCTATAATTCTAAATGTTAGAGCTAATCAACGTGAAAATGAATTATAAAGAACTAGTCTAAAAGTTGATTAGAAAAAGATCGAACTTGTGAAACAAAAATAAATTCTTTGTGTAAGGTCCTTTATTTACAATAATTCACATTTAAACTGATTTCAATCATTGTCTTGTCATCTTTTACAGTATAGCTAGACTGAACTAGGAAAAGTGTACTAAAACACAATAGTAAACTCTCTTATAATCAAGATAACATGAAAGCATTGTAATGACAAAGCCACAATTAATAATCAGTTTGTTAATTACCTCATCAGGATTTTCACTTGTGATCCTAGCAGCAAGGACATGTCCTTTAGGACAAGGACGTACAGTAGGATTGTCAAAGTCAATTAGGCTATCACCCCATGGCTCTTTGTTGTAGAGTTGTCGGACATCCTTCAGGCGGTGCAAGGGCAGACCCATGGCCACCTAGAAAATAATCATACCACCATTACAGGATTTCTTACAGACAGAATATCTTTTGTGATAAACATACTTAAATCAAATTTATAACTGACCATTTTATGATTTATATCAGATTTGATGAAGAAATGACAAAAATCTCAAAAGCAAGGCTTAAACCACATTTTACTAAACATAATTAGTCTATTTTGATCTTGATTTAAAGCAATGACACTCTACACAACATTAGGACGATATATTACCTGAAGCTGGGCAGCAGGTAAGTTGATATCAGCCACCATTTCTGTACAGGGATGTTCCACCTGTAATCTGGGGTTAAGTTCCAGGAAGTGGAAACTCTCTTCCTCAGCACTGTACAGGTATTCCACAGTGCCAGCACTCACATAGCCCACCATCTTAGCCAAAGTGACAGCAGCCTGAGGAGATCACAGTATTGAAGATAACAAGGCACTGACACTCACTCCATCCATGAGCAAGTTTAACCTAAATACATATCATTCTAGTAATTCTCTAATAATGATTTCTATAATGTCTCATTATTTCTAAATCCACAAGTCAACTTTATGCTTTCTCATGAGAATAAGAAAGTTAATGAAAGACAGATTTTCGATGATGAATGGTATACAAGTGATCAGGTCTCACACAGATGTTACACTTCTCCCTTACTGGATATATGAGACCAAGGACTCTGAAAGACTTACCAAAGAGTTGATTACTACATTACCTTTTCCATCTGTTCAAACACTTCTGGTTTAGCAATAGCTGCAGGTGCTTCCTCTATAATTTTCTGGTGTCGTCTCTGAATAGAACAGTCACGCCCAAATAAGGAGATGGCATTGCCATAGCTATCAGCCAGAATCTGGACCTCCAAATGGCGAGCATGCATGGCCAGCTTCATAATGAACACAGGTGAACCAGGAACTTCAGTCTGGACCTAAACAAAATGCAAATATAACATATACATAATGTACACAGATCAGACAGATACTTCTGTTTGGACCTACACAACACACAAACCCCTTCCCACTCTCACCTGTCTGGAGAGGTTGGGGAAGATAACAGCATTGTCTGCCATCCTTTTAACCTTTTGCTTTCTGACTGTTTTCTCTACTCACCTGTCTGAAGAGATTGGGAAAGCTAGCAGCAATGTCTGCCATCCTGTTAACCCTTTGCTTTCTGACTTCTTTCTCTACTCACCTGTCTGAAGAGATTGGGAAAGCTAGCAGCATTGTCTGCTCTCCTTATGCCCTTGCCACCACCTCCCTCTGACGCCTTGATCATGACAGGGAAGCCTATAGCCTCAGCTGCCTTCAGTCCAGCCTCCAAGTCCTCTACGCAACCCTTCTTGTAGATGTCTTGCGGCACAGAAATCACTTTATTCTGAGCCTGGTCTGCTTCTGTCCAGTTGACTGTCAAATCTGTTTGACGTAAATTAATTACATATGATGACTTGACAAGAATAATATTCCCTACACATATCATACACAGTTTAACTTCTACTGTTGTCTTACACAATTTTTACCTTTTATATCTTAACACATACCAAGTTTAACCTGATGAATCAGCTAATATAACTCAAACATATCACATTACTTTAATGTTGGCTCATGAAAGTTGAAACTTTTTATCTAGTACATCCCAACTACATATATCATACAGAGCAACTCATATATAGAACCCACACAAGTAGTATCTGGTATATATATGTACCTAAACAAATTGTACGTTATATATTTCTTAAATTTCACTCACTTTTGCCACTCCATGGTAAGGTCGGTACACCAGCTGTCTGTGCCACAATAGAAGAGGCAATCTTGTCTCCGAGTGCCCACATTGCATATTCTGGAGGACCTGATAAAACATCATTCAGAGACTTAGATATACAGTGAGGCACTATTCCCCTTTTGTGTCAATATTGAAAATAAGATGTACTTATTCTTGTCGGCATGACGATTACTGTGAAGATTTTGTAGTTTTATAATGAAGATAAACAACATATGAAAGAGTGACAATGTTCTTATAATTCTGCTGCTAGGAGTTTATTTTAGTGTTTATTTACCAGAATCATAAACAGATATGGTATAAAAATGCTTTGACAAAACAGACATTTAAACAATAATGTGGTTGTGCTATCACATACAATCGCTGAGTATGATGTATAGTTTTTCCTGACTCTGTATTCTTTCTCGAAACACATGTTACGATGAACATTCCTTGAGAAATAGCTACTGAGTGAGCATTCTATTTTAGATGCAGGTACTCTAATTCTTTTTTGTCCTTTCACTGATGAAATTAGTAATGTCTTAAAAAAAACAGCCAAACAAAAGTGTGACTTTTACCAATGAATGTGATGCCATTTTTGTGGAGCAGTTCGGGGAGTTTAGGATTCTCCGAGGCATGTCCCCAACCTGCCCACACCGCCTGAAACAAAAAGTCCAATGATCATATTTTACCTTTTGCTTCAGTGTTTCAACAGTTACAACCAATTCTATGTAAAACATGCTGTAACATTAATTAGCATAAATCTCAATAAGTTCCTACTTTTTCTGCAAATCATTTTATTTTCAAAACTTTATTAAAACTTTGAAAATCTAATCCATAAAAAAAGAAGAAAAGAAAAAAGTAATTTTCATCCTTTTGAAAATATGACAACCAAGTCATATAACACAGCACAGATGTTTATGACTTGACAATAAGCAGGATTTTAGAATTTTTTTTTTTTTTTTTGCTTATAATTTCTATTTCAATATTTGATATTGTGTACATCTAATGACTCAAGATTTGTATTACTGTTAGGGTTTGGGAACCCATGAGAGTCCAATTAACTGGAGAGAGATGTATACAATGTAGAATACTGGACACAAGGATCTGGATATGGCATTGACCTGTGATTTGGTCCTCTTGGCAATGTCTAGGATCACATCTACATTAGCATAGTTATTGTTGTTAGTGCCTCCAGGGACTGGAACATACTGGTCAGCCATACGGATATATTCTAAAATCAAATCAAATCTGTCATCAGTTGAATGAATAACTTTATTTACTACAAACAATGCACAGGTAACAATTTACTGAGTGTATATGTAAGTGTAGTGTACAGAGGCTCAGTAAAAATAAAAATTCTGAAGTCTTGTTGCTTTTGTCTCATTTAAAACTCCTGGAGTATTCTGCATGTTTGTAATTTATAAACTTTTGATGACCCTAACTGTTTATTGACATTGCAGTCCAGCTCTGTATGAACCAGGTCAGAAGCTCAAAATTTCTACAGTTACAATTAAGAACTAGCTTCCATTAATTCTCAAGGTTTTCCCTGATTGTTTATCTCTATATATACCTGCATTTGCCTTCAAGTCTTCTGGCGTAACCATGACAACAAATCTAATAGCTTTCTCATTTCGGAACATCTCGTAAGCCCATCTCCTGACAGAGCGCATACATTTGACTGCAGCAATGCCATTGTTGGCTATGAGAACCTAATGGATAGAAATGAACAACTTGTTAAACATAACTATTTAATTTGCTGTACATCAATATGTCAACTTGTCATGTAAAAAAAAACTATGTTGGCTAACAAAACTGTTACATTTATATAAACATAAACTATTATGTACAAGAAGGTACTGATCAGATGTCATGTTTGACCAGCTGTGACATCATAAATGACTAACATACAAAATTTACTCTGCCTTAATTTGGTGATTTTAGAGAAAATATATCATACATTTATATGAGTAACACTTATACATGTACCTTGTTGATAACCCTGTTGCCTCCAAATCTTTTGACAAATTCCTCTGGGGTTGCTACACTGAAATCCTTAGGGTAGGATATCGAACGGCGCCCCCTGGTATCAAGGTTGTCTGCCCCTGACATGGAATGTCTGCAACACAAAAAACAAAAAGATTACACCAGCTGTAATAACAACAGCAGATGTATTGACAAAACCAGTGAATTCACAAATAATTTGAATGTTTACAAAGAGGGAAAAAAAGAAAAGAATAGATTAAAAACCACGAAACTTCTACATTATGCAATAAGATCAAATTTTAGAGTTACAACACACAGAGCAACAATTTATCTCTTTAAACTTAATTCTCTTGAATGTAAAACACTGATTACCATCACACTAATAAGAACTAAATATACTGATGAACAAGCAATGGTAAGAGGAGACCTAAATACTATGGTTTACATAATGTTCCAGGTATTATTGGCATACATGTATAAATATAAAAACAACACCAAACATGAAAACAAAGTGGAAAAGTAATTCAAATCAATGAAATAGAACACAAAACATCATGCAATGAAATATCCACTAAACAGTATACATATCCTTCTTATCATCAAACACCTGATCATAAGATCAGGCTTACAATTTAACAATAGGATTGTCATAATCTATAATTGTATTTTATCTGTAATAATTTGTACTCATAATTCTTTATTAATATTTTCAAAGTCTATATTAGTAAATAAACAATTGCCAATCTATTTCAAGCCATGAACATCGCATACTAAGAGATATCTAAAACTGAGGGATGATAAGTAAGCTTGGACTAGGAATGAAAAAGACCTTGTGTGTGGAGTATTATCAAAAATGCATGTTAAGTGTTGTATTTAACAAAGAACAGTTAGAGTAAACAATAAATAAAAGAAATAAAACACAACAATGAATCCATTCTGGCATTCACTTCAAGTCCATACGCATACCAAGGCAGTAGTAACAGTACAGGCAAACAAATACATAGTATAAAGTATCTGATCAAAATTTAATGTACTGCACAAAAATCAACACTTTGTGAATAGTGAGTAGGTAACATGATCGTTTTAACAATGACTCTTGCTTTTTTTTGACATGTAGAAACCTTCCACACAAAGCCTCTGCAGTAACTGTATTTAACACAAGCTTATAGCAATAAAGGTCACCGATATACATAGATGTAAGCAGATAACAAAGCAAAGATGTGGTATATTAGGTCATATAGCATTTAATCAATGTAAGTCAGCTGAAGTCAATGAACCAATGAACCACACAGATCAGTCTTCACTTGACCTACAGATCTGGAGGCAGCAGTGACTGTGAATACATCTGTAGCCCTGAGTTACCAATTTCATTCCTCTTCAGTAAGCTGTCAAAACATTGAATTGGTCTTTTACTGAACATATAATGCTACTGAAACTCTTTACTCAAAGAAATACAACAGCTTTGTCATTTATTGACGTATGATTGACATATTTTTGCTTGACAGTAACAAACACCTGAAGACATGCCTTCAACCAAGCAAATACTGCTGTCGATCTCACCATAATACCTAACTGCTACCTACTTCCTAGTACAATTTTATTGTCTTGTAATTTTGAAAACATTCATAAATACCAGGTGAAAAAAATAATTTGAACTGAAAACAAATAATTTTTCGAACCATAAGTAAATGATGGTTGCTAAAGAAAATTGAGATTTCTGCTATTCTTTTGAACTCCAGATGCTTTTCCATGCAGAGTAACATCAAATGAAGTTTGATAACATTGGAATGTTTTTAAACTTCCTCTTGTTTTATCATTTCTATTTTTGCAGTATGAAAGAATGCAGTTTGTAAAACAAACAAGTGTGGAACACAAACAAAACTGTTCTTATCAGGTCTATTTGGTGCACATTCTGAAGATAGCTGTGCTGTAAACCAGAATTCTGTTAAACCGGATATTATGCAGTCCCTGATGAAACAGTTCAACTGTACATATTTTAGAAGTGTCAGCCAAATCAAATATATAGATAGCAGTCAACAGGTGTTATCTAGATCAAGTGGTATCCTTGTGTGTACAATGTTAAGTGATCATAATATCAGTCATCTGAAATACCAGCTTCAGTACATGTAGCCTTGGGTACAAGTCGGGCAACTCTAAAAATACTTTTTATTTAATCATACATGCTAGGGTTGGAGACTCGGCTTCAATTCAAGGTTACATCCACATGCTTATGTGCAAACACAACAGTTTATAAATTGTGATTGTCAGCTCAACAATTTTGTTAACTAACAGTTGTGTTTGAGAAGATTGTGCTAGTTACAGACTATCACTACTGGTACACATAGTATGTGCAGTTCTGCTATTAGCTTCATTCCAGACCCACCCCACCACTCCAGCTAGACTACCCTAAATATATGTCATGACTGACAAAGAATTCAACTTACAAAGGATGTCAGCAATAAGAAAGTAGTAAGCAAAAGAAGAGTTTGAGGTCACTTTACTTTTACAAAAATATACCTATTAAAAACAATGATATTGAAACAAACTGCTATTTGTCTGATTGTTTTTAGATATAACTAGATATACTTTTAATGAACAAAGTTACTGATTACCTAAATTCTGAAACGAAAATAAGACTCAAATCATGTTAATATATAGGACATGAATACATGTTTTTAGATTTAATGTTGAATTCATTATATACTAATCAACAAACAATTGATTAAAGCAGTATTGTTGGTATTTGTCCTTGTGACTTTAGCATCAACATGTTACTATAGCAACCAAAATAGAAAATGGCTCAATAACGAGCATTCTCTCCCTTGACAACTGGTGCTCTGTCAGAACTGTTTTATTTGCTCAATTTCGTAACCTTTAACCTTAAACGACCTTTTAGATAAACTATAAATGTTCTGAATGTAGACTTAATACTGATTGTTATACAAAGGTTTCAGTATGAATGATATTTTTCATTTAAGTTTTAATCTCTTACATTTGTTAGTAAAACAAGAGGCAATTTAGCACACATGTTCACAATCAAATCTGTAATATCTGACTTTGAACATTTTAAACAGACCACAGAAGAAAAGTCTGTAATAATGTTTGTTTTTAATCATTTCATCATCCAAATCACCTTTATTGACTGACACTATTAACATTGAATCACAAATAAGAAAAATAGGAGCATCATGACATTAAATTTCTAAATTAAACCTAAATGTCGGCTTTTCCACTAAATAACAAACCACTATTTGTAAGAAAATAAGCTCCCTTAATGAACAGTTTTGATTATATTGCATGTGAAGGTTAAACAATATTATATCATGTAATTACTGACAATATACTGAGGATACAGCATATATATTACAGCAAAATGATCACAATGGTAACGGGTATCTTATGAAATATCTAATGAGATACGACAGTCAATCAATCAATTGTGCAGAACATACAATATCAAGCAATGCACCTCAAGTGCCTTGAGGTCCAATAAAGCATGATGGCCTAGTGTCAGTGCTCAAGTACGATCCAATATTGATAATACTATAGCTAGCATATACCTGTCTTTGACCTTTTGTCTGGATCGCCAAAACTCTTTTTCACTGCCACCTGACCTATATACATACAATTATAACATACTGTAGTCATGTTTGCAACATGCAAATACTGAAATGCTGGCTGCATCTTTATATACACTATCATAAAATGATTTTTTTTACATTTGTTTTGCTTTTATCACTATAGTTACATATATAACACGACTTAACATATATGTGAGAAAGTTAAGAAAAATGTACTCTGTCCCCCTTTTTTTCCAATGGTAAGAACAATGGCCCTAAGTTTTAACACCTATGATTATGGAAGATATTTTTATGTCTCCATCTCCTGATTCATCCTCATTGACTTAGAATCAAGAACAAGCTAACATAATCCATTATGGTGCACTGGTTAGATTCATATCACCAGCAAAAATGAATATTTTATATAGTAAAGGTATTGAAATCCAAAATGTAAAGAAATGTCACTTCAAAGCTTTGTAAAATTTCATTATTATAGACATATTGTATAATGTGGGGTTTTTTGGCATAAGCTGACCTTCATTATTTTTTATTTGTCGTACACCATGAATAGTGAACTGACAAAATCAATTGAGGAAGAACTATACCTATATATAGAGTTTTAGTTACCATTATTTAAAATCAAATCACGACCTACTGAATAAGATTAGATATTCAACTTCTGACATGATATGGTGAATCTTGTATCTGATGAAATAAACCTGTATTTGACAGACCTATTCACCAAGTTGTAGTGTGTCCATGATAACCAGGGTTGTTATACTTAGTACTGTACACCTTGAACTGCTTGTACCTTCTACCTTGATGTCATTATCCACATATGTCCTTGATCTCTAGTCAGCAATATCATACCTATATACCCCAATATCTATATATATGAAGACAACATATACACTAATATCACAGATAATGTCAACACCAACATTCTTCTAACAAAATAAAATCAATTTCACAGCTATGATAGAGATTATTTTTGTACACCACAAGTACCTTACCTTTTTTCTTCAGGTAAAAGTTACCCCAACATGTGACCTTAAACTGTAAATATGTGATATCAGTGTGTTATCTGTGTGGGTTTTACTCCTCATGTAAGGTAAATGTATAACAGTTACAACAAAGTAGTCTGTGTGAACATTGTTATAGATATAAACCCACAACACTGTATCCATAGAGTGACATTTTATCTTCCCAACAGGTACTGTATCTCAGACAATATTCAACAAAGGACCACAACTCTGTATCCTTAATGAGGAACAGGATGGAAGTTTTTGTATGTAACACTTCATCATCCCAACAAGTACTGTCATACAAAACTGGTGCATTAATGTTCACATAATAGTCTCACAAAATGTTCACCAAGGGTCCATATAACACTGTACATATAGTGAAGAGTATGATCCTTAATGTGCTGTCATGTAAAGTTTGTGTATTGATGGTTACATATTAGTAGAGACCTAGTCGTGTAAGGAGTACAAACCTACTGTCATCTGAGAAAAACAAGTCTATATAGTCACCTCAAAAGTACACACCTATCATCCCCTCAGAACTTAGTGACTGAAGTCACCACAGAAAAACAAACCAATTACTCCTCTCAGAAGTACAAACATATTGTCCCCTCAGAAGTACAAACATATTGTCCCTTCAGAAGTACAAACATATTGTCTTCTCAAAAGTGCAGACATATTGTCCCTTCAGAAGTACAAACCATTAGTCACCTTGAAAGTACAAGTCTATTGTCCCCTCAGAAGTACAAACGTATTGTCCCTTCAGAAGTACAAGCCTATTGTCCCCTCAGAAGTACAAACCATTAGTCACCTTGAAAGTACAAGTCTATTGTCCCCTCAGAAGTACAAACATATTGTCCCTTCAGAAGTACAAACATATTGTCCCTTCAGAAGTACAAACCATTAGTCACCTTGAAAGTACAAGTCTATTGTCCCCTCAGAAGTACAAACATATTGTCCCTTCAGAAGTACAAACCATTAGTCACCTTGAAAGTACAAGTCTATTGTCCCCTCAGAAGTACAAACATATTGTCCCTTCAGAAGTACAAACATATTGTCCCTTCAGAAGTACAAACCATTAGTCACCTTGAAAGTACAAGTCTATTGTCCCCTCAGAAGTACAAACATATTGTCCCTTCAGAAGTACAAACATATTGTCCCTTCAGAAGTACAAACATATTGTCCCTTCAGAAGTACAAACCATCAGTCACCTTGAAAGTACAAGTCTATTGTCCCCTCAGAAGTACAAATATATTGTCCCTTCAGAAGTGCAAACCATTAGTCACCTTGAAAGTACAAGTCTATTGTCCCCTCAGAAGTACAAACGTATTGTCCCTTCAGAAGTACAAGCCTATTGTCCCCTCAGAAGTACAAACATATTGTCCCTTCAGAAGTACAAACCATTAGTCACCTTGAAAGTACAAGTCTATTGTCCCCTCAGAAGTACAAACATATTGTCCCTTCAGAAGTACAAACATATTGTCCCTTCAGAAGTACAAACCATTAGTCACCTTGAAAGTACAAGTCTATTGTCCCCTCAGAAGTACAAACATATTGTCCCTTCAGAAGTACAAACCATTAGTCACCTTGAAAGTACAAGTCTATTGTCCACTCAGAAGTACAAACATATTGTCCCTTCAGAAGTACAAACCATTAGTCACCTTGAAAGTACAAGTCTATTGTCCCCTCAGAAGTACAAACATATTGTCCCTTCAGAAGTACAAACCATTAGTCACCTTGAGAGTACAAGTCTATTGTCCCCTCAGAAGTACAAACATATTGTCCCTTCAGAAGTACAAACCATTACAACCTACTTACTAAGAAAAACAACTTTCATCTGTTAGTGTAATGTTAGAAATACGACTAGCATCACAAAGTTGGTAAATATATGTACATTCTGAATAACAACTGAAAATAATAGGGGTTTTTTTATGATATCAACCCTACGTCTTGTAGATTTATTTCATTTTTTATGTTGCCAACTTTACAATCGTGTACATTAATTATAATTTTCTATGTCATCAACTCTACCATCTTGTAGATTTGTAACATTTTCTATGTCATCAACTCTACCATCTTGTAGATTTGTAACATTTTCTATGTCATCAACTCTACCATCTTGTAGATTTGTAACATTTTCTATGTCATCAACCCTACCATCTTGTAGATTTGTAACATTTTCTATGTCATCAACCCTACCATCTTGTAGATTTGTAACATTTTCTATGTCATCAACTCTACTATCTTGTAGATTTAAGAAAAATTATATATCAGTCACATTCTATTGATTCTGTCGTTTGTTTCTTTTTGCTAATAGTATAATGTGTCTTGCCTTGAATTGATTCTAGTTGTATACAGATATATCGTATTGTTTGCCTTGTAATGACCAGTTTATCTGTGACCCATATGAATGGTACAAAGTACTTATACAGAAATACGCTGTCGCCAAATCAATAACAACTACCACTTCAATGAACACTGAGCACTTATTAAGGAAGTCATGTGAGATTACTCAGAATACTTTGAATTTAAACATCAGGAAATCTGCTTGTCTATAATTAGATTTTAGAGTGTACACATACATCAGAAATAAGAACAACATCTCTACCTACACATCTACGCAATATACCAGGATATTTGTATCTACACATCTACTCAGTATACTACAATATCTGTACCTACACATCTACTCCGTATACTACAATATCTGTACCTACACATCTACTCGGTATACTACAATATCTGTACCTACACATCTACTCGGTATACTACAATATCTGTACCTACACATCTACTCGGTATACTACAATATCTGTACCTACACATCTACTCGGTATACTACAATATCTGTACCTACACATCTACTCCGTATACTACAATATCTGTACCTACACATCTACTCCGTATACTACAATATCTGTACCTACACATCTACTCCGTATACTACAATATCTATACCTACACATCTACTTGGTATACTACAATATCTGTACCTACACATCTACTCGGTATACTACAATATCTGTACCTACACATCTACTCAGTATACCTGGATATCTGTACCTACACGTCTACTCTGTATACCTGGATATCTGTACCTACACATCTACACAGTATACCTGGATATCTGTACCTACACATCTACTCAGTATACCTGGATATCTGTACCTACACATCTACTACGTATACTACAATATCTGTACCTACACATCTACTCAGTATACCTGGATATCTGTACCTACACATCTACTCAGTATACCTGGATAACTGTACCTACACATCTACTCAGTATACCTGGATATCTGTACCTACACATCTACTCAGTATACCTGGATATCTGTACCTACACATCTACTCAGTATACCTGGATATCTGTACCTACACATCTACTCAGTATACCTGGATATCTGTACCTACACATCTACTCGGTATACTACAATATCTGTACCTACACATCTACTCAGTATACTACAATATCTGTACCTCCACATCTACTTAGTATACCTGGATATCTGTACCTACACATCTACTCTACTACAATATCTGTACCTACACATCTTCTCAGTATACCTGGATATCTGTACCTACACATCTACTCAGTATACCTGGATATCTGTACCTACACATCTACTCAGTATACCTGGATATCTGTACCTACACATCTACTCAGTATACCTGGATATCTGTACCTACACATCTACTCAGTATACCTGGATATCTGTACCTACACATCTACTCAGTATACCTGGATATCTGTATCTACACATCTACTCAGTATATCTGGATATCTGTACCTACACACCTACTCAGTATATCAGATTATCTGTACCTACAAATTTACTCAGTGTATCAGTGTATCAGTGTATCTGCCATTCCCATCTGACATGATAGTGACTTTTGATAGTTCAGTAAGTTATCGTTATTATGAAACATGATGTGACAGAGATGTAAAGAATGGTTGTCCCAAACTGTGCTGCTGTGATCATAATTGTTATCATGAACATAAACAAAACATATATAATGTATGTAAATTGTACCAATATCATACATGTATGCAGCTGCTATTTGTTAAACTAAAATGTACATATACTGTATTTTTTTCCAGTCATTGTACAATATTTTAACATACAACTGGCTTTGGTTCATTTCCTGTACGTTGGTACAGTTTTCATACATATATATGATAACAGACCAGCAACAAATTATTTGATAAACTCATCAAACTTAATATATCATAAACCTAACATTACCTCGGTTCTATATCCATTATATTGACTAAAGGATTTGACAAACAGGAATGCAGCTTCTCTCTGAAAATGTGGCAGTTAACATACAGCATATAGCCAATAAAAAAATACTATGAAATCTCTCTGATACCATCATTTCATTTTAACGGCATGAACATGGCAATGATACTGTTTGACTATAAATTAGAAAATATATAAATTTTAATTGTATAATCAAGACAAACGTAACAACTATGTATATAATGTTTACTTACAATATGTGGTCGATATAAACTAATGCTGTCTACCATTACAATTATCAAGCCTCGGGGCAGCTATACCATCTATCATATGTCTTAAACCTTCATTGTCTAATGCTTTAACCTTACAGGCATATAAACCGTCTAATGCACTAATGATAGAATTGGGGCATTCAGTTGAATTAGACAATAATATGTATCTTTCACATCTTGGTTATATTGACATATTAATTTTGAAATATCACATGAAATGTACATGAACTTTTGGAATTGTTGTGGTGCACAATCAGCACTTTCCATCAACATTACTGTTTAAACAAGAACGTACTTGTATATTGTATAATTTTTCAATCTGTAAATACTGTTTGTCTTACCTTACCAAGGAATGATAGGTGATAGTAAACAAACACCTTTCTACAGAAACACACTTACAAAAACATCATTGAGTATTACTCTAACACATCCTTGACTCTCAAAGGTCATCATCAGTAAACCATGACATTACCTGAACCTTGAAAATTCATCTTTAATAGATACACTCTTCTGTGTAAGGAGGTAAAAATGTTCCAACAGTTTAAGTGTATAACATTATTCTGAGTTTATCATATGCAGTGAATATTCATGATGGAATAACAATCTACGATTAAATGGAAAGAGAGAAGATCCAGAATCTGGACACTGGTCATTATAAACTTTATGTTATAGCTATCCTTGCATACATAGTATATTTCCTGTATATACAATATTTTAGTAAGTATATCTGTGTTAATTAATACATATAGTACAGAAGCATTACAATTGTGTTATATATAACACCTGTATATGTATACAAGTATGTTATATATAACACCTGTCATAATGTTTTCTAGTGATCAATTTATCATCAGACATTTGATATATATATTGTAGATCAACATAAAAAATGTGACATTTATAGGATGTAAATTGGTTCCAAGCAAGTCTGGTCTACAATCTCACCAAAGTAAGCTAGAAATCAGTGATCTATCATATGTAGGTATTTTACTTCATCATATTTTTGCCAGTGAAATAAAGAAAAATATTTCATTTTTGAAAGTGTTATTTTTCATTTGCTGACTTCCGCCAATGAAAAGAAATAACACAAATCATCTGATAAAATTGATAAATCATTTTTATGATAGTCAGCAAGCAATGCAACACAAATTACCTGATCAGAAATCCAATCCAATCCCCAAGTGAACATCATGGATATGGCACTAACACATTAGACATTTCAAGGGGTTTTGTATCATTAAACTGCAGCAACTGTAGGTTGCTGTCATATTTTCAGCCACATAGTAACAAATCACAGGTAAGACTCTCTTTGAGTGTTTTACAGCAAATTTTGTCTCATTGTGACATGAAAAAGTATTATTTTCAATGTGAATATGAAAATAAATTGACAGCGAATTTTCATGTTTACAAATTTTTAATTATCAAAAAAGAAACAAACTATATTTCGTCATGTGCATCTAATATCTTTTGTATCTTTTACTCCTGCTGTGCACTCATGAAAGATACTAAAATATTAGAGACACTTGAGAAAAAATTATTTCTTATAGCTGAAGACACTATTAGATATATATCCTTTTTTTAATAAAAATGGAGTTAAGTTAAAGCAAGAGAAATATTCTGTCAGATGTCAAGTGAAAACAGATATCTTTTGTCTGCTTTTGTGTTAAATACCTTTTTAGTGTAAACTTAATCTGAGGAAAAACAGAAAGTCCTAACATACAAGTCATAATGCTGCTAGGCCTTACTAATAGAATAGTTTTTACTGGCACATTACCATACTGTCTATCCTGATACAGTAGATCCTGACTTTACTGACACTTACAATAGAGCCTATCTTTACTGACACTTACAATAGAGCCTGTCTTTACTGACACTTACAATAGATCCTATCTTTACTGACACTTACAGTAGATCCTATCTTTACTGACACTTACAATAGAGCCTGTCTTTACTGACACTTACAGTAGATCCTATCTTTACTGACACTTACAGTAGAGCCTATCTTTACTGACACTTACAGTAGAGCCAGTCTTTACTGACACTTACAGTAGATCCTGTCTTTACTGACACTTACAGTAGACCCTGTCTTTACTGACACTTACAATAGATCCTGTCTTTACTGACACTTACAATAGATCCTGTCTTTACTGACACTTACAGTAGATCCTGTCTTTACTGACACTTACAGTAGAGCCAGTCTTTACTGACACTTACAGTAGATCCTATCTTTACTGACACTTACAGTAGAGCCAGTCTTTACTGACACTTACAGTAGATCCTGTCTTTACTGACACTTACAGTAGATCCTATCTTTACTGACACTTACAGTAGATCCTGTCTTTACTGACACTTACAGTAGATCCTGTCTTTACTGACACTTACAGTAGATACTATCTTTACTGACACTTACAGTAGATCCTGTCTTTACTGACACTTACAGTGGAGTCTGTCTTTACTGACACTTACAATAGATCCTGTCTTTACTGACACTTACAGTAGAGCCTATCTTTACTGAAACTTACAGTAGAGCCAGTCTTTACTGATACTTACATTAGAGCCTGTCTTTACTGACAATTACAGTTGATCCTGTCTTTACTGACACTTACAGTAGAGCCAGTCTTTACTGACACTTACAGTAGATCCTGTCTTTACTGACACTTACAGTAGATCCTGTCTTTACTGACACTTACAGTAGAGCCTATCTTTACTGACACTTACAGTAGATCCTGTCTTTACTGACACTTACAGTTGATCCTGTCTTTACTGACAGAGTAAACCTTGTCTTTACTGACACTTACAGTAGATCCTGTCTTTACTGACAGCGTACACAGTCTTTACTGACAGCATAAACCCTGTCTTTAGTGACACTTACAGTAGAGCCAGTCTTTACTGACACTTACAGTAGATCCTGTCTTTACTGACAGAATAAACCCTGTCTTTACTGACACTTACAGTAGATCCTGTCTTTACTGACAGAGTAAACCCTGTCTTTACTGACACTTACAATAGATCCTGTCTTTACTGACACTTACAATAGATCCTGTCTTTACTGACACTTACAGTAGATCCTGTCTTTATTGACACTTACAATAGATCCTGTCTTTACTGACAGAGTAAACCCTGTCTTTACTGACACTTACAGTTGATCCTGTCTTTACTGACAGAGTAAACCTTGTCTTTACTGACACTTACAGTAGATCCTGTCTTTATTGACACTTACAATAGATCCTGTCTTTACTGACGGCATAAACCCTGTCTTTATTGACACTTACAATAGATCCTGTCTTTACTGACAGAATAAACCCTGTCTTTACTAACACTTACAGTAGACCCTGTCTTTACTGACGGCGTAAACCCTGTCTTTATTGACACTAACAGTAGATCCTGTCTTTACTGACGGCGTAAACCCTGTCTTTATTGACACTTACAGTAGATCCTGTCTTTACTGACAGAGTAAACCCTGTCTTTACTGACACTTACAGTAGAGCCAGTCTTTACTGACAGAATAAACCCTGTCTTTATTGACACTTACAATAGATCCTGTCTTTACTGACGGCGTAAACCATGTCTCTACTGACACTTACAGTAGAGCCAGTCTTTACTGACACTTACAGTAGAGTCTTTACTGACACTTACAGTAGATCCTGTCTTAACTGACAGAGTAAACCCTGTCTTTACTCACATCTATCCAGATTTTTAGTTGATATTAAACCAACTCAGAGTTTCATGCTGTCTTAAATAATTACTATTCATAAAAACCAAACTCACTGTAAACAGAAAAGGAACTTCAACTAAAGTGTCATGCGTCTCTATGAAACAAATTATCAGGAAATATGAACTAATTAAAACTTGCTTAAACCAATCAACCCTTCAAATCTGCAGATTCTTATTGTTGCGCGTAGACATCTGCATAATATACACTCAATTATGTAAGCTGAAAAGAAATAGAATTACTGATGTGGTATTTTGGGAAAGAAATTCAATAGCGATAGCAATATAAGTTGAGAATACAGTCAAATTTTAGCATATGGACCCACAAATGTTTTCGATTCCAGTGCCACTGTACACACAGGATGTTGGTTGATAATCACACAATATGTACATTATATGTTAACATCAGTACATGTTCTTTTCATATATAATTAATCTGGGTAAAAAGTTTTACATTAATTATAGTCTTTTGGCCTACATGGGCAGTAAATATAGAAGCCTTACTTGAGTCTGGGGCTGATAGTCGAGGCCGCTTGTTCTGCACTGGGAGACACCAATGGGGATGGTACATCCTTTTGGTCAACTGAAGATGAAGTATCTGTTGACTGTTCTGAGGTAAACTGCGATTCACTATCCTCATCCACACTTTCCATGCCAACAGTAAATTTGACACGAGGTTTTGAATTTCTTCGCTCCCCAGACATCTTCAATCTGTGTTCTTTGTTACCTATAAACAGTTATCGAAAGTACCTGGTAATCATCTGCATTTGCTTAACAACTGACTTTTACAATGAAATTTACAAATCATCAAAGTAAAAAATTAAACCAGGAAATCCGATCATAAACATATATCTTTGAATTAAGATATAAAGAAAAAAAAATCAAAAAAGATAATAAACCAATGAAGGAAAATGGGGAACAAATAATGCAACAAGCTGAAAGTATACTCCTGCAAACACATCAGGCTGAAAGTATACTCCTGCAAACACAACAAGCTGAAAGTATACTCCTGCAAACACAACAGGCTGAAAGTATACTCCTGCAAACACAACAAGCTGAAAGTATACTCCTGCAAACACAACAGACTGAAAGTATACTCCTGCAAACAAAAGTTTATACCACAAAGGAAAATTCTGACATAGTAAACCACTGTTAACATTGAAGTAGTTACACTTACTGAAAGAAACTTTTGTAATCCACCTAAAGATTACATAAAGCTTCTAATAAAGAACAGGTCTGGATGATGTACTATGAAACTGTAACAATTCAGCTGTCAAAGGTAAGTTGTGTCTTACTTAGTATGACCCCTATACGTTTCTGATGTGTATTTACACCTGACAGAGAAGTGTAACACTATCTGAGACATGTCAACCTGCAGACAGTCAATTAATTACCAGTTACAAAAATTCCCCTGATACTGACATTTTAATTATGCAAGTGTTATCAATTGATAAGCATCATTTACATACAAGGTAATTAAGATTTCGAGTTTTCAGCATTATATCAATAGATACCATAAAAGTGCACAGAATATCATGATAAATGTATTTAATATATGGCAATATATGCAAGTATTATTTATATAAAATGGGATACACATTTCCTGTGCTTTTTCCCTTCTTAAAACTGAGATTACAGATTGTTAGATTAAAACAATTTATAATCTACATGAAATATACAACCAAACATATATAAGAACACTTTTAATCAAATTCTAATGACTATACCTGCTATAGATATAACAATTTACATGTCCAGTATTTGAGAGGTACGGTCAAGTGGTAGTTAATCTATGTTCAGATAGCATGTCCGTTAACCATCACAGGTAAGAATGCAGTCAATAGCGTTAATAGACAGATATGATAGCTAAATATAATAGGCATTGAACAAATAACCAGCTATTTATAAGTGCTTTAATGGACTAACAGTTCTGTATACTTTAGTTGTATGTTCACCTGTATATATCATGTTACAAAGCAGAATCCTAGACATTGATTTTCTTTTCGTGACATTTTCATATCTTGCATATGCACCATTCAAATACTGATTAAACCAATGAAAATTGTTTATCCACATTGATAAGTTTCTATTGCATCATCAAAACTGCTTATATTATACAAATAAATATATATACATATCTTTCTCTATTGGGTTATGAATTTTTGTTTACAAATATGCCCATTTATATCTCTTTTGTACCATTAAATAATCAGGGTTTTCCATAATTTTGTTAGTAGTAGGCTGTGTAGTGAAAGTAGGAGGCTGGCCTGCCGTGTACGTGTAGTCGTGTATGGAACATTATTACAGAACTGGATTGGTGTAGGCGGCCAAATGATCAAAGTAGGCGGTCAAATTGGCTGGTGACCGACTCTTAAGGAAAACCCTGAATATTGTTTATATACACACCAATTTATATCTCTAGATCTATTTCACCATTAAATATTGCTCATAAAGTCAACCATTAATGTATCTAGATCTATTTTACAAGTACCATTAAATGTTGTTCACACACATGCCAATATTTGTCTTCAGATCTAATGCACAATTGTTTATTTGTTTATATATGTACCTATATTTGTCTCTAATGAACCATCCAATACGGTTTTCATTATCACATCCTAAAAATGCAAATCAACGCGGGGACAATGTTGAATGGATCAATAATTTTGCTTTTATGGATCAAACAGGATGGATACTTTCACACAGTGTTTCACAATTAAATGATGTTGAGTAAATTTATCAGATACTTTAATCTTGTTAAGCACCATGCATCTCGCAAACTAACAGAATGGGTAAGGATGTTACCATCCCTCAGACTACAGGGATGAGTAAGGGTCAGGATGTTACTATCACTCAGACTACAGGGATGAGTAAGGGTCTGGATGTTACTATCCCTCAGACTACAGGGATGAGTAAGGGTCTGGATGTTACCATCCCTCAGACTACAGGGATGAGTAAGGGTCAAGATGTTACCATCCCTCAGACTACAGGGATGAGTAAGGGTCAGGATGTTACTATGCCAGACTACAGGGATGAGTAAGGGTCTGGTTGTTACCATCCCTCAGACTACAGGGATGAGTAAGGGTCAGGATGTTACCATCCCTCAGACTACAGGGATGAGTAAGTGTCTGGATGTTACCATCCCTCAGACTACAGGGATGAGTAAGGGTCAGGATGTTACCATCCCTCAGACTACAGGGATGAGTAAGGGTCTGGATGTTACTATCCCTCAGACTACAGGGATGAGTAAGGGTCTGGATGTTACCATCCCTCAGACTACAGGGATGAGTAAGGGTCAGGAAGTTACCATCCCTCAGACTACAGGGATGAGTAAGGGTCTGGATGTTACCATCCCTCAGACTACAGGGATGAGTAAGGGTCAGGATGTTACCATCCCTCAGACTATAGGGATGAGTAAGGGTCAGGATGTTACCATCCCTTAGACTACAGGGATGAGTAAGGGTCTGGATGTTACCATCCCTCAGACTACAGGGATGAGTAAGGGTCAGGATGTTACCATCCCTCAGACTACAGGGATGAGTAAGGTTCAAGATTTTACCATCCCTCAGACTACAGGGATGAGTAAGGGTCATGATGTTACCATTCCTTAGACTACTGGGGTGAGAAAGGGTCTGGATGTTACCATCTCTTAGACCAAAAGGAATGGTAAGAATGTTACCATCCCTCAGACTACAGGGATGGGTCAAAACAGTGCCATCACTTTTGACTTACTTGACAGGGCTTTGTGAGGATGTTACCATCCCTCAGACTTAACTGCTGTGGGTAAGAATGTCCAGAGTATTCAACTTTTGTTCTTGTGATGATTTTTTTTGAGAAATTAGAATTTAGAAAGTACTTTGAAATAAAAAATATGTTGCTTGACTTCAATTTCAGATACAGGAGTCAAAACATGTGTAACAGGAAATAATTCATTTTTACATATTAATTTTACTAATATTAATTTTCCTGAATAAAAGACATTCTTTAGCAGCAATCTTTTGTAAAATAGAATTTCATCTTTGATTAAAAGAAAATAAAAAGTATACATGGATAGTAAGGAAAAAAGTGAAATGCTAAATTAACTGCACAGCAACTGACAGAAAAATAAACATTTTGAAAAAAGACTGAAATTATTAAATCCTTTATTTGACTATCTTCTAGTAGTGGACTTTTTAAATAGATGAAGCCTAATTGAATGATTTTATAGAATTTTTTTTCATGATAAAAAAGAGGGGGTCATTATGTTAATGTTTTAGCAATTTTCATCCCAATAGCCAGTTTTTCCAAGATCAAGGAACATGCTGAAATATTTATGTTTGGGTCATAACAGTCAGGGAAAGTGGTCCACTAGGTCAGAATTCACAAGTTTGAAATATGTAATTTGCAGTGATGATTCATGCTAAATCAACTGAAATCTACTAAACTTTTCAGAGTCATAGTCAAGAAAAATGACTTGGCAATGAGATAATGTTGAAATTGTTGAAACTATATTAGCCAGCTCATGCTATCAAACTAATATTACCTGTCAAAAAATATAGACCATAAGAGAAATTTCTTCTGAAAGTAAAAAGAACTTCAAAAGTACAAGCTTGATAAGAGCACAAAGTTTTGAGTAATTACCTTGAACAGTTTCAGAGCTGTTGTCTGGGAACCTGAAATTTGTTATTTTGTCTATGTGTTTCCATGGCAACAGAAATAGAATTTAAATGGAAAATTTCTAGCAAAAGATACTACCAGAGTATTAGCTGATAAGTATGCAAAATTTCAAGCAGTTTCAGAGCCCTGGTCTGTCATATAAATGCCCGTGCACAGACGGAAAGAGCCTGATTTAATATCCCTGAAAACATGTTTCGCAGGAGATAATAATCCATCATCCATCCTTGGATGCCAATGTTTCAATGTCATCTATAAGGTCATGAAATATAATAATAAGGAACCCCTTCTTGTTTATTACATCAGTGTACATTGCAGGGCAAGATGAGAAATATGAATATGTTTTAATTTAAATCTATATCTATGTGCATGAAATTTCTTTGAAATGTTATTTAAGTTAGTGATAAATCAGTTCAGTGTATGAAGCCACATATAAGAGGCATTTCAAAAATATCTATGAAAAAGGGCATCTTATTGCTCATATTGTGCTTGCTTTTGCCATTCTGTAACAGGGTACCAGTAAATATGGAATATGCTTTCATCTTTCTATAAACTGAGTTCAAGTAAACATGGTGTATGTTTCAGTCGTTGTACATGCTATTATCTTTCTATATATAGAGTACATGCAAACATGGAATACCATACGAAACCTACCATTTCCAGCTCCCATTTATTACGTAATAATCAATATTGACCAGTACAAAGCTATAGTTATGTAATATAGATCTACCTGCAAAAGTGTATAATTACATAATGCATTTATTAATTTAGTCATTTGATTTGCATGGACTTTCTCGTTTCGTTTTTGTCAACAATGTGGACATAAGAAAACACGGCAAAAGCTTTCAAAAATAGAGAAATAAAACGTGGTATAAATGGAAAGACTACATACCTCACTTTCGAAGTAATATTCACAAATTTTCACGCTATCTTTTATGTCATGCTATAATGACAATCACGCCATTTCGGTTACATCGCCCTATTCTGAAAATTTCGGTGGCGTGAGGTTGGATTTGAGTCTGGATCAATATAACGTTTTGGTGTCATGTCAGCTGAGAGCTTAATTTTTCTTGTCTTTCACGGGGGTCAAACTTTTACAGACAAGACGAGAATAAAATACTTGTAAATGTCACCGGGGTGTGTTGTGAAAGATAACTCGGCGGCAAAAAGTTCAGTTGTACGTTTTTAAATATATACAAAGGAAAAAAAACCTGAAAAGACAAGACGAACATATAAACTCAAACTACTTTCAAATCGAACACTCAGCAATCACGAACGCACCAGATATCCTTAATCGGAACAAAGTACAAATTATGTTGTGTGAGCATTATTACAAGGAAATGCTATAAATATCTTCATCCACACATTATTAACATCATAAAATAAAGATAATTATTCAGGAGGTCTTAACACGTACTTATATTTGAACGGGCTACTAATTTTTTTCGTCATCGTCATAAATAAATTTTAGTGTATTTATTTACTTATTTTGGCGGACGTAATAGTTCCATCTAGGTAGGCATAACTACAGGTCGAACTAGATATGGGTTTGCTTTGTCTGTTTGGATGTTGTCTTACGTTTGAGTTTGTTCGGTTGGATTCATGTTGTTTCGTTAACTGAGCATTCCCGTGCTATAATTCGGCATTATAACAACTGTTACAATGATATAGGCCTGTGATAGAGACATATAACGTGTTATATAACATATCATACACGTATCTTGTGATATTTCAATTCAAACTTATCTTTAAAGCCATGTTAATATCAAACGGTTTATACTATTGCAGGTCGTACGGTAGGTTTTGCATACCAATTTGGTTTACGCCAAAATAAAATGGATTTATTATGAGAGAAGTTTGTGCATAAAATACTGTTTACAAATTTTGTTAAAATTACTATAATGGATGACAAATAATTGAGAGATTAGAGTTGTTTTACTGACCATTTGCCGCCAAAGGTGACACTCTCGTTTGCAGCATACATTACACGGCGTGAGTTTTATTCACTAACTATGCAAGGTGCTCCATCCGGGTTACGGTTGTTACCAACAACAATATGGCGGCGTGCATGCTAAAGACAAATATACCCGTTCTGCTGTCGGAAAGCAGCTGAAGTTTGAAATATGTTTTGAGCGCTTGCTGCTGGCCAAATTGCAATCAGTGACAATACCTGGTCATCATGGATGAACGCCATTGGTGGATAGCTGGTAAAATCCAGGAAACGTTTAAAATCGGCGGCTATGATAATCCAACGCTGTTGGAGGATTTTATGACAGAGGAAGGGACGCTCACTAAAATAAACCGTTTTCTGAAGTCAGGAGGTCCATGTCGACTGTTTTTCTATTCGGAAAAACCAGAAAGTGCAACATTGTCGTCAAGAGAACTGTATGTCACAGGAACATTAGCTGCATTAAAAGATGTAAATTTAGATAATGTAAACATTCTTTACTTTCTCAGAAATCGAGTTGACAAAGATGTGGATGCTCATCGGATGGAAAGAGATGTGTTCTGTGGGGAACTCAAACACAATACTATTGAAACACTCACGGCATTGTTATCAGATGTGTACCTCCCACTCATTAAGGCCCAGAAAGAATGGGGAGAATGCAACAATGAATGCCAGACAAATCTTACACATAGCATGGACAAATTTTTGACGGCATTAAATGAGTCAACTGCTTCCATGCAAACTTCAAAACAGTTGGTGAGTTGGGAATCTATAACCACAATAACAACAGTTTAAGATGTGATGTTTCATATTATGCTTTTTACATACTGAAAAGAAATTTGATTTATTCAAATATTGAAATAAATGATAATTTTCAAAATGCATTGTCAGTGATGTTTGGTAATCAGAACTGAGTTAAATTTTTCATAGAATACAATTTTTTAGAATTAATTTATTTGAGATTAAATATATCCATTACCCGTTAATCTCTTTACTTAACCACTCTATACATATGTATGTCCTGACTGTTCAAGCCTTTATTTGATAATGTTAATAATAATTGTTGTTACTGCACTTTATGGTTATATTATAGCCTATGTATTCCTGTGAAATGTCAATGCACATTTATATAAAGTAACTATACAAGAGCTATCCATCTTCCGTTTATTTGTATCTATCTTGTACATGATAATGACAGATTATATATACTAACTAACTAAGGTTATGCCTTATACATAATGATATGATGTCTTTGTATTTCATATTACTTTTGTATCAATTACAAGTTGTTATGAATGCTTATGAGTTGAAATAAACAATGAACAGTGAACTTGAATATCCTTACAGAAGAGTGTTTATTATCACGTTAAATATCTTATCAGATGCTGAAGCAGCCAGAAAATGTTATATTGAACGACTTCAAACAACAAAGAGCAGCAGCCCTAGACCCTCAGTTGATTAGTCAGTATGAAGAACTCGTAAATGATTGGATGAATACTATAGAGACAACACTAAATGATACCTCAGATGAAAGGTAACATACTCTATTTTATCATACATCCTCAGGATGTATTATGTCATGCTTCTTTGTATAATGAAAATGCATATATTTTTTTCTCTCTATTTTTCTTTTATATAAAATCAGTTTCAATAACTGAATACATAGGTTATATGAAACTGTACATTAATTCTTCAATTTTTTATTTTTTGAAAATTTCTTTTCTGCATGCTAGTTTCATTTAAAGTCTCACAGCTTTTATAGTCAGATATATTACTATAAGAAATCTTATTCAATATTGAATCATGTGTGGCTTTGCTTGTAATTTTTTTTTTTTTTTTTTTTTGTAATTTCACCTCAATCAAATCAGAAATTCATAAAAATAATTTAATTGTATAATCAAATGATGATGTATATCTTTATGTTATTTTTATTTAAAAACTTTAGAACCTATATGTACATAATGTAACATGAAATCTTACTTTGTTTTCATGATAATAAAGTAAGTCCATTAACTTTAATTGTAATGCTTTTCTAGGAAAGTGGCATTTCCAGATGAACCAGCATCTAGGTGATTCTATTTATGTGTAGCCTTAGTTGATTAGAGTTTGCTGTTGATTTAATAGTTATACCTGTTGGATGTCATTGTGTATTTCCATAATAAATAATGCTACACGATATTGAAGGTCAGAAAGCTAACATGTTTGTTTAGTTTGGAATATTCAATGCTATAACATTAATATTGTAACCAGGACAGTTTATACCAGATCATATTATACATAGTTAAGTGCTTTGTTTGCTATTGTAAGTGTGTGAATTTAAATAAATGCTTTTAGTCATACACTCATCAGCTAGTCAATACATGCTTCTCTGTTATCTGTTAGTTCAGTGATGTTATGTGGAAATTTTTTTTCTGTCATTGATGTAAGTTTTTGTTTCCTTTAAATCAATTTGATTAGACTTACTTCTCTGATTCGGTGCTAACCAGCATCATGATAGAAAACTAAAGACACTTTGTGAGTCATGTTTTCAAAATGTCTGTTGCTGTTTTGTTCAGTTTTCTTTTAGTTTGATTCATCACAATTTTTGCCAAAATAGTAGATATAAATGAAGCACAAAAGTGAACTCTTTTTACATTGGTTTACTCTTGTGTAACATCAGCGTCAGATTTTTAGATTCATCAAATAGAACAAATTATTGAGTTCCAATTTCAATTTACAATGTATTTAGAAATATGGAAATAGGTTTTGAGAACATGAAGAGAGAAATAAAGAAAAATTATATGGAAAATTATCTGCTAAGGTGTGTTAACCATTTAGCTTATCTAGTCAGGAGGCTGTATCATTTCTAATGTTACCAGAGCCATGATATTCTAAACATTCTCAACTCACATTTTATATGTGAGATAATTTTTACTGTAACAAATTTGGAAAATTTATAAATCTGAAAATAATTTCACACATATTATGTAACTGTACTGAGGATTTGAATATCTAGGCTCTGATGCATGCTGCAAATCAGAAATCAGTCAGGATTTGCTTTCTAACATGTATGGTGGTCATTGTATGCTGTTGTACTTTAATATTATTATTAAATAGTATACCCGTATATGCCAATGTATTACAGCATTGTATGAAATTTGTAGAGAACAGTAATATGTATGATTTACATCCAAGAGCTTTTCTAAATATATGTACACTACATCAACTTTAGTGAAATTACATCATGAGGGGAAACAAAATCAAAAGAAAGAAAAAAACAAATACACAAAATAAACCCAGAAAAACAAAACCAGAGAGACTCTTAGGTTTAGATATCATTCATCATAAATAATTACAAGTTTCATATCCAATTTATCACATGTACATTAGTGAAAAAACCTGCAGCTTTTCTTTATACCAAGTGCTTCCTGTTACTATTTTGATTGAGAAAATTCAATCTCAGGAGAAGAAATGATCTATTAACTGGGAATGATGAGATCTTCAGGAGAAATATACATAATCATGTTTTGATTCAATTAGATTCATCTTCACGTAGAGCCTGCATTGCATGTGATATGAAAGAAATGCTTAAGTAAGAGAAAAGTAGTTCATTATGCATCGCAGCCAGACTAGGCACACCCACTTAGAAGTGGTTTAATGCAGACATGTTAATGAGTTGTTTACAGGGAACCTGTATTTGATTATACAGCTGACCTGTATTTCACTATAATCAAATGACCTTTTCAATGTATCTTAAATGCAAATAATGAAAAATACACTTCATTTCTTTTTTTAGACTATGTCATTTAGGTATGAAAATATAGTAAGGTAAAAGGAAATTTCAAACATTTTATAAAAATTGATTTCCATATGAAATTCAATGTTTTGTGTGTACTTCCCCAGATTTTTGGATCCTAATGCAGGACCTTTGTCTGAGTTAGAACGTTGGCGTCGGCGTCAGCGACTCTTAACTAACATCACAGAGCAGCTGAAGAGCAAGGAATGCAAGGCTGTAATAGGGGTACTCATTACAGTCAAGTCCAGACTTCTAAAGAAATGGAAGAACGTTGATGCATCGTATGTTTTTCTTCATCACTAAGTCTTATGATTTTATTATCTGATTTCTTCTGATATTTCTATATATAGATATTCTCAAGTTTATAGAATTATCATATCAGAAACATGTCAAGTTTAATGTATCATAGTAGTGGAAGCAAAACATCTAAAATGAATGTCAATCTTTAGACCAGGTAATGGTGCTTGAGAGTATATTTCTGTTATATTTCAATCATATTTGCACACAAGTAACAGAACATGTACAATATCAGCCTGCATTTAAAATGGCTGATAAAGTAAATAATTCAAAGTTTGTGAAAGTTGTCTTTGCTTTATAGAATCACTGATGCAATGAATGACACAAAGGACAAAGTAAAGTATCTGGAGTCATTGCGGCGCCATTTTGATCAGCTCTATCATGATGCCACACCAGCATCCATCATCAACAATGCTATTCCTGGTATCACCAACAGTGTCAGGCAGATGGATTCCATCTCACGGTATTACGCCCGTGTAGGGTTCTTAGGCCTAATGTTCACCAAGATCACTAATCAGCTTGTCCTGGCCTGTAAGGAGTACATTAAGAACTGTACTATCACTGTGTACGATGGTGATGAACTGTGGGAGCGCATTGGTGAAGAGATTCGTAGCCGTGACACCATTCCTACTATGGACACTCAACAAAAATTTCTCAAGAGTCAAGTAGAGGCCAATCTCAAGGTAGCCACATCTTTTTTTTATGATTGTGAGGAAATTTCAAGTAACAGTTAATTAAAAATCTTGTCTTGATTAAAGAAATGTTATTTGTTTGGTTTTTTTTAAGCTTTCTTCACCTCACATGATAAGTTTTATATTTTCCTTATTCACCATTTATCTTTTGTATTGATTACAATGTATGGTGCCTCAAACAAATCTCTGTTTTTTTTAAGAGTAATTGTATTATCTAGTTATCTACTTACAACTAGCTCTCTAAGATTAATGGTGATGTATTAATCAATGACATTGAGATTTCATACTGTGTAACTTGATGAATTGTGTTTATCTTTTTGATAGAATATTGCTTTGATTTTCTAGAATGCACCATCCCGAGGTAAGAGTAAGGAGGGGAAGGATCTAGGCCTACAGGATGACAGTTTGTTTGGGCGATTGAGAGCCTGCCTCACTCTACAGGGATACTACCGCGAGATGCTAAGGTCCCTTAAGGATGCCTTAGGACAGAGCCAGAACCTATCCCACTTCCCGTCCCTCAGTAGTGTAGGAGGACCAGGAAGTTTCACAGGTGTAAAGTAAGTCTGACAATGGCAGAGCATGTGCTCTGCAAATTAGGAAAGAATCCTATGATTCAATATCTGTACTAATAGGGTGGCAGGGGCAGGAACCGGGGGGCAGGGGGACAAGAGGGTAGCATTGTTTACATGTAACATATGTTTTAGTTATTTAATGTTCTAGCTATTTTTCACACATTTTAAATGTACTCTCTGTATTTCCATGCTAGGCAAAAGCAAGGTACCAGTATTGCATCAAGAGGGACCAGTGTATCCCCAAAGAAGGGCCAATCCATAATGATAGCAGACACACAGGGACATGGTGTGTCTATTGCTGATGAAGAAGCTATCATGTCTCACATGGACTCCTTCTGTAATCGTATCCGCCAACTCATGGATGTCATCAACACATTAGCTCAGTACAACAAGTATGTTAAAATAGATCTAACTTTACTTGGTTTGAAACAAGTTTGTTCCCTCTTGACCTGTCACTAAATTTTATTGACAAAATGAAAAGAAAAACATTTTGGCAAAAGATTCAACAAAAATTTCAAAATCTGCTAAATACAAAATTCAAATATTCACATAATCATATGCATGAAAAAAGAAATCAAAAGTTATTTGTTTGCCAGAATGGTGCACACTACAACAGGAATACCTCGCCTGAGGAAGGAGGATCTTATTAACGAGGACGAGAACGAGAAGGATATTTACAAGTATCGTAAACGCCAACAAGAGGCACTTAAGGCTGCTAGTAAGTGCCAATAATATATAACTGTTTGATAGAGTTATAAAAATGTTTTCTACAAAATCGAAAGTTCATTTATGTTTAAGATATTTTCTTCATTGTGTTGTTGAAACAGAGTATATTTTATTCAGGCTGTCACTCCTGATCTATGTAAAGTACACAGTGACCACATTTCCAAGGCTTAACATATTTATTTATTTATCTGACTATAAGCCCATGTCTAGTAACAAACACACACAACAAAGCTTGTGTAAAGTATATTTAGTATTCTCCTGTGATAAGTTCACCTTTCGACTTTGAGTTGAAAATTATTTGCTGACCTCCTAAGCAGGATAAATAGGTACAAATCCTACATTTCTGACTTGTGTTTTGTAGTGGTATATGAAGATGAAGAAGCAGAAGGAGGGCTGACATCTGTACAGATTACCTCCCCTGAACGGAGTCTTGGAGCAATTGCAGAAGACGAGGAGAATCAGGATGACCCAGGGTCTGATCCAGAAGATATGACTGCTGAGAAAAAGGAAGTTCATACAGATCCGACAGATGATGTGTTTGAGACAGTCAATGGCAAACAAGGACTAAGTGATGAAGAGATAGCCGTTATAAGTAAGAAATTCTTTATTTCTGTGGCTGTATCTTAGACCTGTTCTACAATACCAGAACGACCAGACCAGCTCTCACAGTTCGTTCTCATTAAAAGGTTAATTGTATTGATACCAGTTTTCTGTTGTGACTTTCCACAAGACTTTATTGATAAACAAATTTCAAGTTTCGTTTAAAATAAAAATAATTTCATGTTCGAATTGCTCCAATTTGTATATTTTTACATTTACTTTAAACCAGGAAAGTACTTTCCTGAAGAGGAAGAGGAGGAAGGACCCAGTATATCGTACACTGTTGCTCAACATCATGAAAGCATGATGAAGGCCATGAGTGAAAACGTTACCACAAAGACTATGCTGGATGTAGAATCTAAGGTAAGAAACAAACAGATATCTGAATAGCGTACAAAGTCCTCAGTGGCTATTATTAGTGTTTCTTAGTTGTAGAAGTGATCCTACTTTTTTGTCCTTATGTTTGTAAAGATTTGCACTTTTCTGATTTTCTACCCATCTTCTTTTTGACACCTTTATCACTGAAGCACCAGGAATCATTTTAATCTAAAGTGATTTCATTGAACTTTTGATGTTTTTAACAGGACAGAGACAAGTTTGATGAATACTATGCCAACTTTGCCACAACGGTACAGGAACTGGAAACTTTTATGGCTGCCTACCTTCATGCTATATTCCTCAGGAAGAAAATGAAGACAACTCAAGGATTGGACATCATTACAAGGTTTGATTCCTGGATCTAAATTAGATATACTGTCTAGTATCATATGCTTGGGAATTAGATATTGTAGATATAAAAGGATAAAGTAAGATGAAATAAGTTAACTTGTTATGGATAAAATTGTTTACTACCGATGAAGGGAAGGTGTGAACGACACACTTACTGTAGTATTGAACAAAGTACTGATACTATTGTATTGAAGTATTCAAATAATCGAGTCAAGTATACAACGACCTCTGTGATTGGTCGGGGGCGGAGTTTAGACAACCTGAATAGTTGATCTGACACCCAATTTGTACCGGTAGGCGGAGTTAATGTACACTATCAGTTACATAACAATTACGAAGTAATCACTGGAAAAATGTCCGACGACGGCAACAGTACGCAAAATTTTCTATGTCAGATTGACCCAGGGTTGGCGAAATATGCGTCAGAATTCAAGAAATGTGATGTCAGCAATCTTAATACCTTGCGATATTTATTACCAAGTGAGGTAAATTCCATGGAAATGCCACAGCTGTACAAACGAATGGTGATAGATAAGATCATTAACATGCAAACGCCAGAAACTAAAAGTGCATTTAAAAAGAAAATGAAGGCAGATGCCGGCACGGCCGCATCACATCCACCTAAACGGCTGAAGTTTGAAAACACTGTTAGTAGTCCCGGTATTGACGTTACGGATGCAGCAAAATCCGACTCGGGGATTTGTGGATCGACGCAGAATGACAGTTACCTTAAAAAAAACTGGGTCGTCTGAGAGACGAAAAGGAAACACTTGTGATTTTGCTTTCTCACAAAATCTAGTAGAGAATGACTATATGACTATATTCACTGTTAAAGATGTTATGAATTCTCCGGTCCCAGTGATCTAACCTGTTGATATATATATTGTACGTAAATTAGTTTAGTACTGAGTAATTGTACCATCGATGGAAAAGCAAGGTATCATTGGGTGTAGAACGAAACAAATGGGACAACCCAATTAGGTCTGATCTGAAGCCACCTGTGACTTGGACTCTTCCAATTAACCTCTCGCGACAGTCGAGTGTCTGTAAAATGCCGATGTCTGCACGGATTTTTTCACCTGGCTCCACCCACAATCGATCTAGACTTGGCTCTGCCAATCAGAGAGCTTGTTGCATAAATTTAAGGAATTCGATTGGTGAAGTACTTCAGTACAATACTATCAATACTTTGTTCAGTACTAGAGTACTTGAAACGTTCACACCTTCCCTTCATCGGTAGTAATGTAGTTTAATTGAATGCATCTAAATATGAGATAAAATTAGCAGGAGAAATGTACTGATAATCAATAGTAAACATTCGGGTTTTTTTTTTATTTTGTTTAGAATGATGTTGTAAAATCTTAATCCCTCCTATCTCATAAGTTAGTTCTGATAAATGAAACCTTTTAAAAATGTGTACTGATGGAAGAAAATGTTTTTGCAACTTCCAACAATTTATATGACAATTGTTTTGTATTACAGGTTCACACCTGTCCAGAGTAGACCAGGGATTCGAGCCCATATAGCTGAGAAGTTTGTAGAGATCTTCAACTGGTATGAAACTGATCTTGAGGAGGTTCATAACATCTACGAAACACACAAGGTAACACAAAGATGAAAATGAAAAAGATATGTCAATTTATTTGTGTCATGTTCATTTGTGAGATGTCCATTTGTGGGAAGGTTATGAAATTGAAAAAAATGTGCTATATCAGTTGGGATAATTGATGTCTAAAATTGACTGTCCATTTTGCCCCAGTGATCTAACTTGGCTCCTGTTACTTATTGTTATTGTTTGTATTGATCAACAAACTTCATGGTCTTGGTGTTGAATGGCTTCTTTAATAAAGTAAAACAAGAACTATAAATTGAAAGCAAAATGTTTTTTGGAAACTTGTACATGTCTCAAGATTCCTGCAACTCCGCTTCATTTTTGGTTACTAATGGACCTTATCAAACTTTCAAAGGAAAACCCCCAGATGGTGAGGAACGCCCCTCCTGTAGCAGGGGCCATTCACTGGTCCAGACAGCTACTCAAGAGAATCGAGGACCCTATGAAAGTGTTCCGCGATAATCGAGCTATCAACCAGCTTGGAGATTTCGGCCGCATTGTGAGGATCTACAACAGACTGGCCACGGCTCTGGTGACCTTTGAAAGTCTTTGGTTCACACAGTGGAAGAACAGAATAGAACAAGCTCGCAGTGGTCTGAGGGCTACGCTATTTGTTCACCACCCTTCCAATGAAGAGATAGTTGTCAATGCTGATGAGAGGTATTCTCATATTATCAGTATATTGTTATAGATACAGCTATAAATATGATGTTGTGGAATTGTAAGATTAGAAATTATTTGATTGCTGTGTTATGTAATACATTGTGTGTTTCTACACATCTTAAAGTTAAGTGCTGACTGTAGTTGCTTGGGCTCCATTGTACTATATGTATTAATTACTTTGTTACCTGTTTGTATTGTGCAGATATAATTAAATATATGATTGATGTATTGCCAGAGTATTGGAGCTGATACATGAAGCTAAGTGGTTGACCCGCTTGGGTATACAGATCCCCGAGTCAGCCGTATCCATCATGCAACAGGAGTCACGCTTCAAGAACTACAAATCTCACCTGGAATTAGTGCTTAATGAGTACCGAGAAGTCTGCTCATCCATCCCAGAACCTCTCATCAAGCTTTTCACTCCACACATGGAGTTTGTGGAGCAGCAGCTTCAACCTGGCCTCACAACTCTGGCATGGAACAGCATGAATATAGGTCAGTATATAGGCCATGAAATGGAACAGATTGAATATAGGTCAGTATGTAGACCATCACATGAAACAGCATGAATATAGGTCAGTATGTAGACCATGACATGGAATAGGTTGAATATAAGTCGGTATATAAGTTACGACATGGGACCATGATGAATACAGGTCACATTTTGTAACAGTATTAATACAGTTCAACATTTAGGCAATTTTATGGAACAACAAGTGATACTGGTATAGGTGAAAGTATACACACCAAGGCATGAAAACAATAAATAACTATATTGTAATGACATATATGGTGGTAATACATGTACAAGAAAACTGCCTCACCATCATCAGTATCAAACTAAATTTTGTCTGCTGTAGATGCATTCCTCCACCAGATCCACTCAGCCACACAGAAGCTGAAGGGTATGCAGCAGAAGGTCCATCATATAATGGAGCAAGACATCTATGGTACCCTGGACACTATCAGAAACTTCTACCTCTTCGATTATGAAGAAGCTATCTCACGGTCATGGGTCAGTAATCTGTTTAAACTATAATACAGTTACGTTATGGAACTATACATTATACTGTAGGATGTCACTAATATGTTTATTGTAATGTTGTACAAATCTATTTTACTGACTTTTTACTCAGTAATAGAGACCGTTGACCTACTATCATAACACTAAGTATGTGAAGTTGAAGAGTGAACATTTTAATATCAACTGTTTGTGACTCATTGTATTGTAGCCTCCTCTTGAATTTCGGGACAAAATGTTGCGGAGTATCCAATCTCGCTCGGAAACCCTGAAGCAGTCTGTGGCATCTGTGTTGTCAGGTCTTCAAAGAATAGCAAACACTCTAGCTACAAAGAAGGTTTGTACCACAGTCACTAACTTTTGTCTTTTTATCTATTTTTCGCTAATTAGTGTAACATATTAGATTTGCTTAATAATAGCCATATAAGTTTGAATTGTCAGTTGTATGCTTAAAACTTGCATGCTTTATTTTCTTTTATGAATGCATGATAAACATAATATTTAATCAATGATAAGAATTTACTCACTGATGATCATACCATTGCTGTACTTATAGAAAGATGTTAGGCTGAACACTTATAGATCTACACAAATTTATTACTAAAGCTTGTTGCTTCACCTCGTTGAAGCACAGTAATATGAAAATTAGTAGAAACCATCAAACTCAAAACTTATAAAGCGCCACTTCTTTGAATTTGAGGTAAGTCACAGAAAATAAGTGATCATTAATTTTGAGAAATGAAAAAAATATAAGAAAAAAACCATGCACAATGTTAAACAGGACATTGGTAATTTGTTTGGTTTCCAGGAATACACGTTTGCTCCTATCCATTCCATGGTTGTTGCAAAAGCAGCTGCGGCCAAGCTCAAGCAAAAATTCATGACTCGATCAGAGAAACATCCCCTGAGTAAACCCGCCATAAGTTTCCCACTGGTTGGAACCCATTATTATATACATTTACACATTGTTTCTACTATTTCAACCCTCCTGGCTGCATGTCCATTTTTTTCAAATTCAATTGAACTTTGTCATATGGTGGAAAAGGCTCAAAACAGTCAATTTAAATCTGTGTAATTGAATATTGTGAAACTTCTTTTAGATGGTGAAGAGCTTCTATTTCATAACTTATTAAGAGGATAGAATAAGATTGATAAAAAAAGAAAGATAATCTTAAAGTAAAATTAATCGAGGAATCCTTAGTTTTTCTCACCTTTCATGAAAAATGAATCCTAATTGCTTCGAGCTTTGAAGAAAACTGAAAATTTGAACCCTTGAGGAAAACGATTCTTACATTAACAAAGTTCCATTGAATATTGACATTCTAGCCTTCCTTCTGTTATGTAGTAGTAGGATTGTGGTGGAATGGTCCGTTGTCTGTCCCATCATCCATCCTCTTATCTGTCAACTTTACCATTTAAACAACTTGCTCTCAATAACCAAATGATCGAAGATCATGATAATCAGCTGATAGGTTCTTTAAATAAAACATGACAAACTTTGAAAAGGAATGACCTTTGTTAACCTATATTTAAGGTCATAGGGGTCAAATTTTGTTAATACCTTTGAACAACTTCTTATGATTATCAAATTGGAATATGATAATGATGTTTGACCAGTAGATTCCTTGAATCAAGCCATCAAAGATGCAAAAAGAAATGGTCTTGACACATATTCAAGGTCATGGTGAACAAATTTATTAACCTTCAAACAACTTCTTCTGACTAAACAAAAGTTCCCGAATTATGATATTTGGCTGCTAGGTTCCTGGGATGAAACCTAACAAATTTTGTGATCAGAAATGATTTTGAGCCATATTCGAGGGTCCAGGGGAAATATTTATGAAAATCTTCAAATAAGTTCTTTTGATTTAACCAAGAATTGTAATGGTATGGAGGTGAAATGTTCTTGTATTTGTGAGAACACCATGTGAGCGAAGCTGACCTATTGGGTTTCTCGTTTCTGGGTATCGTTGGTTCTTGATTTGTTTTTTTTACCTGGTATCTGAAAATCAAAGTCTGTAATTTAATATATAAGGCTTATTACAAATCCCAGAAAATGCTCTCTATGTCTATTAACTTTTAGATTGGGTTTATTGGTGGTGCAAAGGTTTTTAGTTATATGGATATTTCTTATTCAATTATCGGTGTCTAGTTGGTCCATTGAAGGAAGAATTCAAAACATTTATGATATATTTGTATCTATAATCGATCAAGGTCACCAAGAAGGTATCTGAAGTCATTCTCATAATAACAAAACTATCACATGGAATCTTTGTTTATGAGACTGTGAAAATGTATGTAGTTTGTTAATCTTGTACAAGATACCTAACTACGTAGTGTTTAACCCATCTTTTATCAGTAGTTTTACTAACTATAAATTTGTTTGTTGCCTTTTTATAAAAGATACATTAATCAGCATGTTTCTATCCCTCAGCATGGATCTGTAGACCACAAATCACACAACATGTTCTGTGCATGGTGGCATTTTCTGAAGGAATCATTATACATGTACAGAATGTATCTAGATGTCTGATTGATTTTATTGATTTGTTTTTTTAAATGGAGATGGTAACAATTGTACAATATGATGACAATAAATAACACTAGATTTAAATATCTCCATACAACTTTAACAATAAATTTCTCTGACAGTCCTAGATTAATTTAAAGTATTATATAGTTTTATGATCACATGATATTATTTCTTGTCTGCTATTTTATTGCATGAAGCGACATTAAACAAAAAGTCCCAAAGAATAAATGTATTTTTTTCTGGTACTGTATAGTACTGTCAGACAGTGTCTTGTACTGTGTAGTACTGTCTTATACTTTCTAATGTATCAGGCTCTCTCAGAAACTGTCTATTACTGTCTTGTACTGTCTAGTACTGTCAGGTACTGTCAGGTACTGTTTTGGTTTTAAATACAATTCTATACAGCTTATATACTAAAAGTCAAACACATACATCAGGATATAGATATAAGGCTAGTACACTTCATAGATATCAAACTGAAATACTGAGTTAGATAATGTGTTAGAGAGTGGGGTGGCTCATTTCAGGATGTTTTCCTCTCCCAAGAGATTTTTAATGTCACTTAAATTTTGATTTTTTTCATAACTTTATTATAGCACTGATTCAATATAAAGCATCAAAGAGTAATTCAGTCAAAAAAAAAAACACTACACAAGAATTAATGAAGAGCACTAAGGAGCACTAAGATCAGAATTGGTTACTGAAGGGTGTGGCATTCCTTAATTCTATACTCATTTCATATTAAATGTAACAGAAAATATTTTGACTTCATCTATCATAAAAATATTCACTAGTAATTAGAATATCCGCCTGATAAGATAAAGATATAATGGTTGTATGGGATGTTTGGTGTGTCCTTAATATATTACATTATACATATTTGTATACTATATTGGGATATGTATTACTAAATTTTATGTGTTACTATGTTCGAATGTGTAAAAGTGTACTTTGAAAATACCCTGTCCTCCTTATAATCCTTGATATGTTATTATGACTTGTTTTGAAAATGATCAATTTTTCAGTGAGAATTAGAAATAATACTTCCAAGTATGCACTTTGTCTACTTGAAGTAACAATAAGGGTGAAGTTAGGGATCTGTTTTTATCAAATTGACCTTTTATATAAGTCACTGTGCCATGAAATTACAATGCACTAATAAAGACATCCCTCCAAAAAACAGCAAAAAAAGGCTCTTAATTTATGGAATGCACACAATTGTAATTTTCAATAACGCATTAACACATTAATGGACGATAACAGTAGGTTGAGCATTCATACTAAATGCTATACAACCAACCTTAAAGTCAGTAAATATTAAGTTTTAAGATATTTGACTGAAAAGGTATCAAGGATTGTATGGATATTGCTATCCTGGGATTGCTAATTTGGGGTATGTAGTGCTATTAACTCGGATATGTAGTGTTATTAACTGGGATATGTAGTGCTATTAACTCGGATATGTAGTGTTATTAACTGGGATATGTAGTGCTATTAACTCGGATATGTAGTGTTATTAACTGGGATGTGTAGTGCTATTAACTGGGATGTGTTATTCTACCATAGACTGATCATCCTAGCAAGTCCAAAAAGATGGCGATGATGATGGATGAAATGGAAGCTATGAGGGAACGACAAAAGATTGAAGAAGAAGAAAACAACATAGCTGATCTCATTGGTAAGTATGAAGATACCAATGCTAAACTTTGACATCTTTTAGTAAATGTTTGGTGAGAGATGCAAATGATGACGCAGAAATAGGTTGATGTATTTAAATTTGTGATAGAATATGATATCATTCTACAAATTCATGACAGGAGACACCAGCTACGTAACACTGCAGACATGTTTGTCAGTATGTCTGTATTATTTTATCATATAACAGATTATAGAAATAATGTGCCAGTCTTTGTTCTCATTGAAAGTGTCAATTTTTTATTGTACAAAGTGACTGAATAATGTGTTTTAGCCCACTTCCGAGATCATGTGTACCAGGCAGTTCTTCAGGCTACCTGTAAGTCTTTGGCCACACTTGCGGAGAGTACAGGGTGTGACAGTGAGGTGATTCGTGTGGTCAGTGCAATGTCAATGGGGTCAACACCTCGGGACAGCCCAAGTCCTCGGTCACCTACTCGGAATAGTCGGGAACCTTCTGCACACAGTCGTGTGTCCTCTGCAGCCACCGATCGCCCACTGACCAGTATGTCCATGTTGTCGAATATGACTTGGACAACAGAGAGAAGCAATACGACTACACTGCTACAGTAAGTACACATTATAGTACACTGCTACAGTAAGTACACATTATAGGTACACTGCTACAGTAAGTACCTGCTACAGTAAGTACACATTATAGTACACTGCTACAGTAAGTGCACATTATAGGTACACTGCTACAGTAATTACACATTACAGGTACACTGCTACAGTAAGTACACATTATAGGTATACTGCTACAGTAAGTGCACATTATAGGTACACTGCTACAGTAATTACACATTACAGGTACACTGCTACAGTAAGTACACATTACAGGTACACTGCTACAGTAAGTACACATTACAGGTACACTGCTACAGTAAGTGCACATTATAGGTACACTGCTACAGTAATTACACATTACAGGTACACTGCTACAGTAAGTACACATTACAGGTACACTGCTACAGTAAGTACACATTACAGGTACACTGCTACAGTAATTACACATTATAGGTATACTGCTACAGTAAGTACACATTACAGGTACACTGCTACAGTAAGTATACATTATAGGTACACTGCTACAGTAAGTACACATTACAGGTACACTGCTACAGTAAGTACACATTACAGGTACACTGCTACAGTAAGTACACATTACAGGTACACTGCTACAGTAGGTACACATTACAGGTACACTGCTACAGTAAGTACACATTACAGGTACACTGCTACAGTAAGTACACATTATAGGAATTTTCTTTTTTCAATCATAACTTTTTAAAAATTTGATACCCAGTGCTTCAATGTCATATTTTAAACATGATTTAAATCTCCCATGTTTTTGGAGTTTTTTATGTATAATAATGTCTACCATTGTGTTACAGGTTTGAAGTAGAGGTCCACTTTATGATCCCAAACATCATTGTAGAACCAACACTGGACATCGCTCAGACTGCCATACAGGATGTTGCTAATGCTGTCCTTGAGGCCAACAGATGTAAGAGTCTGATATCATATATTTTAAAATTCTGTAAACCTTCGGTCAGTTCAATGCTAATGAAGTGCCAAGTATGTGTATAATCTCATACTATTGATTGCTTTCGATGATCATTTACAGTCTGCTACCCACACTGTTTAACTTCGATGTGAATAGTGACCAATTGCAGGGATCGTTGTGATGCCAATGCCGTTATCAATAGTCATATGTGTGGTCTCATGATTTCTTTGAACAAATCGAAATATAAGTGAAACAAAGTAGAAAGGGTTCAAATTACTACTAGACAGAAAATTAATGTTTTTATTGAAAAAATCACATATTTGAATGACCCACTTTTTTGAACTAATCTGAAGTTTACCTTAGACAGATGACTTAATACAAAAATGGGTTTTTTTTTCTTTTTTTCTTTTTGGTTTTTTTGACAGTCAAAGTATTCATAAATCAATCTTCAATTTCAACAAAGATTTTTACTCCATTTTTGTTTTGTTCTGACCTTGCAGATGTATCGTGGATTGGACCACAGGGACAGGAAAACTTCTATTCTCTCATAGCAGACGATGAAAATGTTGCTCAGATGACATCACAACTGTCCAATATCATTAATGGTCAGTAAAATAGTATAGTACAATATAATATATAATTATCTCTTTAGAACAAGAATATTCTCCCTTCAGCAATTACCACAACTTAGTAGACCGCTCTCACATATTTGGTTTAAACTTTCCGTGTTGCATAGAAAATAATTTCCAAGACACGAAGCAGATGTTGGCTTCAATAACAGGCATAGCTCAAAATACACCATTTCATAATTCATTATTAACTAAATAATGATAAATCAAACATTATGTATGATTCCTTCTCAGTTGTCTTAAACTATGAGATTTCAAAAAAATTGTTGAAAGGTCAAAAAGCTGTACAAACTGTTTAAAAGCTTTTAGTTTCTCAAAGTATGTATGGTTGACCCTGTTTATAGATGTGTTACTTATAACCCATAATATTTTGTATGTTGATCTGTAAGTACCATCGTATTATGACTGTGTAGGTATATGTAAGTTTCACAATATCCTGTTTGATTTTCTATTCCAGAGATTGACACTGTAGTGAACAAACACTTATTCCACTTTAGTTACTATAACTTCCTGTGGAAGGATGATCTTCATGGCAATTTCAAAGAGTTCATCTCAGCTGATCCTGGAATGTTTGCCATCAAACGGGAGGTGGAGAGGTTCTTATACATAGAGAAGAAGGTATTAGGAATCCCTAAGGTTTTACCTGTAGGGCCAATCTCTCTCCACACCGACCCCATCAAGGATGCTTTACATGGATTTGCTATGGCATGGAAGATCAAGTTTGCTTCTGTCTTACATGAGGAGGCTAAGGTGATTATTATAGTGATACTAAAAACAGGATGGTCTTTTGAGTGTAATCATGGAAATGTTAAACACCAGATCACATGATAACTTTATTAAAAAGGTTTTCATCAGAAATGATAATAAAAAAGAATAAAGAATTTGTATTTGCAGGACCAGTTTACAATCTGTCATCTTCTTCATGTAAAAATGAGAATGTGAGACAAGATCTTGAGATGCCACAGGATAAACACTTAACATTTCTTTTGCAGAAAAAACTGGATGCTGCAGTATTGTACAGGTCTAACGTCCGTAATCGTCTGGAGCTGCATGTCCAGTCCCTTGACCAGTTGAATAGTGCTCTCCATCTTTTGGAGGAGCTTTGGGACATGGAGAATAAGATAGATAGTATATACCTGCCTATAGAGACCATGTATGCCAAACTCAGGTATGTATTACTTCTGAACCTGTAATCTTGATTTATGTTACAGTTTAAGATAGCAAATAGTCTTAGTATGTTTTTGATATCTAACTTAAAACACTAGACTCTTTCACATGTTAAAAGGTTTAGATAATCTCAGGTTTGGGTGAATAGATAACCATGGCTTTATTACACAATGCAAAATAATGGTAGACATGGTATATGACATAATATTGCATAATGAACATTACAAGCAAGGTACTAATTAGGTGATATGAATTATAAACTGTCTATCATGGAAAATAGCCATGGTTTTCCACAAAATCAAAACAATTATTATGTCCCAAAAGAGATAATGTGGAGCTTTTGCATCACAATATGGGAAGGCAAAAACATGCTGTTGCTTTATCAGTGTTAGCTTTGAGAATGAGTATGTTGGTATTTGAAATTTGAATTGATTAATTAAGAGAGGATACAAACAAGACAACTAGATTGGATGCTGACCATTGGTCAGAAGGTTCTGACCGGTTACCTAGAAATATCCTGAAAGATAAGATAGTAACAGTAGGTATAGTTAAATAGAGGAGTGCTGAATGGATGTTTAAAATGTAGCAAACACAGCCACTGAGGTACACACAATATAGGTGAATGGCTACTTAAACCTCTGTGGAATTAATGAAGTATTAATGTATTAATACTCACATATAATTAATTTATGGTTAGCCTCATACAAAGAATCTGTTCTATAAACATTTATTATCAGTACCCAAGTTTTTATCACTGATATTTCTTCTTTGCCATTTTTATTTACGCTTGCAAATATATGCAATGTATATTTGACGTTTGCTCTCTACATTTGATCTTTGCTTTATTAATCACATATCTAATCTTTCTACATTTCATTGAGTGGTGTATTTGAGTCCTCTATATTTGTTTGTAGGGAGTTTGAGCTTCGCCTCCCAAGGAATGAAGTGGAGGAGGTGGACCAGCTACGAGACAAATGGCAGGAGCTGATAGAACTAGCTGAGCAGGTCCGTGAGGTCCTTCTCAAGGAGCGCAGGGGAGCTTTCGAACAGGAACTAGACAAACAAGTCAAGGTAGGCTACTCCATACAGGGAAACTAGTATATCATCAAAGATATTCTTATATTCCTTGGAATGTCTAATTGTTGTATGTAACAGGTGAGGTCATTAAGATGGATTTTTAGTGTATCATAAGTTCAAATATAAAGAAAAAGAGTATCCATGCTAAAATTGTGGCTCTATCTGGTTTGTTGTTGAATGTGATAGAAAGTTATTGAGGTCCTTCTGAACACTAACAGAGGACAGAAGACAACATGAATGATGTTTTGTTCTAAACTTTCAGACGTTTGTGGTAGAGGTGATCCAGTTCAGGAATGCATTTGACGCTCAGGGTCCAGCTGTGCCAGGGATACCCCCAGCTGAGGCTGTTGCCAGGTTACAAGACTTTCAGCAGAAGTATCTGTTGTATGACTCTAAGCGTAATACATTGGAATCGGTGTCTAAACTGTTTGGGATCGCCTGTAAACCATTCTCGGAGCTGGATAAAACTGGGGAGGAGTTAGACTTACTCAGTCAGTTGTACGGACTGTTCCAGAAATTCCTTCGCTTTGATGCCAGATTCAAAGACACTCTTTGGGCAGAGGTTGATCTTGAAGCTTTCTTCAGAGAGGTATGCACAATTGTTTTTTAATTTCTTAAGTGATGAAGAGCTAATATATTGTGTCACATAATTTCAAGATTATCATCTCAGCAAATAGGAATAAGATTTCTGTCTTCATTGTAGAATATAAGACCCTTGGGATTTCACTTTAGGTCAATCTGATTGGTGTTAATACTTCAACATATAAACAGGATGTACTGTCAATGTATATCATTTTATGGTAATCTTATTTTAACACGCTTGATGCCAAAAATATTTTGGTAAATTATGAAAACACTTATTGCAGTTTCTTTATGTTGTTAATATGGCAAAACTTGCAAATGGCTGATGTACAAATTCATCATTGTAACATTCCTAGTCCTTTCTCAAAAACAAGGATACTCTTAGATTTTTACGATGAAATAACATATGATAAAATGTCTGACTCCAAAACAACAATGATTTGTGTTGAGATAGCTAACTTATCATAGCTATTTTTGGAATTTTTTCCCTACCCTACAGGTTGAAGGCTACTGGGATGAGTGCTTAGCCCTTCCAAGTAAACTAAAAGACTGGGATGCCTACCATGACCTGAAGACATCCCTACAGAATTATCTTGAGGTGTTCCCTCTCCTCCACAGTCTCAACTCTAAGGTAGGTCCTCTCCTCGGTCACTGGTGCGGTCAGTTGTCACTCAGGCAGTCTGTTGTCAATTAAATGTTAGATGAATCTGTTGGTGTTACCTTGGTATTGTACTACATATGTATTGATTGTGAGAAATGTTAGTTTTTATTGTAAAATTCACTATATATGTACTAGTCTGTAATTCAAGTGTTAAGTTAATTATTGTCATCTGCATCACAACATCATTCACAGTCATTTCAACAGTTTTGTATTTAACTAAAAGCAGTATACTGTCTTGTTTTCAGTTGAAAATGACCAATATCACTGTTATATGTATGAGTGACCTATATGAAGTGTATCACTAAATAGTGTATATCCTAAATTAAGATTTTTGGCAATAATTTTCATGCTCATTGTCATATACACATGAAATAATTAAAACCAATTTACAATTAGAAGGTTAGAACTGTTTGAAGTTTCCTTGAAAATCACCATTTTATCCTGATCCTGAGATAGTAGATGTCCTTGAACTTAAGGCAAAGGACAAAGGGGCATTTTGGGGTTTATTTCTTTTTGCCAATATTTTATTCAGCTTTATTAATCATTCATGATTTTCCAAAATGCTAGCCTTAGATTTTGGGAAAAAACATTCTCTTTTTTGAGTTCAGGGATATTTATTGTAGTGAGATAGCAAATAGTTCCTTGTTATAAAACTGGTTTCCATGGTAACCGTCACATCAACTGATCTTGTATTGCCTTACATTGACCTCTGGTCACTCACAGGGAAGTGATTTGTATGAGATCCCAGTAAGTACTGTGTTGTGTAGGTTTGGTCAGTCTGTCGACTTGACCACTGCAGTGCTATAGATGTTCTGTGTTGTTTGGTAGTTGGGAGGTCCGTCCCTGTGTTCATTCTGTATCATATTTCTACCTGTGTATTTTTGTATGTTGTTTATTCTCCATTATGCTATAAAAACATACAAATGCAAGAAAACACAAAATTATGCACATCATATTTAAATTCAATTAACAGTATCAGTTAGTTACATGGAAAACAAAATGTGCATCATTCAATTGTTTTAAATGCCAACAAATTCTGGGTTTACTTTGTAACTCATACATAACATTTCATTTATCACACGATAACCATATTACTCCTGTCATGTCATTTATATGTGCATGAACCCATACGGTGACCTATGGTGATGTAAGACAATGAATTTGGGGATACGCACTTCAAGGCAGATTTCAACAGCAATTTGGAAAGAATTTGGAAGACACATATTTCAAAACCTTGATCATGCGCACCTAATTCATTCAAGATAGTTGATACTTTTTATTGTTTATGAACGTTTTTCTTCCTTAAAACTTGAAAGGCTCGTTAAATTGAAAATATTGAGGACATGTTTCACTAAATGAATGAACTAGTGTACCATCCTGTGATAATAAGAAATGCTGTATTAAATCACATGATGTGCTTAATGTTATATGTGATTTGTTTGTGGTTATGGGAAGTTCTAAGGAGAAATTAATGTTTGATGATTTAATCAGTGTTTTATACCATTTATTTGAATTCTGACAAGGATGAGGAAACAATGTGAGGATATTGTGTAATGGTTTTGGGAATGTGGTATCAATAAATACACAGTTAAATTGAAAGTATTTAAAGCTGAGCTATCTAATATTATTGATTGTCATTAATTGACTGACTACTAGACCTGTAGTAGGTAAAATTTGACTGACTACTTAGTGACCACCTACTGTAGTGGGTGTAATTGGACTGACCACTAGATACCACCTGTAGTGGGTGTAATTGGACTGACCACTAGATACCACCTGCTGTAGTGGGTGTAATTTGACTGACCAAAAGATACCACCTGTAGTGGGTGTAATTTGACTGACCACTAGATACCAACTGTAGTGGTTGTAACTTGACTGACCACTAGAGACCACTAACTGTAGTGGTTGTAACTTGACTGACCACTAGAGACCACTAACTGTAGTGAGTGTAACTTGACTGACCACTAGAGACCACTAACTGTAGTGGTTGTAACTTGACTGACCACTAGAGACCACTAACTGTAGTGAATGTAACTTGACTGACCACTAGAGACCACTAACTGTAGTGAGTGTAACTTGACTGACCACTAGAGACCACTAACTGTAGTGGGTGTAACTTGACTGACCACTAGAGACCACTAACTGTAGTGGTTGTAACTTGACTGACCACTAGAGACCACTAACTGTAGTGGTTGTAACTTGACTGACCACTAGAGACCACTAACTGTATTGGTTGTAACTTGACTGACCACTAGAGACCACTAACTGTAGTGGTTGTAACTTGACTGACCACTAGAGACCACTAACTGTAGTGAGTGTAACTTGACTGACCACTAGAGACCACTAACTGTAGTGGGTGTAACTTGACTGACCACTAGAGACCACTAACTGTAGTGGTTGTAACTTGACTGACCACTAGAGACCACTAACTGTAGTGGTTGTAACTTGACTGACCAATAGAGACCACCAGCTGTAGGGATGTAAATGTGTTCAGAATCACCTGTAAATATCTACTCTGTCCACTTGTTTAGTATTGGTCTCACATCTTCCTTGTACTTTCCATATTTCACCAACGACCATTTTAGTCCTGACCGAACTTTCGATATATATATCATACAATTATACATGGTAATTAAATGCATGGCTTTGATACTGTATTAGTTATAATAATGCTTTTAAAAAGACACATCATTTACGTAGTCCTTTTTTTTTATTTTGAAACATCCTGAAAAAGAAATGATGTATGTATAAGAAGTCTATCAGTTGTCATCAAGGAAGATGTCTTATCTATACTAAAACATTGATGTAGTTTGTCTATTTTATTACAAAAGCCAGCTTATATACATGTATATATACATTGTATAATTATCCCCCCTAATCCCAAGCCATATTGTATATCAAGCTGTACTCATACTGGTTATAAGCCAGAATCCCTAGTGAAACCAATATTTCCCTGTAAAAAATGCATGTCAGTAGACAAACTTATCATATTACTATTGCTTAATTAACTCTGTATATCATCAGGAGCTTTTACTAAATACACTTTATTGTATATAAGTATATATATTACCAAAATTATTAGTTAAAAATATTGTCTAGCTGTTAAATATTTGTTGTTATTCAAAGTTAAGGAATGGAAATTCTTTGATATTGAAATTTAGTTTCTACGAAATTTCTGTAGCATTCCAAATTATTCTACAGATTGACTACATTTTCGTCTTTCTTTCACTAAATGAGTCTCTTCCAGAAATTCTGTCACTGACATGATTAATCTTATTCATTTTTTAACACCAGTAAACATTTCCATATGCACCAACATTCTTTCAGTAAAATTAGATATATTTCCTTGCACAAGATACTATACTACCTCGCTGTAAAATTTTGTTTTTGCATTTATTGATGATGGTGTTTTTGTAGGAGATTCGTAACCGCCATTGGCTAGAAGTGATGAGGGTAACTGGCAGCTCCTTCCAGTTGGAGGCCAATGTCTTCAAACTGCTCCACCTACTGGACATCGGCCTTATCAAGTAAGCAGTTGTCATCAGAAGTGGTCTAGTTTTATTTCAACTATCCGTAAAAACAGCAGCATTTAATATTCATTACATTAAAGCTGTACATTGTTGCTGACACATGTATTTCTTACATTTAAGTCCACTGTAAAAGGATTTCCCATGGTTCTGCACTTTCTTATGTTATATATTAAAACTGAGACTAAGACACATAACTGTTGATGTAAAAATGTGTTACCTGAGATGAGTTGGTTATTGTTTCACATTTAACTCACTTTCCTCCTCAGACATAAGTCAGAGATCGAAGAAATCTGTCGGGGAGCTAGTCGAGAGTTGGAACTTGAGATAAAGATGCGAGTGACGGAGGAGGAATGGAATGAACAGGTGTTAACATTTGAACATTACAAGAAACGTGGCCCTATGTACCTAGACAAGGTATCCACAGAACGTTTGTTGGAACAGCTGGAAGATGCTCAGGCTTTACTCGCAAACATGTTAACGTCACGCTACATTGGTCCTCTAAGGGACGAAGCTGCAGGCTGGGCGGAAAAACTGAAAACTGTGGCAGAGGTATTGGAACAGTGGCTTGAGGTTCAGGACCTGTGGCAGTATTTAGAGGCTGTCTTCAGTAATTCCATCGCAGCTAAGGTAACATCACTTTTTTCTTAACTTTTAGCCTTTATTGAATAAAGACAAAAAATTAATGATTCTTTTAAGTTTATTGAAATCACTCATATGGGTTATAACATTGGTGTTTTATTAGGGTTTACGCTGATGTTCTAAACAGAATCCTTTTCAGACTTGCATTGAGTTACTGAGAATAACTGGAATCATTCCTATTCATATGCTTCAAAAGGCTTTATTGGACTAAGCACATTTGTTCATGGGTATAATTATGTTTGGTAGGAATTACCTCAAGAGGCCAAAAGATTTGCCAGAACTGACAAAAGCTGGACAAAACTGATGAAGAGAGACTTTGAGACTAGGAATGTTTTACAGGTAGATACTGCATTCTATTGTTGTCATTATCATATTGAAAATCAGGATTGTGATGTAGATATTTGTACATATGGAATTCTAATTTATTTTGCATTCAATATCAAGCAAAATTGAATCAGATTTATAGCTTTTAGAGATAAATGTTGGTCAGTCCGATATCATATAGCATATTGGAAACAAAACTAAAACAGATACCATCTGACAATGTGGCTTATGACAGATTCTTGTTTAATTCTTAATTTAATACATGTATCAGGATATTATGCTAGGGTAAATGTTCGAACCTATTTGCTTATTTTCCTGTACAATGTGGAACCTTTCTGTTTAAAGTGCTGTTATGGCGGTGAGGTGCCAAAAGCTGTTCTCCTGAAAAACATCCACGAGGAACTGGAGATCTGTTTCAAGTCCTTGATGGGTTACCTTGACAATAAAAGGCGGGCCTTCCCCAGATTCTACTATGTATCTGACCCCATTCTGCTGGCTATCCTGAGCCGACCAAGCGACCTGGAGTCTGTCAGACCTCACCTCAAGTATGTTCTCACCATTTGAAGATATACGGAAAATGTCAACTCAAATATTTTACCATAATTCTAAAACCAGTTATAAGCTTATACTAATCACTCTTGTTGGCCTGAAATGAAGTGCCCACAGGGTCTTATTGTGGAAGAAAACCAGAACACATGGGCAAAATCCATGTGGTCAGGTGATCTCATACGTTTTTATGTCCAATTTAACAGGGAATAGAACCCTAGGTGAAAAGCAAGTGTGTTCCCACTGCACCACCAAACCACCCATTTACAAATGTCTATGTTAGGGGGAAAACATTAAAAGAAAGAAGCTTTATTTGTTTAGGAATTTCTGTTGTGATACTTCCAGCATCAATAGAACTTCAGGGAATCATATTCTGATTGAGGTCTTGATTGTAAATCATCTTCTATAGTAATGTTATGGTTTGTTTGTGTTGTAGATCTCTCTTCAGCAGTATCTATGATGTACGACTAGAGGAAGCAAACACTCTTGATGAACCAACAGATGAGGTTGGTTTTGTCCAATCACGTACTGGAGTACGTACACCTACAGGGTCAAGGGTGCGAACCTCCTCTGCACTCTCACCTAACAACAATACGCCACACAAGATAGACAAGAGATTAACAGAGATTTATGTAAGTTTAAAGTAATAGATATTGTAATTTATCTAAATCAAGACCTGAAGATATATCAATGTCCCTTATAGTGTGGCTGTTTATAAGTCTATGATTGTTAGGAGGAACCTTAAGATACTGTAACACAGGTATAACTTTATATCTGTTAAGGAAATGCCAGTGTACTTTAGTAATATCACAGTCACATTTTGTATGTAAGGAGAAATAGCAGGGAAATCAAATTGAAGTTATACATACCCGGTATATAGCTATTAAGTAAAGTGTAAGAAATGCAGAATTATTTCAAACATTGAAGATTCTGTTTCTCTTGTAACAAATAGCCATTAGCATTACCTGTTCATGAAGTTATTCTTAACTGATACATCACATAGGTAAATTTTAGATATCATTTTGCATATCTGTTATACTTTACCACCATATATTTACAAAGTTATACTCTTATCCTTTAGTGTAAAGTCCCCATCATATATTTACATATCCCGTAGAGTCACACCATATATTTACAGAATAGCACACATATCTTCTAGTGTCAAGTCCCATCATATATTTACACAAAACAAGATTTGTAGTAATAAAAATAATATTTTCAGAAGCTTTATAGTGTTATATACAATGTAGATGTGTAGATATCTCCTTATTTAACAATTAAAATAACTGGAATATTAATATTTGGAATATATGTCTTGTAAAATAATTTATTTATCATTTTATTTTTTTGTAGAAAGTAATTATAGAACATATGAATTGTACACATTCAAAGCAACATTCTCTCATTTGTTTGTTAACTGTTTTTAAGATATCCATAGTTTGACAACAACAATGTACTAAGACTTCAATTTTGAATATTTTGGACCAGGATCTTATCTAAATAGATCTTTTCTCCCCACAGCTTGCAAATGAATTAATGACACCATTACGTCATGTAAAGAAGGTATCTTTGATATACAATTTTACTCATTATCTGTCTCATCTCTCTCCCAGGGGCACAAGTCCCCACCCTATCACATTACCTGGGAGCTCACCCCCTCCCCCACCTCAAGGTCAAAGTCACGATCAGTAAGTAAGGCATGGTGAAGGATGGAATAGAGTCGTATCAGTAGACTATAATTGTTGTATATAGTTTTATTGGTAATTTTGAGGTGGATTGAAAATATATATATATGTATAACATATTTATAGTTACTATGTAATGTGGGAAAATCCATTTTAATTATATTTTCTTTGTGTATTGTTTTATGTTCCTTAATTTTGGGTGTCCAGGGGTTAGAAAAAATACTGAATATATAAGTCACAAAGATTTATCCTTTCAGTCTTGAAAATTAACCATTTTTTATTTTATTTCTTTGTCAAACTTTTTGTCTGCATTATAATAAACTAAACTCAAGCTTGTCGTCATCAATTTATCATATACCTGGAACTAGTATTGAGATCTGACATTAAGTACTTGGAGGAACACTAAAATGTTATCAAGTAATAAAGTTATATTAAATGCAACAGCATAAAAAATGAGTCAACAAACAAAAAAAACAGAAAGAAAACAAACATCAAAAAAAAATAAGAACTGATAGATTTGAAAAAGAACTTTACTGAACACATAATAATAAGTGGCCAATTGAATGCTGGTAGGATAAGATATTGTATTTCAATGTTTCAACATACATTCAATTACCTGGAGAGATTATTATCACTGATGGGAATAATGACAGACTAATAAAACCATGATGTGTAAGTGAAATGAAAACTAGTTAGAATGTGTGAAATGTTGACTGACCAAACAGTCATTACAGGAAAGACAATGGAAATTTATGTGTGTGTCCATTATATTGGAAATAGTGACTGATACATACACTGTACAATATATAGCAAATCTGCAATAATGGTGTGTTCCATGGCAGAATTATTAGCTTACAATCAGACAGTTACCAGTGTCAGGAACAACTAGTGACGATAGCAAAGTGTTTGATATATATTATTAAAAATGCCAAGAAATCCTTGATCAGAGATCTTAAACCAGACTAACTGATAATAGAGGTATGTGTACTGTTATACTGTTTTGTTTGTAGCAACAACAACAAACAATGGTCAAAGAAGAAACTAGTCAATCCATTCTTAAAACAAGAGGCCAAAAAAATGTAACTTCTAAGAGTGTAAGATACTAAAATATATTTAACTTCCTGGTTGTTTATTTAATTTACTTGCATCTTATTGTAGTATTTGATGTCACTCTTTTCACCCTATATGTCACCATAGTATGATCTAATTCATTGCTTGGAACAATCCACTATGGAAAAATAGGGCTGAGAGGATTGATAATTTTCAGTACATTAACCAAGTGTTTTATTATTCTTATTTACAGTATACTGTTTATTTTGTTTTTTCTGTCCTTTAATTATTTATATTTATAACAGCTATCGGATGACAATTGCACGATTGATGATTTTATATCAATTTCACTTTTTTTCTAATTTAAGTTATATTGTAAAACTGCATGCCAGAAAGATTCTATAAAACTTGATTGAAAATATTGATATAGAAATATTTGATGTGAGACATTAAAAGCATGATTTGGGAGTTTGTTTACTATATTTATCTTTAAGAAAATACCTCTTTTTCAGCTTATCTTCAAGAATAAAATCATTAGTTTTATCAAGTTTGTTAGATATTTATCTCAATTCATGTTTAATGTCAATTTAGATATTTATTATAAGATGATAAATATGTAGATAAACTATACATTTATCAGGGATTTCCATCAAGTAAGAAAACTAAGATAAAGACCATCACAGAGCATGTATGTCAATTTTGTTTATTTGAAATGAAACTATATGTGATTATGATTATTATGAATGCCAGGTTTATAAAAGCAAAATACCTTATGTAAACAATATCAATATATGTGGATTGAAGTGTTTTTGAAAGCCCACTTTGTGCTGTTTTTCAGAGTATGAACCCTAGTGCCATAGCACATGCTCCAGCCTTCATGCCGTCAGAGGGAATTGTAGAGGACAGTGTATTCAGAGATGCTGTGGCAGTTAGCAGTGCTGAAGGGGAGCTTGTTCAATTACAGGACAAGGTACATTTGATTCTCATAAAAATGGCAGAGTTTTCAAGTTCCACTGGCTAACTCTAATGATAACATTGTTGAACTAGGATTTAACTTACAACTTTGTTTTTTTACATTATGAAAATTGAGAAAATGGAAAAAGGAAGTGTTGAACTTGGAGAGTTGAAAGTTTTATTGGTGTAATTGTGAATGTCAGAAAGTTAATCCTCAAAATTTAGTTGTCAGGAGTTTTAGAATTTGTGGTGTTGAGAGTTACGATTAATTTTTAAATTGGAATGTTGATATTTACCTATTTGATCATCCAGGTATTTCTTACCGATGGTGTGGAAATGTGGCTACAGAAGCTGAGAGAGTCTGTTGCCAAGACTATCAAGGACCTCAACATCAACATCATACAGGAATGTAACAATGGTGTGGCCATGGATGAGTGGCCATATAAGGTAAATATAACAATGACATGGTCGTGGATGAGAGGCCTTATATGATAAATATAACAATAGCATGGTCTTGGATGAATGGTCATTCATGGTAAATATAAGGATGGTAGGGCATGAATGGGTAGCCATATCAGGAAAATATAACAATAACAATAGTTATGGTTATGGCTGAGTGGGCATGTAGAGTAAATATAACTATGGTATGGTCACGGATGGATGGCCATATCAGGTAAACATAACCATGACACGTTCATAGATGAGTGGGCATATACCTTACATATAACAGTAGCAGTGTCATGGATGAGTGGCTGTGTAGGGTAAATATACCAGTGATATGGTCATGGATGAGTGGCTGTATAAGGTTAACTATAACAATGGCATGGTCATGGATGAGAGGCCTTAGAAGATAAATATGACAATAGCATGTTCATGGATGAGTGGTCATTTATGGTAAATATAAGTATTGTATGGCATGAATGGGTAGCCATATCAAGTAGATATAACAATAGCATGGTCATGGATGAGTGGATGTATAAGATAAATATGACAATGGCATGTTCATGGATGAATGGTCATGTAGAAAGGTAAATTTAATTCAGTATATGATGAGAAATGAAAAGTTATCACAAGAACCACAAACTCTACTTGTATCCATTTTATTCCTCATAATATTTATTTTCTGTGTAGCTGAAAATTGTAATAGTCTGAGATATTTTGTGTCTGTGTTACAGTACCCAGCACAGGTGTGTCGTATGGGCATGCTATATTATTGGACACGAGAATGTGATCAGGGCATCTGGGACATCAAGTATGACCGCAAGGCTCTCCAGGGTGCTCTCAAGAAATACATCGCTACAGGATCAAAACTACAGACAGTGTTGTCCCGAGGGGCTTGGCGCACCCTTGAGGAACCAATGCTGCCTCTCCACAAGGCTCGTTTGGAGTGTATGATAGCGGTATGGTGCCATTTATAGTTTACATCATTTTTTAAGATTTACTGCAGATTTCATATACATTCTACAAGAATAGGTATTGACAAATACATCAGTAATAATTTCTTTCTTCTTTTAAAAAATTACTTCTTCAAACTTTTTAAATCTTTTTTTTTTTGTTTGTAGCAATTTCTTTACCTGAGGGACATTTTAGACAACATGTGTAGTAGAAAACTGAGAGAGACAACTGACTTTGAATGGCGTCGTAGCATACGTTGTTACTTCCACCCTGTTGGTAAGTAGTTCATCTTAACTAGTCTCATCTCCAGTTAAGTCATTCTTCTTGAGTTTTTAACTCCAGCAAACAATTTGTGCCTATTCTATAATATAAATCTATTTGTGCTGTGTTTGTCTTGGTTTATGCCTGTCTCCTTCAGTGTTTTACATAAATGTCTTGTACATGTACAAGTGTGTTCTAACTGTTTTGTTTGCATTGAAATGAAAATTTCCAACATATCAAAAATATATTTCTTTTGAAAAGCTTTATTAATAATTTGAATTCTGTGAATTGATGATATACCTGCCTTGTGTTACAGCTGTAATGTAAATGATACTGTTTAGATTTTTCTCCTATAACAATGTGTGACTCCAAACTAACATTTGTGGTTACACTGACACCCTGTTACAGCCACCGACACACCCACACCCAGAGAATCTGTCACCGGCGATGACAGTGGCCTGGACGATTTGGCCATACGTAAGGATGAGTGTTACTGCCGGGGCAGTGGTAGTAAAAATACCCTAGCTTGTGTCTTTTAATGTGTAACATAGCTTCACTCAGGTGGCCGGCTTGATGATACTTTCTTAGGGAAGAATTTACTGCAGTGCTTACTTGATCTATAATTGTCTTGATATGACATAGCTGAATCAGTCTTGCCTGCAGTAAATCTATTTTAATTACTTAACAAGAATCATCATTTTTGATCACCAAGAAATATCATTCTAATTTAAAAACAATAATACAAATCATACCACCAAAAGTATGCATTTAATATCAAATTAGACGGAATGTATAGTTCATGTTAACTTATCACTTGTATTTTCAATGCAGGTTTAGTTTTAATTTCTAAGTTCTGTATGTAGATTTAACAAATGACAACTGTACACTCTAACTTCTACTACAGTATTACATAATCTAACACTATTCCATTATTTTTTTCACATTTCTCTACTATTCTACTATATGATCAGCATGCCAAACTTGTAATTACAACCCTCTCTGATTAACTGTGTAATAACACCCTAGATGTAAAGCCAGGAGAGTTGTTCCCCTTTCCTTGCTATGTTTTGCCTGGTTTTGCTATTATATTTGCCTGTTATACAATTTTTTAGAAAAATGTTTTTTATGGATAAAAATGGTGTTTCCTTATACAAATCCACAATTGTGGAGGTATATGGTGCCTAACTATGGTACAAGATATAGGGTGTATGGTGTGCAACTGATTGTGGTGTAAGGTATATGGGGGTCTATCTGTGGAATGCATAAGGTATAATGTATATGCAGCCTATGTATGGTATGAGGTGTTTGAAGTTATTATTCAAAGGACAATAATTTACTTCAATGACACAATGAAAACATTAAGTAAAAAAATAAGGAAATGAAACTGAGACAGTGAAGACTACGAGATATTGTACTTTCTTTTTTATTGCAATGTTGAAATTATTATCTCTATCACCAGACAATGATTGCATTATGATAAGCAAACACAACATATGTTTTTGATAAAGGCATTTTACATGTCATGTTACACTGTAATATTTGTCCCCAGTATAAAACAAAATTATATACAACATGCTACAGTGATGACTATAAATTTCCACAGAGGATCACCAAGAACCCCTGATCTGGATCCTTGATACCCCATACGCATATGGTAATGAGTTCTACGGGACCAATGCTGGGGCAGCTCTGACTCCTGTCACGGAGCGTTGCTTCCTGACAATGTCACAAGCCCTCAATAACCACCAGGGCAGCTGTGTATCCGGACCTGTTGGAGTCGGAAAGACGGAGACAATCAAGGTATGTTTGTTAATACTTATCAACATATTGTACACATGTCTTAACTGACATAGATTTCTGTGATTAAAAGTATCACTAGAAAAGGAATTACTTTTAAACAATTAAAGTTTTTTGAATTACAGATTTCTAAGAAATCTTACAAGCAGTGAAACCTGTCTGAAAGGTTATTGAGACCACTTACAATGGACACTTATACCATATTAATGTTTCCCAGATTATCCAGATTACAATTTCTATAAAGGAACATCACATCTGTAATGTTTTACGGAAATCTATTTTTATGTTGGTAAAACATCATTCATTTTATCCCCAGGGTTTGGCTAACACTCTTGGTCAGTTCCTGAGTATGGTCCAGTGCTGTCCAGAGTTTGACCCTACTGCTTTGGCAAGGTCAATTCAGGGAACAGCTATGGTAAGTAGATGTGTTTGGAATGTAGTTCTGTATAGACAGTAGTAGTCTCTACAGGTATGTATGTTGGTTATAAGGATTCCTATTTGAATGTAACTAAGATTTGATTGTACTACTCTGTACTGTACAAGATATGGTGCTGTTATCCCCGTAGTAATTATCAACATTTACTCACACTTGGAATGTCAATATTGTTATAGGGTAGTTCTTTACCTATTCATGAAATTTGTTATTTTTTGAAGATGATTAAGAGCCTGGTTGTGTATATTACAGGATGGCTGTTGGTGTTGTTTTGATGAAGCACAGAGTCTCCACCATAAAGCCTTATCGGTCATGTTTGACCACGTTGAGGCGGTACTTGTTGCCCTGAAGGCCAGACACTCCTATGCTACTCTTGCTGATGGTCAGGAGGTAGGTGTACCTTTTGTTATGATTGGTGTTGTACAGGTGTGTGGTCAAATATAACCAGACATTGTAGAAAAGTAACATAATTTTGTCATAGGGAACACAACTTCTGTCAGAGAGTATTTTTACTACTGTGTATTTAAATCAAACCAAAGATTTGGTATGCTTTTGTGACATTAAGATTCATTATGATATCTAAGATAAAGAAGACTGTATTTGTGATAAAGCAATGATGTTCTGACTTATGATAAAGCTATGATATTCTGACTTATGATAAAGCAATGATGTTCTGACTTATGATAAAGCTATGATATTCTGACTTATGATAAAGCAATGATGTTCTGACTTATGATAATGCTATGATGTTCTGACATATGATCAAGCTATGATATTCTGACATATGATAAAGCTATGATATTCTGATTTATGATAATGCTGTGATGTTCTGACATATGATCAAGCTATGATATTCTGACATATGATAAAGCTATGATATTCTGATTTATAATAAAGCTGTGATGTTCTGATTTTCAACAGATCTCAATCAGAAAAAGCAGTGCAATACACATGACCATCAACAGAGATGACACAAGTTGCAGTCTGCCAGTAGAGGTGCGGGCACTGTTCCGTACTGTATCGTTGATCAAGCCGGACTTCAGTCTTATCCTGAAGGCCAAATGTGCCTCCATGGGTTTCAGAGCTCCAACTGTACTGGGAGCTCGACTGAAATCTGTATCAGAGCTTGCCAAGGACCAACTGTACGTATACATAATAAATGAATTTATAATCAGTTACATTATTATTATTATAATGTTTGAAAAAAATCAGATTGTTGACTTTTCACTGATGTGTTATCTCCAACAATCTCAGACTAAGTAAGCAATACTTAATATTGTTAATCCTTGATAAAAAATACTGCTCTAAATCTTCTATTTTTCTTAAAGAAGTTTTTTATGCAGTCAAGATATGAATTGAAATATGGAGGTGTAATCCTCTCCCTTTGTATTTGTTACAGATCTGAGCACTTCCATCATTTGTTTGGTATTGCGACATGGACGGGTGTACTCAAGAGAGCTCTACAGAAAAGGAAGTATGTCAGAGATGAGAAAACTCAGGACCGCATAGAATCAAAAGCCAAAGACGAGACATCGCGTTCAGAGAGCCAAGCGTCAGAGGCACCTACCAAGTTAGCTGGTCTACAGAATGGTAAGCTCTACTGTGATATCTTGTACAAGTTACAACTGTTAATTATGGATGAAAAGAAATTCTGAAATTTTCAATATAATTCAGCTTGCATAAAAAATATATACACTGTATGTATTTTGCATATGAATATTTGATGATTTTTATTTTATAGAAAGGTATATTTACTGTTTCATTGTGCCCGTTGTCTTTTCAGTTGGTTCAAGCAGTGTAAAGATATCATCAGTGAGTAGGAAGACAGGCACACCCAACCCTATGACTGCTGCTGGCAAACTGGAACATGCTCTGGTGGCCCAGACCATCCTGGAGGTCATCTCCCCAAGACTGACCGGCAGGGTAATACTTTCACCTCAACATTATCTTACCTGAAATAGACATGTGTTGTTACTTTTTCTTACTGTTTTCAATCTTTTTGTGTAGTTAGCAATGGGAAAATCATAACATCCCTAGACAGAAAAATATCTGTGTATCATTAAATGGCTTGTTCATGTTGGAAATAGCTAAAAAAAAATATGTAGTTCAACACATTGTTGAATGTTTCTTTTTATTGCTGGATAATATTTGGTATTGAGTGGTACACAAAAATTAAACTTGCAATATGAACCTCTAATGGCTCTGTGACATGTTCCAAACAGAATGTAAAGCTGTTTAAGGCAGTACTGGATGATGTGTTCGCTGGCCTGCCTGAGCCTCCCTCTAACCTGTCCCAAATACAGTCAGCCAAGTCTCGAGGGGCAGACATTGATCTATCCCTCAAACACAAGGTGGCTGATAAGGGCTTAGTGGCTCACGATCCATGGCTGACCAAGTGTAAACAGCTGTTCAACATCTCTCAAGTCCACAGTGGTCAGTACACTTGATTTACTGTAAAATGATCATCTAGTTTCCATGTAATGCTAGAGTAATCTTCTATTAGATATCACTAACAATTATCACAATTACTCTTATGTCAATTTTCTGTAAATTCCAAATTATTTTACACTTTAGTAATCTCTCCAGTGTCTGTCATGTTTGTTCTTATGATTGATAAATCTCTGTAATAAAATGACAATGTTATTGTTCTTATCAAATTATTTCCATTTACAATAGGTCTGATCAAATGATAATTCTTGGGAATAACATGACAAAGTTATTGTTCTTATCAAATTATTTCCATTTACAATAGGTCTGATCAAATGATAATTCTCGGGAATAACATGACAAAGTTATTGTTCTTATCAAATTGTTTCCATTTACAATAGGTGTGATCGTGGCTGGACCTCCGGGTAGTGGTAAAAGCACCTGTATCCAGACCCTGGTAGACTCCTTGTCTATATCTGGGCGGGGCACGTCTCGTCAGTCACAAGGAAGCAGGGCTACCAACCCCGCCGAGTCTATGCACAAACTCATTAAGATCAACCCAATGGTTGTTGATGATGAGGCTCTCATGTTTGGTTCTCTCAACCAGAATCATGACTGGATTGATGGCATCTTTACTAACGCTGTGAGAAAGGCTAACAGGGTAGGTTTGGCCATCCCTATACCCACAAAGTAGATTCAGTCTTATCTCTGTCCTTCCGTTTGATAATTCTGATCCTAAAAAAAAAGTCCAGCAGATGTACATCCTTCATTTCATGTTATTTCCAAATAGCCAAGATAATTACATCCAAATCTTGTTGATCTTGAGACCAGGTCAGATAATCTACCTATTATCTTTTGAGTACAGATTTAATAAAGAAACATTTAATATATAGTTTTTGTGAACTCATTGAGGTCTCTTAATTTTTTTCCTGAAGTAATAACTGTAACATGTTTTGGTGCAGAACTTGAGTACCACTTGGCTCTGTCTAGATGGCCCCCTCAACCAAGGCTGGGCTGACAACTTCAACAGTATCCTCAGTGGAGACAAGGTAATCTCTCACAAACCATGCCATTGTTGTCAAGGACAACATATCACACTTAAATGCTTGTTTACGTTCTCAAATATAAAAAATCAACATTACAATTTCATTTTCTAAGCATTGATACTTTCATTGTGGTCATGATGTATAGCCTGTCTGTGTTGCCCCATTCCTTTATTATGTGAGACACATGAGATAAAATATGCTGAAATGAATAATTCAGCAAAGGATGTTTATGTCAAAAGTGTTACATTAAAATTACTGTATATTTACCTACGTACACATGTAAAACAGTAAAAGACAAGAAAGGCGTATTTAGATATCAGTTTTCTTCCTCTTGTTGTAGAATATCTTAGTTTTACATCGTTTCTAATTTCTCTGCCTTAAACATTACACAGGCATTGCACCTGAAGAATGGAGATAAGCTTTTCCTGTCCGACAATATCATCCTGATATTTGAGACGGACAGTCTGGACAATGCCTCACCTGCCACCATAGCGAGATCAGTGAGTTGTAATTCTGTATAGAAACAATAGAAAAATGTTAAGTTAAATGTTTTCACCTCATATAAACATTTAAATACAAATATAATAAGATTTGGTCAGAAATTACTTCCAGAGAAATTTTTGAATTTATTCTAAACACAAGTTACTTCAATACTACAATAGGCAATTACTTTAGATGATGATAAGGCTTGGTGAACCGATAAGTGTATGTTTACCCTGCCTTCCTGGTCTAAATCTAAGACATTATTTCAGCTGTAAAACCATTCATTCCTTACTTTACACATGAAGTGATATTCACTATTATTGTTTTCTTGGTTTCCCTGTAGCTTCTTAAACAAGAAACATTTGATGTTATGTAGTATATGGTATCAGTGTTTTAGAAACCTTTTATGTATTTTACCATGTCAATTACAGGGTATAGTTTACCTGGACAAAGATGTCCTAGGATGGAAACCTGTAGCAGATGCCTGGATAGAGAGCAGAACTCCACAAGAAATACATGTATGTATACTGTTACCAGTACATTTTTGTATTGTTCAGAGTTAGAACCCTGTCCACCTCTATTTCAGAGAACATCATGGCTGACTGTGAAGGGGATATTCATGGTTTCTTCCCTGTGATAAAAGTATTACTATATTAAGTGGTTGACAACCTTCTTAAATCTTATGTTTGTTTTGTTTATGGATTATTTTGTAAAATATAGAAAATGTATCTAAAATAACATTGAGGTTATATGTTGCTGTTAGGATCTTCATGAATATGAAGCATTTTGTGTTGGTACACTATTGATGTCTGTCAGTACACTATTGGTGTCTGTCAGTACACTATTGATGTCTCAGTACACTATTGGTGTCTGTCAGTACACTATTTATGTCTGTCAGTACACTATTGATGTCTGTCAGTACACTATTGGTGTCTGTCAGTACACTATTGATGTCTGTCAGTACACTATTGATGTCTGTCAGTACACTATTGGTGTCTGTCAGTACACTATTTATGTCTGTCAGTACACTTTTGATGTCTGTCAATACACTATTGATGTCTGTCAGTACACTATTGATGTCTGTCAGTACACTATTGATGTCTGTCCATACACTATTGGTGTCTGTCAGTACACTATTGATGTCTGTCAGTACACTATTGGTGTCTGTCAGTACACTATTGATGTCTGTCAGTACACTATTGATGTCTGTCAGTACACTATTGGTGTCTCAGTACACTATTGGTGTCTGTCAGTACACTATTTATGTCTGTCAGTACACTATTGATGTCTGTCAATACATTATTGATGTCTGTCAGTACACTATTGATGTCTGTCCAGACACTATTGATGTCTGTCCAGACACTATTGGTGTCTGTCCATACACTATTGATGTCTGTCAGTACACTATTGATGTCTGTCAGTACACTGTTGGTGTCTGTCAGTACACTATTGTTGTTTGTCAGTACACTATTGGTGTCTATTAGTACACTATTGCTATAGACACTGGATTAGATACTAAGTTAGACAGTACTTGTAGGCACAACACATCTGCTCTGCAGGCTCCATTCCTTTACACTTGTTCTATTGAATGCACACATATTGCAGCTGCCGAATTTGATTTAAACGTTGATTTATCTTGCTCCTTTGATGCAGATTTGAATTTTTTCTATCTATAAAAAAACCTGTCATCAAAATGTACAACATCTTGTTTATAATTGTCTCTCTTGACATATAAACAGGAGAAATCCTGAAGAGATTTTACCTGAATGTGAGAGTTGTCTTTCCTGATTATAGAATATTTTGTTGCATTAGAGTGACTTGTGGCTGATATATAAACTGCTGTTTTATTTTCTCTCTTGGTATTCCCAGGAAAAGGTAGGTTTGATGTAGTACAACTTTGAGTGACTCTCTAGATAAATTCACACTGGAATGTATAAATGGTAGACTCATAAAGTCAATACTACAATAAGGATATCATATAAGTGAGTGACTCTCTGGAAAAAAAACACATTGTAATGTATAGTTGGTAGACTCACAGAGTAAAGTCAACACAGTAATAAAAATACAATATAGCTGTCTCTCTAGAGAAATACACACACTGGAATGTATAGTTGGTAGACTCACAGAGTAAAGTCAACACAGTAATAAACATACAATATAGCTGTCTCTCTAGAGAAATACACACACTGGAATGTATAGTTGGTAGACTCACAGAGTAAAGTCAACACAGTAATAAACATACAATATAGCTGTCTCTCTAGAGAAATACACACACTGGAATGTATAGTTGGTAGACTCACAGAGTAAAGTCAACACAGTAATAAACATACAATATAGCTGTCTCTCTAGAGAAATACACACACTGGAATGTATAGTTGGTAGACTCACAGAGTAAAGTCAACACAGTAATAAACATACAATATAGCTGTCTCTCTAGAGAAATACACACACTGGAATGTATAGTTGGTAGACTCACAGAGTAAAGTCAACACAGTAATAAACATACAATATAGCTGTCTCTCTAGAGAAATACACACACTGGAATGTATAGTTGGTAGACTCACAGAGTAAAGTCAACACAGTAATAAACATACAATATAGCTGTCTCTCTAGAGAAATACACACAATGGAATGTATAGTTGGTAGACTCACAGAGTAAAGTCAACACAGTAATAAACATACAATATAGCTGTCTCTCTAGAGAAATACACACACTGGAATGTATAGTTGGTAGACTCACAGAGTAAAGTCAGTACCATAATAAACATATCATATAGTGGTTGACTTGTGCAGCAATATCAGTATGGAAAGAACAGTATCATTTAAGTAAGATGGTCTGTATAGATTGTCAGATTTAACTACAAACATGTACCATTTTTACTCATCACATTGATCAAAAGATTGGGGATTGAAATTAATGTAAGATAGTGAGATTTGATGGCAATCAATTTTGAAAGTAAATTTTTACAGACATAGACCTGGTAACATCAATGATATTGGTACAGGTTATTGTGGTTTTATAACTGTAACAATCTTTTTATTGATATATATTCTCTGTACAATTTCAGTACACAAACATAATGGAAGTGAGTTATACAACAATACAATGAGTGATATATATTTTCTGCTATAAAGGTGCTAGGTGTTGACATGTACCTGGCCAGCAAGCATCTGACAGTCCCATCATTTTCACTAAGTTTTGATGAAGCAACACATTTTTTGAGTGAAGCTAGATAATTTGTTTTGGAATGAACATTTATAAATCTAGATGTTTGGCTACATATCTTTTTATCACAATTTGCTTACCAAGAGTAGAAATTTCCTCACTAACAAATATTATTTAATTTTTAAACCTGGTATGTACTATGTAAAGGATGAAATTCTGAACTATTGTGCATGAAACCAGAGTTAGAATTTTTATCATAATAATTTTGAAATGATCACTGTAAAAGATATTTTATGCTCAAACTGGCATGAGATAGCTTGTTTTCATGTTTCAAGTTCAAATAACAGAAAATTGATGGCTAAAAAATTGCTCAAGGAATCTAAGAAATATTACGGGTATATTCTGTACAACAACAGCTGAATGTAAAAATAGATATTGGAGAATGAATAATGATTTCCTATAAAAAGTAGACCTGTAAAGTATTACAAGTTATGAATTTGTCTTGGTTATTGCCTGGTTCTCTCTCCACACAGAGTCGCAGGTCTGTCTACAGTAGACAGGAGGGGCAGCCCCTGCCTACAGTGGGAGGGGTAATACATTGTAGTTATTGGTCGATGGTCTCCCTCTATAGGAGTAAATGTCACCCCTCTGTATCCCTCCTCCATCAGAACTGTACACATATATTTGGTTTTAATGCAATGCTGTGTTTTCCTTTGTGTGCTCAGTACTCTTGCAGATTTCATTTTTGACCTGTGTTTTGTTTAGCCAAGCCATAAATAGATAAAAAAAAAATTACACCACAACTTTAAGGTATTTATATTTGGAAATTGAATTATAATCATTCTGTGTGATTGCTTTTCTGTGGATGATGAGTGTGTTGTTTCTCTGCAAAGAGATGTTGTCTGTATTAGCTGGTGAAAGGGATATTTAAGTGACCACCTGCCTCATACATGATATAAACTCCTGGAATCACTTTAAATCTTATTGAAGGGACTAACACAACCTCATAACAAAGCTTTTTATTTTTTCCTCCTTGAAATTCATGAAATATGGCCACCATTTTTCCTAGGTGCCTGTCACCCCTGTCCCCGTTGCTTCAGATCTAGATATTGACTCTCCAGAAGACATAGACCCACCCATCAAAACAGTGGAAGGGGTAATCTGCACAAGCATGGCCGAAAACTCATCAACATAAAACCACTTAATTTTCTTACAATTTCCTTTCCAGTGCATCTTAGTTTAAACAGCAGTTCACTTGCATGAGATGCTTTGCTCATGTTTATATCTATGTGTCATTATTGTGTGTCATAATTGTCTCATTGTTGTGTCTCATCAACATCATCTTTAATTTGTATGTCCTCTCTGAATGTAAGCTTAATTAAATAAAAAAAATAACACTATACATAAAGCTATCAAATCTAATAGAATGGGTGGATGAATGGAAATTGATGGATGTCAAATATATATTAATATTTAGAAAAAAGAAACTTTTAAATTTTTTCAATAATCAGAAATGATCTCTGAAATCTGTGTTTTAGTTAGATTGGAATTGCACTGCACACCAAAATCACATTATTTAAAGAATGCGGTGTACTACTTCATAGATAAAAATCATAAGATACTTTTTGTTCACAACTTTATTTCTTAAAAAAATTTCTTTTGATATGAAATAAAAAAATTAATTTTGTAATACCCATAATATTGATTTAGGAAAAATAACCCCAAGTAACATTAATGTATCATAAGCTAAGAATTCCATTGCCATTTACAGAAGTAATGAACCATGATATGATGACTTACACCTCTGTAACACCAGTACAGACCACAATATAGACGAGTCCATGTGTTGTCCAGTAGCACCTGTGGCTCTCACTAATACACCTCCTCCTACTCATGGCTGTTGTGTTGTATCCATCAAATGTCCAACCTTGTTACAGATTCTCTCATCATTGTATAAGTTTTCCTCTCATTCATCTTTTTTTGTGCCTGCATCATTGTCTTACATAAACATGTATGTATTTTTAATATTCTTTAAACGTTACATGATAAACACACATTAAATATACTTTGATAATCAAATGGATATTTTGAGTACGTTTTTTTTTTACTTTATAATGATTTTCATATGAGATCTGTTAGATGTTCTAGCTATTTATCAGATGCTGTATATCAATCATGACTTAACACTTGTTCTATATGTAATTCTTGTCATCCTACTAACAGGTTTAATCTATCATTGTCTTAGTCTGGTTGTTTCACATTTGTTGTTTTGTAGTCTACTTGTTTTAAAACCATGACTACTGGCTGTATTTCAGGTTTTACAAAGGGCGTTCCAGAAAACACTCGACCCTATGGCACAGTTTGTCTTGCATGAGGCCAAGTAAGATTTACAATTATATCTTTTCAAATTTTTAGAAACTTTTCATGTAATGCCAAAATGTAGAAAAAAAAAATCAAAATATCGATGGAATACTTTTCAGAACGATTTTAATGTAAATATTTACACTTAATTAAAGTCATATCTATGCATCAGCGACTGAGAAAACGTATACATTTAGACTCTTATAATTTCACAAAGAAATATTCAACACATAAAACCATTTACAGACCAAGCCTAAAGCTGTCCTTAGTTGGAATGTTCAAGACCTGTCTAGGACTGCTATCAGCCATGTTGGCAGACAACATTGAGATCGGTGGAGAGCTTCACATTGAACGACTTTACCTGTTCTGTCTCATCTGGACGTTTGGTGGACTTCTCAATGCTGCTGACAGGAAAGGTTTCAGTGACCTCCTTAAAACCCTGTCCACTGCGTAAGTATTTCTGTTTTAATCACTGCCAATAGAAAGAGATATCTAATGAATTTAATGATAATCATTACTTGCAATAAATTATAAAATAAAACATACTGAAGCATGCATATATTACAACTTGGAAATTTCTGTCAGTGAAAATCACGCTGTAAAGAAGACACCTTAACTGTAATTGTGATGTGTTTCTTTTAGATTACCTGACGATGATCGGGACATCTGTGTGTTTGACTACTATGTGGACGAGTCTGGAGAGTGGGACCCGTGGACATCTAGGTAATTACCTGACAATGGTGAAAACTCTGTAGACTACACCTTTGGAGGAGAGTCTGACGTCCTTGTGTCATTAATTTCTAGTCAAACTTCATTTCAATGAATCCTAGTGGTTTGGATCAGCAATTAATGCAATCTGTTTATATCTGAAATAAAACATATCAACTGTACATCAAAGGACAAAATAATTGGATTAATATCAACACTTTTAAAAGTTATTGGAGTTTCAAGGGAAGTATATCACAGGATGTGGGGATTAGTTTGTTGGTTTAAAAGGAGGTTTTTTCCAGGGAGGTTGATGTTAGTTCAGAATACATTAAGAGAGATATGTATTTATGTTGTATGACAGGGTACAGGAGGTAGCATACACAGATAACCAGGACATGTTAGGTGAGGTGTTCATGGACTCCGTCGACACAGTAAGTACCTTTTTCTCTGTTTCTGGTGTCCAATCAGTGGCAATCATTATCTGTAAACCACAGATGTTTAAATTTATTCATAAAGTATTGAACACCACACAAGAACATAACAATGCTATCCTAGACTTCACTTTCCTAGATTCTCTGTATAGGTATGATTCATTCATTTGAACGCTGAATACACATAATAAACCATGAAACCTTTAGGTATCTTTCACTTGCAATTTAAATAGCACATACCAAATACAGATACTTCTGCTGTTTCAAACAAATCTGCAGAGCCATGTCCACAACTGACTGGATAATTAGATGTCAATAGGACAATAAATGAATGATCAGAGTACTTCCATAGTATCAGTATTTTTTAAAAATCTTAAAGGTAATTATGTAATTTTTTGTTTGATGCGTATTTAAACAGTTCCGCACAAAGATATTGATGGAGTTTGCTTCAGCCTCTGGTCTGAATGTCTTGTTGGTGGGTGCTAATGGATCAGGCAAGACCAGTCTTATTGAAAGGTTCATGGATGTCCAAGGTTTGTACCTATATTCTTTCTCCATTACGAATCAAATATTGATATACCCCAAAGAATCATTGTCTTTTAATCTGTGTGTAACAAGAGTAAGTGCTCATCATCTGTCCATTTGTTTATTGGTGAATATTTATCTTGATCTCCAACATACTGGATAACATACGTGACATATGAGAAAGTTCCTCCGTAATAAAGGTCTATTTTTAGAGACTTGTCACCAGATATTTTCTGTAGCTTCCTAAGTAAATACTTCAGAGATTTTAACAAAAGTTTATACATATGATATTTAGATCATATTGACAAAGAATAGTTTCTGTGTTGACAGAATAGTTTGTGTTGACAAAGAATAGTTGCTGTGGCTAAGAGCTTCCTTCACAGTATATGTCTATAAAGCAGTAAATGTTATACACCAAAAAATAATATATATAAATATGTTTTTTTTGTTTTACAGATCCACAGGTAGCAGTGTGTAAGAGGCTGGTATTCTCTGGCGCCTCATCAGCTAAACAGTTCCAGCACTTCATTGAAGCCAACATCCACCACAGACAAGGTAGGGATGAGTCTTAAAAGAAGCTATATAACACATTCCGTATTATAGCAACTTTTGTGTGTATAGATGATGATATATTTTGGTTACTAGGGTTTTGTAGAGATGATGATATATTTTGGTAATAAGGTTTTTGTTTTGTTGATCAGGGTTCGTGTATGGTGCAAAAGAGAGTAAGAAACTGAAAGTGTTTATTGACGACGTGAACCTACCTGTACCAGATGACCATGGTGTTCAACGGTGCAACGAGGTAAGGCATTATTTTGTCATTTGTGACTTAAATTGACATATTGACCCTAGCTATGTGTTGTAAACTGTATTTGTCACTTTAGCTGACATAATGATCTTAGCTATGTGTGCAGAACATTGTATTTGACTTTAGCTGATGGAATGACCTTTGCTCATGTGACAAGATTGGTGTTTAATAGCCTTGACATGTGAACTTTATTTATCAGTTTTAACTGATGGGATGTGATCTTGAGTGATATAATGACCCTGATTGTTGGTGTTGTAGCTCCTGAGACAGTTACTGGATGACAAGGTCCTGTGCACACTACAGAAGCCTTTTGAGTGGAAGACTGTTGAGGACCTCAGCATCATTTCGGCCATGTCCATGAGTGACCACCCTAGTGTCAGCACACGTCAGCTGTCCAACAGACTGCTGGTCAGTTTATGATAATATTGATATTTCTAACGTTTTTACAAACATGCTGTATTAATTTTGTTGTTCCTGCTTTGAATCTGATAAATAACTCATATTCTCGTTTATTCCACAGAGACATTTTGCTGTATTTAACCTTGCCACACCCTCAGAGGATGGTCTGAAGAATATTGTACATGGTATCCTGGAGGTCAATATGACTGATGGTGATTGTCAAGGACTGGAGATCGACCTTCATAATAACCTTGTGAAGGCATCGTGTGAGATTCTCAAGGCTGTACAGAATGTACTCAGGCCTTCCCCAATGTATGGCAGACGACACTATCTCTTCTCTCTTAAGGACATTACAGTCTGTTTCCAGGTTTGTTCTGCCTGCCACAGATGGTCACCTAGTGTGTGAATTACTGATTGTGAAGGTCTAGTATGACCAATAGTCTATGCTTGATATTTCAACCAGTTCCTAATTTGGTCACAATCAAGTTTTCAGCTAAACATTCTGTTTGCTGTCTATGATGAATATCTTTCTGTGCTAAAGTTTCAAGGAGAAAGTTAGATAACTTCTACGTAGAATAGAATGTAACCTTTTGTCCGATTTTTGACCCTCATAATATTGATATGAATGATTTAGTTAGAAAAACATTTCACATTTTTGGGTTTGTGTCCCGATATTTGCTATATGTGTATTTAAATTACCTTTTGATTTATTTTATCAAAGTTTGATTAGATAGTCAAAATGTCCTATATATAGATTACATATCAGCTGAGACATAGAGACAAAAACACATTTGGAGTAACAATTGAATTCTTCCGTTTAGAACCTAAAGAGGTTACCAGAGGAGAGCCTGGCTGATGAGACCATGATACCAGTCATATCTCTCTGGCGCCACGAGATGCAGAGGATCATTAAGGACCGAATCAGTCGTACAGCTGATCTCAACTGGTTCGACAGTCTGCTCCAGGAAACTATAGAAAGCATCTGGCCAGACTTAAAGGAACCATTGATTGAAAACTTTGTAACATTTCCCACAGATGCCAGGATGTACCAAAGACCTGTCACTTCAGTAGGAGCTAAAAATATCAAGGTTAGAATCCTTAAAGGAGAATTTTCTTGGGTACTAAAGTTATAACCTTACTTGTCCTAAGAAACAAGAAAATGAGATTCTTCACATTATTGAAATTTTGATATAACCACATAACATAACCTAAGCAACAAAATCATAACTTAACAGAAGTAGGAAAGTTATTGCTATGGTTAAAGTGTGACATTTCTTGTTTATTGTATATTCATTGTTGATGTTCACTGTGGCTATTTTTACTGCTGTATAGTTGTTATACCAGTAATGGTTATGTTATACCATTGTGTGCCCTACAGATTATGCTGCAGCCTATCGACCAGCTGCGTGACGTCCATAGTTGTCTGAATACACACCTCACCCGTTATAATGAGGAGTTTGGTAACATCCCTCTCAACATTATGCTGTCTGACTTCATCATTGCTCACATCATCAGGATGCATCGAGTTCTTAGCTTCCACCATGGGTAAGGCAAAATATCACACAAAACCAGGTTAAGACTTGGTTAACAACTCATACAGGTTTTCTATTCGACGATTTGTTATCATTTCTATGAGTTATCTCCACACAAAAATAAAACCATATATATGTAAGTAAGCTATCTTTAAAAAGAAATCACCTTGACTTCCTTATAAATGTGTCATTTCTCCTTGTATCTCATTCGTGACATCACAACCTATGAGTTGTTTCCCTTTGCAGTGGTAACATGCTGTTAATTGGAGCTGTGGGTTCCCACCTGGCTACCCTGTGTAAGCTGGCCCTGCATGTGGCTGATGTTCCTATTCACAAGGTTGATACAAGCAAACAGAGTAACTTCTTCGATGGATTGCGATCAGCAGTACGACTTTGTGGATCAGAGGGCAAAATTCTGTCTGTCATGTTCACGGTAGGTAAACCAAAATATTTCTAATATCTGTCTGTAATTGTATGTAGAAAATAATGCATCATTTCTGATACATGTATGGTTATGAGTAATAAATCTAAGCTTTTAAGATTTAATATTTCAGACCAAGCAGTAAAGATTCTATAAATAGAACGTTATCATTGCATTGTCATTTTATACTTGAAATCTTGTGTTGCCAGGCACGTGACCTGGAGGACCCAGTATATCTAGATGCCATCAACAGCCTTCTGATAAGTGGGGAGTATCCTCACTTGTTCTCCAATGATGAGCTGGAGGGACTCCTACAGGTAATTAATTCCCAACAACACAGCTGTATATACCAGATCTTACAATCATACTGTATCACTACAGGTAATTAATTCCCAACAACACAGCTGTATATACCAGATCTTACCATCATACTGTATTACTACAGGTAATTAATTCCCAACAACACAGCTGTATATACCAGATCTTACCATCATACTGTATTACTACAGGTAATTAATTCCCAACAACACAGCTGTATATACAAGATCTTACCACCATACTGTATTACTACAGGTAATTAATTCCCAACAACACAGCTGTATATACAAGATCTTACCACCATACTGTATTACTACAGGTAATACATTCCCACAACACAGCTGTATATACAAGATCTTACCACCATACTGTATTACTACAGGTAATTAATTCCCAACAACACAGCTGTATATACAAGATCTTACCACCATACTGTATTACTACAGGTAATACATTTCCACAACACAGCTGTATATACAAGATCTTACCACCATACTGTATTACTACAGGTAATACATTCCCACAACACACCTGTATATACCAGATCTTACCATCATACTGTATTACTACAGGTAATACATTCCCACAACACACCTGTATGCATACTGTTTTACTACAGGTAATACATTCCCACAACACACCTGTATGCATACTGTTTCCCTACACTTAAGACATCTGATCATACAGTATACTTTACAGAGAAAACAGTATATCCCTAATAATGTCCAATAATGTTGACTTTTTTTTCCTACACAGGCGATCGGACCTGCCATGAAGAGAGAGTTCCCCAACATGTCTGTCGATCCAATGAAGTTTTTTGTGGCAAGAGTAAAAAGCAACCTTCATTTCTTAATCTGTTTGCAACCTGGACACACACTGCTCAGCATTGCAGCAAGGTCAGTACTTTACATCAAAAAGGATAGAAAATAAACTAAGCAACTCAGAAATAAACAGATGTTTTTATTTTTATTTTTTAGAACCCACTGATAACATTGTCACACCACCAATTGGTGTTATTACACTAGTAAGTGGAAGTTAGTGATGAGCATTACGAGATGTGTTTACTTTGTTTTATTTATTATATACTTATATATTACCATGTTTCTTGTTGTTACAGTCAGTACCCAGGTCTACTCAGTGGCTGTGCCATCAACTGGATGTGTGACTGGCCACAGGTGGCTCTGCTTGGCGAGGCATCCTACTTCATCACCAGATTCCAGCTGACAGAGGAATTTGAGGACCTCAGGTAGGAATCTTAAATTAGTCTATTTCTGAATGATTATTAATTAAATCAATTTCCATCAGTAAATAGGATGATTAGCAGGAATCATTGAGTGATGATATAATGTTGTTTTTGTTAATTAAACAAAGAAAAGCTATCATTTACGTAGGAGAACCAAAAATAGCCCCCCTACCTACTTTTGTACACATGATTATCTCCAATCACATACTTTAGTGATATAGACTAATCACTTTGACTGATTTAGCTCAAGAAGAGATCAAGTGATCTCATGTTTTTTATAAATACACAGTTTACCTTATATATTTATACATTGTATATAGATTTCAGTTAAGAATTTTCTAAACGTTTCAGGATTTTTCCTTTTTTTTTTTGTTTTTTTATCATCTATGTTTGAATGGATTGGTAAAGAATTGATGGCACTAGACCATGTTGCTGTAATATTATATCCTATAAACTATTTTAGGCCTAGACCTGTATGGCTGTAAGTTGGTGTTTATTGTGGAATTATATATTCCTGTGGTGAATGTTGTTATAATTATGATATATTTTTGTTATTGGCATGCATATATTTTACAATCTCGTGTTCTACCATAAATTGGGATTTATCTTGTAATGCTGCTTTATATTCTACATATGCTAGTAGCGTAAATCTATTAAAAATTAAAGATGCAAAAATGAAATTGTTTGGCAAGAATCATGGCTTTGTAAAAAGTTGATGATACATATTTCTTAAGAACTAAACATTAATCCTAAGGTAAAATTTCCCAATTTATGGTATATCTTATAGAACAATTTAACAAATCTAAGCTGGTTTATATTCCAAATTATCTATGAATTGATGCAATAATTGCTTTATTTGATTCTGTATGATTCAACATATCTATATACTATTTTTCCTACATATATAGACATGCATCTGTGTCTATGTAACTATGGTTACATATTGTCCTGCTCTAGCACATATACTTTTTTGAACCTGGGGTATTCTGGACATGTCTGTCTCCACATCTAATCCTGCACCTTCTTGTCATTTTTATCGAGGGGTCAAGGGTGATTTGCCACAAATGAATTATATTTGACAATTAAAAAAAGCTTTGATCTAAAAAATCATTTATCTTTGAAAATTTAACCACATTTAAATTCTTTTTCACTCATATTGTTGGGTTGTTAAATGAGCTAATACCCTATGGGTGTATAGTACATCAGTGCTTACTAAAACAGGATCAGAGTACTGCTGTGATAAGTCAGGGTGTGTTATAATATATAATTCATTTCTTATATCTTAACTCTTTTACTAGCATTGGATTTGCATTTGATTGACTTCAAAACTGTAAGATATGAAAATTTGCATTTGTTTTGAACTGTTATGTCTAAAACAATTAACTTATCATAATTTTTGTGTTTGATGAAGAAATTAAGTATTAACATCAAAATTAAAATCATTATTGATGAAAAAGTTCCACATAATATATTGATACTGCTTAAGAATCCCATTTCACTAACATCTGTCTACTACATGGGTACCTGGACGCAGTATCACTGTCTATGTTAAGTGTTGTTATATGTCAATGTCTATACATCGGCAATATTTTACCTCTGATTACACCCAGCCTCATTATGGAGTTCAATATACTGACTATTTTATCGATGGTTACAGTGAGAATGTGACAGTATGCCTAGCCAACATCCACAGTTTCGTGCTGCGTGACTGTCGCCAGCTTCCCTGGGCGGGAGACATGTCAGGGGAGGTCACTATGAACCAGCTCAAGTTACATGACAAGAAAAAGGAACAGATAAAGACACAGTCCATCACCGTACCCAACCATCCATACTCCAAACTCATCATGTTGGAGCGAATCAAGTGAGTTTAACAATTATGTTTGTAACCTAGGCTCAAAGACACAGCTGATTGTCCTGTATGTCATATTCAAAGTCTTAGTAATCACATCTTTGTCTTGTATGTTATATTTGAAGTCTTATTAATCACATCTTTGACTTGTATGTCTGATCCAAGTCTTATTAATCACATCTTTGACTTGTATGTCTGTCAGCACTTTATACTGCAGCTGATCCAACACATAAAACCAATTATCTGTTAAGAACATATGGTGTATACCTTCTCAAAACTGATAAAGTATCAATGAAAGAATATGTATGAAAAATGATACAAATAGGTATAATAGAATTATTAATGTACAACTTATATATCAAAATCAAAATGAAAGATCTAGTAACATATGGACACATGTAAAAATGGTATAGTGTTAAGTAGTGTAGAACTGGAAACTAGTGCTAACTAAAACAAATGTTGACTGTTGATAATGAAAATGTTGACCATAAACAAATGTTGACCATATATAAGTGTAGGACTGTAAACAAAAGAAGAACTGACTAAAAGCAAAGTGTTCGCTGTAAACAAGTGTAAAACTGTAAATAAGTGTTGAATAAAAACTTTTGTTTACTGTATACAAGTGTAGAACTGTAAACAGAGGTTGAACTGTAAACAAAAGTAGAACTGTAAACAAGTGTTGATTGTATACATGTATTTTGTTGTATAGACTCAGGAAGATGATGCGAGCCGAGGATCAAACTTTATCAAGCTTGTAAGAATGATATCCTGACTAAACAGATCTTCTAATTGTTGTCTCTCCGAAAGTCAATGATGCACTTCATTGTGTACCTTTAATGGGTTATATGCATGATGTCTCCGCCTTGTACCTATATCTTACCCCAGACTTAACAGATTTTTACTTTTGGATAAGCATACGTAATGGTTTCATCAACTGATCTTTTTTTTTACACAACTTAATTTTTCTTAGGCATTGAAGGGGTAGTTGTGTTTCTTTTTCTTATACATTTTGTTTATTTAGATACTACAAGTTTATATGGCATTTTTTCTGTATTTTGTATAAGGTTTACTGGTACATTTAGATTTTAAAATAGTTTGGTTTTTATCTTATAAGAATATGTAGTTCTCTATATATTGATCCGTTGCATTGTAGATTTTATTTTTAATCTGATTTTTTTTTTACTTGAGTCCTAGTCAACCTTTTACATACTCTCTGGTTATTTACTAATGCTACAAGGGAAAGCTAGATCTTGCTTCATATAAAAACTAACATTTCACAGCCATTCAGTGCAGTAAACATGTAACCAGATATCGGATATTTCATTTTTGTTTACATTGGTAATTCTTAATGAACAGCTGTATGATGCATGGAGAAAAGTTCACTAAAACAAGTAAATTTTCAAATAAAATATGTAATATCTCTTGTTTAATACAAAAAGAATATTTTGATGATATTACTGACTTATTTATTTATAAAATAACCTAATTGATCTTAATAGACTTACATTGCACATACAAGGTACATAAAGTAACGTGGAGAAAAACAGTGCAGCTGACCTGACACATCAATTATTTCATGTACTTGGTACTTGTAGCCAATATCAGTTGTTTTAACCTGTTATTCTAGGTGTATATAAAGCTTTATCTTATGTTCTTGTGTTTTTCTGTCTCAGTTAAAGTGGTGCTTATTTTAGACAGTAAATCTGTGACAACATAGTACAACAAAACATGATATATCAGAGGGAAAATTAGCTGAATGTCTGATAATTATTTCAAGTTACACAGTACAATATGCATTGTAAGCACTTACAAGTAAAAATACTGCTTCACAGGTATGAATGATCGATATAAGTCAAGCTTAATATGAAAAAATTATGTAAAACTGCAGTGATTTTAAAATGTTTTGTGACCCGACATTTAGAATATTCTTTATTCCAATATGAATTAGATATATGTCACATTTCTGACCAAAAAACTTTGATATATCATTGTTCTGCTGTTTACATTTTCATATCACACATAAATGTTTGATATTGTGTTCATGTATTTGTTGTCTGCTTGTATTTACCAGAGTAAAGTTTTATCCCATGCACGTTAACAGACCACAGTGACAATGCTGTTGAACCCAATCCATAACTTACAGTTACTTATAAGAATTTGTATCCAACATTGTTTATTAATGTTGGTTAGTTTTATCCTTTCTCAAAAAATGTATGTTATTACCCTTGAACCCTGCTTAATATTAATGAAAATCTTGACGAGAGCGTTCATTTTTTTTAATACATTACTATATAATATCAAATCTACAGATCTGGTACAGAACATATTATATGTAAGTGTCTCACACAAGTCTACAGATCTACAACATCAGCTGTTCTTGAGGTGTCTTTTACAAATCATATTCTACTGATCTACAATATATTTATATTACATAATAAAAAAAAATCAAAGGTATATATTTGAAAACAGAAATATCAAAAATGTCAGTTTTTCTGCTTGTTCTACATCTAGTTATGTCTGGTTTTCTTTCTTTCTTTTCTTTTTTTGTCAGGTGAAGGATTTTATAGGAAGTTGGTGAATTTGTTTATTATTTCTGAATGGAAAAACATTACTCGAATATAAGGTCAATTATGGCAATCACTGTCTGGAAAAGCCAAGTGTTATTATCAAAACATCTAGTAGTGTCTAGAAATTAGATACATCAATGTTTTTTTCAACCTAGGTTAGTGAAAATTACTATTTGAAACAATATTAAAAAGGTATGGTTTTTTTCCCCAGGAGCAGTCATCGTTCTGAGTTAGTGAAGGCTAAGAATGAAGTATACATAGGCCCAACTACTTATCGACGATTCATGGAGTGCTTCAAGTACCTCTATAATGAGAAGGCCAAGGAGAGGACCAGCACTGTGGACCAGCTCAAGTAAGAGACATACCAACTATATAATCACAGTAGTGTGGCCTTAGAAATCTAACAAGGTTGTTTGAGGGGAAACAAAGTGAAAAACAGAACAATGTGGGACTATATAATGGTCTATCATTACTTGTTTTAGTAGGGATTAAATCTGAAACTCATTTTTAAATTTCAAGTTATGTTTTTACATCATATCAGTAGACTGTTCTTTAAGATGAACGTTCCTCTTGTAGGAATTTTTCCCAACAGTAATTAATGATTAGATATTTCTGTAAGTCTAACATTCAGGAAATGAGTACAAGATATATATTTTACAGAAAAGTTATATCAACCATGGACCAGACGAGAACTGATGCCAAAGTGATGAAGAAAGCCATTAAGTCTATCATGGGCAAGTTTGACGAGGCTAAGAAGAACACCGCTGACTTGTTACACAAATTGACTAACAAGGCAACCAGCTTGGAGAAACTGAAAGCCAAGGTTGGACTGAGCACTTCTTTGGATGCTTACCTACATCTCACTGAGATGGAGACTGAAGAAGAGGAGGAAGATGAACTTCTACAACAAGGTCAGGAATAGATTTATCGTAATACTTTACATTCAAAATAAAAGAGGTAGTAATTGACTTACTACAGTACAAGTAAATGACATTGACCTTTACCTGGAATATTGGATTTTAGAGATAACATCAGTCTTCAGCTTTGTCCATTTGTTATTTTTGTTAAGTATCATGAGTACGGATGTTGATCAGGTCTAACTGTGCTCTTGAGTATTGACTCAGCTGTAAAAGGTCATTCAGGCTAGACTTATGTTTTTATCGCTAACTCACTTTTGTTAACAGCATACAATAGTGTAAGATTACTTTTGACTACTTAACCTAGCTAAGATTATGTGAATACATTATGTTTGTCTGGCAGTAAGCTGATGTTGAGTAAAAAATTAAACTTACCCCTAACTGATACAATTCAGTAGAACCAGCACATGTTTAGTACCAACAAATGTTCAGCCTTCTGCCATGCAATGATTTAATTCATCCCTTTGGTTAAATTACTCAATTTCAGAATATTTTCATAGTTTTTTTTGTGTACTAAAATGAATTTGTGTACAAGTAACCCTGTACGTTGACTGTAATTGGTTATAACAACTGTTCACACAGAGGATTACGATGACTATGACAAGGAGTTTGACAAGATGAGAGAGGCGAATCTGAAGACAAGACAAGTGGCTGCCAAAGAAGAACATGTACTGGCACTCAAACACGTAGAAGAGTGTCGTCAGAACCTGGAGTACGCTCGTCAGCAGGTAAGTACCAACCTACAATGCTTCCTCGTTAGAACTTCCTGTACAGGAGAGTTCTTATTTTTCCCTGTACAAACAGAACTGTGTTCCTAACTTCTTCCTTTCCCATTGCATTGACCATTGTTAAATCAGAATTTGTTGTATTTGGATGAATTACCCATTTCTCAGGTGTTACACTGGAAGTCTAAGGTTGACCGGCAGTGTATTGAACGACTGAAGGGTTTCAGTACACCTCCAGTGCTGGTCGGCTCTGTCATGGAAATGGTCATGACTCTCATTGGGAAACGCCTGCCATCTCAACGTCTGCAGGAATCACGAGACTATCACGGGAAAGATGACCTGTCCAGTCGTATGTCGTCCAGCTCCAGTAGCACCAAGGTCATCTCAAAGAAAGGTAAGATCATTTATGAAGTTACTTCAATAATTGTTACTCTCAGCCGTGTCACAGAGAAAGATGTGACCAGAACTACAAAGATAAGTTCATTTTCTTTATTGTTTTTTTTTTGTTTGTGTTTTTTTTTTTTTGCATTTTTTGTAACATTGAAAATTATTCCATTAAAAGTATTTACCTTCTAGCCAATTCTATATCATGGACATTTAATCATTCTTGTAATCTTTGCTTTGTAGATAATTATCGACTATAAATATACTGTCTGACGCTTTGAACTCCATAAACAATTTAGTAATTATCCATCATGGACGGGATGGGGGAGTAATCATCCATCACGGGTAGGGTAGGGGGAGTAATCATCCATCATGGACAGGATAGGGGGAGTAATCATCCATCACGAGTAGGGTAGGAGGAGTAATCATCCATCATGGACGGGATAGGGGGAGTAATCATCCATCACGAGTAGGGTAGGGGGAGTAATCATCCATCACGGGTAGGGTAGGGGGAGTAATCATCCATCACGGGTAGGGTAGGGGGAGTAATCATCCATCATGGGTAGGGTAGGATTACTCGAGACCTCAAACCATAAAGTAACCCTCACAGCTCCCATCCAAATCTCTCGGGGATTACTTCAGATCTCAGTCCTTACAATAACCTTCACAGCTCATATCCCAATATCTCCAGGCTTACACTAGACCTCAAATCTTACAATAACCTTCACAGCTCATGTCCCAATATCTCCAGGCTTACACCAGACCTCAAACCTTACAATAACCTTCACAGCTCATATCCCAATAACTCTAGGCTTATACCAGACCTCAAACCTCACAATAACCCTCAAGAATCTCAAAAAAACACTGAAAATATTTTTACTAGATTCTGAACAATGGAATATTTACCAAATAATATAGATAACTATCTTTTTGAAGAAGTCAGCAATCTTATGAAGGAAATAGATGTTACAGTATAAGGCTGTTGTTTGACTCCATATAATCTGCTTCCTTAACCTTAACAGATTCAACAGAAGAGCTTCCAAGGACTCCAACTACACGTATATAGACTATATATATATAAATATAAGTTATACACTACAAAGTCTAATTATGTTGCTTTTGTCTTCCTCATAACAGATGGTCCCAGATCAGGTACTTAGTCCTGCACCCTAACAATAGTACCTCACACGAGGACACCCCACAAATGTCCTCTCCTGATTTGTGTCTGGTGTTTTTTTGTGTTGAGCTAGTTTTGCAAAATTTGACAAGTGTCTTCTACCAAAAGATTTTCATCAGCCCTAACCATGGAGCTTTGAGAGAGTTATAGTGTTAACTGTGTTGTGTGTACTGGTAAAGGCTTATAGTAGGCCAGACTTTAATGCGCGGAGTGGTGAATTAATACTATTCAACTTTCCATTCAACATTTTGTGTAATGGCACTGACGATTTTTTTAACTACAATGTTGATATATTAACATTTTGTAAATCTAATGCATTATAAGGATAGGTGTAGATCAGGTTTTTATTTCTGTGATAACAGCACCTTCTGTTGTAGTCTTCCACCGATCAGACTCCTAAATGTTGTGTGTTGTATGTGTTGTTGGTATGTTAATAGATCTGGTGCTATCTCTAGGTCTCAACTATGAGAACAACCTTAGAACTAGTCATGTTTGATATCAGGGAGAGGCATATTGTTTCAATATAAATTGTTCTTTATTATAATTAAGTTTTCAATTTTGAAACAGCTGTATGATGCAGTTTAATTCATTATTTGAATCTAATTCTAAATTCGTATTGAGATGTGCTAATCACTTGTGTGTCTTTTGTGCAATCTTAGATCTGAATAACATTTTTCTTTGTTTTATACTTAATCATAAATAAGATATGATGTAAAAATGTACAGTATTGTCACTTGTACCATCCTCAGCTTGATTACTGTACTTTTTCTTGGTTTTGGTAACATTTTCTATGATGAGTTTTACATTGTTTTGTGTATAATTCACAATATTATGTATCTAAATTCCAGTATAAAGCGTTTTTAAGAATGTTTACTTAAAAACATTTTACAGAAGTATTAGTAACAATAACCTTATTTAGAAGGAACACAATAGAAATTTTGTGTATAAATGATGTTATCATACCTTTATGTCTTTATCTGTACCATTAGCTAAGAAAGACAGTGACCGGTTTGACCGTGCCCAGTGGAAGGCCATGACGTTGACCATGATGGACACTACCAAGTTTGTTGACATGTTGCACAACGTTCCTTGGGAGGATGGCCTCTCTGATGATGTTCTCAGAGGTGAGGTTGATATTCAAGTTTTATTCATAGTTGTCAATTCATTTGTATTATATCATAAATACAATAAGATCAACTGCAATATTTGTCGTGCTCATGTTTTATTTTACTTACAGCTGTGGAAAGCTACCTTGCAACTGGCAAAGATGGTCAGTTGGGTGTGACAGGGGAAGGAACTCTTCTTGACAATGCTCAAGGTAGATTATTGTTATAGATATTAATCCCTTCCCAGAAATGTAAAAAATGTTTGTGAACTTGTGAATGATTCTGTAAAAATGAAGAAGGGGGCTTATTTGTGGATAAATATGGTAAAGGTTTCAAGGAACATGTGAATGTATATTATATAGCATTGATTTGAAAATAAACAGAAAAAATCAACTTATCTACTTTCTTTTATCTGTGTTTGTTGTCCTGCAGATATGTCATTCCGAGCGCAGAAAAGAACACCATCGCCTGATGGTTCCAAGGGTATCACTATTGCTGGAGCTAAGTATTCTAGTGAAGATTGTGCCACACTGGTCCAGTACACTATTGCTATAGTAGAATACACTCGTCTATGTGGCCCACTTAAGAGCTCCCTGGAGCGCCTCAATGAATTACAACGAGAGATTGAGGAGAATGACCGCATACAGCGTGAACGTGAGGAGGAGGTAATCACTTTAAATAATTAATTTCAATCAAAAAATTAACTAAAAATGAAATGTTGTTTGGCTATCTCTCATATTCCTGTATAATGTTATATCTTTAAACCTGATATACCAGCCTACTTCTCACATCTGTGAGAAATAATATTTCGTTTGTCAGCCAAGTAATATAATTCAACCTTTTATTATAAAATTGACCTGTCCAGGCTGACAGGAATACACTGTACAGAAATCTGAAGTAAACTATCAACAATATTTTAGTATAATAGAGACTGAATCAGTATGATATTTCTCCACCAGGCATCAGGTCATGTAGCTAATAAGGTAATCCAGTCATTGCATGCTGAGTCAGATATTGCATGGTGTGGCATGGTGTGACTGAGAAAGTTGTAGCCAGTGGGATTTCACTTACTTCAGCACTCCATAAAGAGACTTAGGAAAGTGAATCCCCTTGCTGCTGGTGATGAATGTGATAAAAGTGCTCTGGGTGAGATGGTAAAATTTTAGATATCACTTATGTTATAGATATGTCAGAGACCTCATAAAGACACCAATCACCGAGCATAGTTTATAGTGTTCAACCACCACTATCTGATTATACCTTGTGTAGATTTTGTAGTTTGAGGAAAACTTACTGCCTTTGAGGTTCAATGAATTGATGTGTTGTGCTGTTTAGGTTTCTCTTAACAGAATGGTATTCTGTTTGTGTCTCATAGCTAACCTATAGCTTCATTTATAACCAGACCCATTTATACAAATTACCAACACAATGTACTTGTTGTATAATGAGTAAATACACCAATAATATTACAATGTTGTGAGTATATACATCATCTATAATAAAAACACCTGACTGATGACCCCTTCTTGAGTGTAAACAGTTATGATGATAGTCTGTATTACTCATACAGATATTTACCATTAAATCCCCTGTATTGTATTTTTACCTGATCTTACCTGATGTTTTTGTCCATTGGACATTTGATGTGATATTACAAGTTTTTGTGTAATGTATTGTTTTATAACTGACAATTATGCCTAATTGGGGTGTCATCTTTTTCTGCCATCTTTGAGGAGCGACTAAAAAGGAGGCTTTCTGCCAAGGTTTGTATGGTGCTGATATATGGTATATAGGCACTTTCTCATTGTTAAATACATTATGTAGTACAATTTTTTTATTCAATTAATTTCTTGTTGAACTTGCTGTCTTGCTTGGTTTTACTTTAAACACTGGTCTCTAAGTGTTATTGTGTGGTGGTAGCTCCTGTGTATAAACAGACCTCTGTAGTCTGAAAAACAACAAAGAAAATACCAAGATGTCTGCAGAATTTTATTTCGAACACAAATTTTATGATACAAAGGCAAAGAATGAAAAAGTAATGACCTACATAGAGACACCTGAAAGGCACACGGAATAAGCATTGAAATATTATTAGATATATTTTTGGTCACAGAAATTGGCATGATATGCCATCATAATAATTATCTATCCAGCAAATTCACTTGATATTTTGAGACCAGTGTTAAACTGTGTTATTTTGGACTTAAGCAGGTTTAATTCAATGGTGTAAGTGTTACAAACTAACTAGTCATGTATATGTAAGTGTCAGAGTTGAATATCATTATGGGATAAAGCTGTTTGATTAATAATTTTAAAATATAACAACAAATAGATTTAATTACAGCTGGTACACAGCCCTGATGGTTGAGGGTGCTCAAATATATCATTGTGATAGTAGTCATGGGTTTGGATGGTTTGAGTGTTAAAAAATTGTTAAATTGTTTTGTTCATTTCATTTGACAACCAGTAAATATCACATTTATCACAAAATCTGGTTTTGATTTTGTTTCTTTATGCTTAAGGTAGCATTTTTCAATGTTTACACTTTATCACTAGTTTTACTTTCTATAAGGTAGAAATGAAGCACCTGTTTTCTAGATGTTCTAATTAAACATGTTGGCTTTGAACAGTATGATTTAAAAAGCAAGACTTTGTTACTTAGCACTTGTAAAGAGCTTGCTCCAATTTAACCTAAGCACTGAGGGTAGGGCAGAATGTGTGAAGTATCAATGTATGTTACTGTAAATTCATATATTTTTTGGGTGTTCAAATGTCATGGTTTTCCATAAATAAGAATTTTCCTTGGCACCTGAATTCATGGATAATCTTGATCACAAAATTCACTCATGTTAAAATCCATGTCAACTTTTATCCCTTTATCATTTCATGGACACATAATTTTTGGATTTAAAGTACCTACAAGGTCAACGGAAATAAATCCCCACAAAAATTTATGATTTTACAGAATTGTCCAGCTCATGTCCAGGAGATATTTTATAATGATCTTTGTAGCAAAAATTATCTTTTTATTATACTTATAGAGATGATTGTTCCTATATAAACCTTTGTATCGTATGGCAGATAAAACTAAATATGATCTAGTTTTTTTTTTCATGAAACTTGAAGGTATGCTGTTATAGATAGAGAACTGACCTTTGACCTTGATTTCCAGCCCAAGGAGGAAGAGAAGGCCCCTACCCCAGAGCCAGAGGAGGAGTATACAGAGGATGACCTTGCCCGGCTCCAGGAGGAGGTCTCTGCCCTTCAGCAAGTGTTCGATCAATCAGTTGTTGAAAAACATAGTTTGGAGATGGAACTTCAATCCATGAATGAAAGGCTCAAGGCAGCAACAGAAATGGTTGAGAGGTAAGAGAAGTACCCTCATTTTCACAACTACAATCACAATGATTTTTTGTTCAGAACAATGTTTTCCAATTTTGAACATGTAAGAGGTCAACTTGCTTTACCTTCTTTACATGTTAGAATGAATTACCTATATTTCTCAATGATACATTTCTAGAATTAAGAGTGTGAGTTTGTTTATTTCTACAGCCTAAAGTTCCAGGAGCAGTCATGGAGGAAACATGTGAAGGAGAATGATTGTAATGAATTGTTACTTGGCAACTGTATGACAGCAGCTGCTTTCCTCACATACTGTGGTCCAGCCAACTTAGATACAAGGTATCAAAATACTTGATATTTGTCAGTTACTAAAATAAGCAGTGATGAGATAAACTGATATGTATCATACATTTAATATGTAGACTATAACAGCATAAAATGTTCTGAAAATTATCCAAATAGGGATAAACATTGATTCCATTGCTAATTCATCAAGTTGTGCCTGTGACGTTTATTTTCACTTTTGTCTGTAGGAAAAGAATGGGAGAATTTTTCATGCAAGTCTGTGAGCATCATCAATTGCCATTACCTAGACGCAGACTTTTTAGAAACTTAGAATTGGTCGAGTTCCTCAACAAACGAGTAAGTGCTAACTTATCCTTTCATATTCCTGTAATCTTATTTCAAACAAATTAATCATTTAAAAGTCTTGAGAAAAGAATTCAGTTGTCAACCTATTTACCTACGTTTAAAAATATGTAATTAATGACTTTTGAATTCTGAGGTTACAGTTACAATTCTTATATCTACTGTGTATCCCCTCTCAATGTATCTATTGTGTTCCCTAGCTGGACATCATGAACCTGGAGATAGAGAGACTGCCCACTACACGTCTGATGTTGGAGAACGCCTGCTTCCTAATGCAGGAGGAAAGTACCACTGCCTGGCCCCTTATCTGTGACCCCACCTCCAGGGTCATTGACTGGCTTCAGTTCTACAAACGGTCAAAGGGTCTGGTGTGCGTCAGATACAGTGTAAGTTTGTATGGTATATTACTTCATCTACGCAAATTACATCCAGTTCCAGCTAAATGACATTCTTTATTTAAGAAATAAAGGTAAAGTCTATCCTTTCTTATTATATATATATATGGTGTTTTATTCATGAAATGTTTTGAAACAGGATATCAAGAGTTGACCTGCAATTTGAGTAGTTAATTCAAACTTACCATTGCTCTGTTCCACAGGAGATGCGTTCCCAGTTTGAGAACTGCCTAGCTGATGGAAGTCCCCTTCTGGTAACTGACTGTGACGTTAAACTACTCTCCAAAGATAAACGTTTCAGGGACGCCATACAGAGGTGTAATCGATTCATTAACGAAAAGAGCCGCTTCAAAATATTTGTGAGTATTTTTAGTAACATAAAATCTGCTCATTATATTATCCATGACACATAATTTGACAAAAGAACAGATTATGGTAAGTTTAAGTTTGATCTCTTTGTAATTTTACTTTTATGCTAAGAAAGTGAAATAAGAACAAAATGGCAGTTTTAGTTTGCATGCCTGTATGTGTCCAAGTAGTGACACACCTGGTGAATTATTTCCCTTGATGTTCCCTAGGTGGAGGACCATGAAGTGGAGTGTGACCCTAAGTTCCGTCTCTACCTACACACGACATTGGAGCCTCACAATGTGCCATCGCACTTGGCTGCCTATTGCTCCATTATGTTCTTCCAGCAGTCCCGACTCTGTATCGAGGAGGAGCTCCTTGACCGATTCCTTGCCAAGGAGAAAAGCAGGCTAGAAGATGAACGCACCACTCTCAGACAGGTACTATTTCAGCTTGTCTTTGCCTAGAATAAGATTATATCAAGATACCAAACCAAACTATTATGAGCATGCATTAACTGATGGCAGTGTTCTGGATTTTACATTTTCCTATTGTTTGATCAGGAAATAGTTTAGAAAGTATTGATGAAACCATGATATTAATCCATTGTTACTAACTGACCAAGATCAGGCTCTAACAGTTGAAATGGCTTCAATGTTTTTGTAGGAGAAGAAGGAGAACATCCAGACCTTGGAGAAGCTTGAGAAGCAGATGAAGGACAATCTGTCCAGTGATGTCCGTCTGATGAATGACCTCCAGGCCACTAAGAAACTTGCTGAGCTCAAGAAACAGTATGATGAGACAGTGGAGAGGTGAGAACCTCATGCTAATACAGACAGAAAATTCAATTATTCATTTAGAGATTGAGATTAAATTCAAATTAAATCTAAATTAAAAGAAAGAAAAATTGGTTGCTTTGTTTAAATTCCTATAGAATACATTCCATGGTAAGTGTCCTGAGCTAGCTTTTATTAGTCCTTTTATTCGGTAAAAAACTTTGACGTTCATCATGCTATATTTAAGTATTTCCATAAATGTGAATTTTATTAAACAACTAGGACTACAGGCATGTAGATTTTTCACCTGTCAGGTTTTTTACATTTCGTTATTTCTACAAATCTTTTTGCACCTTTTTACAGTCATAGTCGAGTGGAGTCAGCAGAGAACTCTATCATGAAGAATCGTGAGTTACACCGCCCCATCGCGCAGAGAGCAGCCGTATGCTTTGATGTTTGTCAGTACATGCGGGAGGTGAACAGATTGTACCAGATGTCTTATACACAGTTTTTGTCACTGTATGATACTGCTATCAGTCACTCAGACAGGTCAGTTGGCTCCACTATCATACAGTTCAAATGCTAAATGCTATAATGATCTGTTATTTTGTTAAAAACCAATTGTTTTTTATGTCTGTTGGACATTGCACAAGGTTTTAATAGAGAAAGTCAGTGTTGTAATGGTAGTTATATGTAATGTCTACAGGACAGTACCCAAGGTTGTGATAGAGAAGGTGACAAACAGTGCCTATACCACCACTGCCCGTGGACTGCTGGAACGCGATAGAAGCATCTTTGCTTTGCTTCTTGCCATTGAGGTAAATAAATATACATCAACTGAGTCTTTCAACTGTGAACGCTTGACAGTAATGAACATCAATGTTATCAGTCTTATGAGGCCCATTAATTAATTAACCTTTAAATTTATCCATGAATTTATTCTAACGGTGACTTTCTCTGAATATTTATGAAGATTTCAAGGTAAAGAAGCAAATGAAATATAGGCGAAGTTTAACAAAGACTCCTGCTTGCTAAAGCATGTTTATAAATAGATCTGAGGACAAATGGCGATACCAATAATTTTACTCTACCCAGGTTGAAGATTCACTGAAGAAGATTGGTCGAGGTGAACGAGAGTTCCTCATCTCTCCTAACTACAGTATGGTAGTGATGACAGCGATCGGAGCTGGCCAACCTCCAGACAGCAAAATTGTACAAGCCAAGAAGCCTTTTGACTGGATGACAGAGGAACAATTCCATAACTTGCAGATACTGGCCATGTATTTTGAGTGGTTCCAGGAAATGTTTGATCGCATGCCCAAAGATGGGCGAGAGACCCAGTGGCGCACTCTCTGTGAGAGTGACCTTCCTGAGAACGTCGCTCTACCAGACAAGATGGATGACCATTATGAACAGATGCAGCGTCTTTGTGTGATAAGAGCCGTGAGGAGTGACCGCCTTATGCAGGCCTCCACCAACTTCATCACCAATGTGCTTGGCAGAAGGTAAACTAAGATATAAGACACAGAAAAATTTATTTGTAGAGGAATAGTTATGACAAAATGAAAACTAAGAAATAAAGGATTTCATGTTAAAGTCAACTAAAGTTAAATCACTTCAAAATAGAAAACATTAATTACATGTGTTTAAAGTCATCATTGTAATCCATCATACACTTTACATTAGAACTTAGAAATGAATGATTTTTACTCAGACATATCTTGTATAATGTATGTGATGTTACCTACAGTTACACTCACCTGCCCAAAGACTGCGAGTCGTGGTAAGCCAGAGTGGAGAAGTCTCACACAGACTGTATAGTGTTTTATGTGGTAGAAACAAACTCTATGATATCTTGAAACATTTAATTACAGCCAAACCTCCCTGTTTTGAATTGAAATATCATAAATAATGAGAATTGAAATGGTAAAGTATATTACCTGAAAGTCTGAGGTATGGGGGTAAGTGTTTCTCAAAATGCCCTGACTCAGAAGTAGAGATGGTTCAAGTCACCAATACCCTCATTATTTGAAACATTTCCGTATGGCAGTTCGCTGTATACATTGTGATGGTACACGTTTGACAACAGAGGTTTGGCTGTATACAAGTTAGGTACATGGTAGTTGGTTGTATTGTTATGAAGTAGTTGTTAATCATGTTTCAAGATATTTTGGTACAAAATGCCAGAGTCCATTGTTGATGATTGTGTACCAGTAATGTAATAACTCTGTTTGCTATATAGCCATTTTTATTTCAGCAAACTAACCAATGTCAGTAATGATAGCCATTAGTTGTGGACTAGTGACATTGTTACTGTTACAAGTGTATACAGTGTTAATGGATACATAACATATGATGATAACTCTGTGTAATTATCAGATTCATGGAAGGATTTAAATGATTTTGTCCAGATTGCTAGTATTAATTGCTTCTGTTTTAAGTGTTATAAATAAAGCAAGTGGAAAAAATTAACAATATAATGAGTTGTTGTGTGAGAAGACAGTTTGTGAGGGTTACAAATTAACTGCGTAATGGTGTGTGATGATGACGACAGGTGTAATGGTATGGTGTTTGTGTGTAGGATGTTGTTATCTGCTGTTTATAATACATGTGTGCCATTCTTTAGATTTGTCACCAACAGTTAATGTCAAGTTATTGTATACTGAATGAAGAACTGCATTATCTATCTTATATTACTGATAACTGTACTAGATACTTCAGACAAGAAACTTAAATGAAAAATATTTACATATCATGGAAACAATTACCAAACTGATACAAAGATATTACAGATATCTAAATGTGAAAGTCCCTCTCTGTATCAGTGATACTGCTATGAGTGAGTGAGTACTTGCTTACCTTTCAGGGGGAAGCACAGCTGATAGTATAGCAAACAGGATATAAATATTTTTTTCATATTATCCCCCCTTTACATACTGTCTATAGTTTTCACTGTGTCAGAATGACCTTCTGTCTGTAAACAGAGATCACGCTGTCTGATATCTCATGAATTATAACAGGAAAATAGTGTCATAAATGATTTCCTCCACAGTGAAATAGTAAGTATATGTGATTTGTAACTAACCATTTAGTTATTGACTTTATTTGTGTATAAGGTCTGTTTATTGATTCTTGTTTCTATGTTGACCTAGTTATTTCCCTTTTACTATATTTAAGTCAAGATATTGACCTGTAACCTCTATGATGACCTAGTTATCAACCTATATCCATGTAGAAGGTCTCAGGGATCTATGATGACCTAGTTATTGCCTTTTATCTCCCTGTTCCAGACATTTGGCCTCTCCTTTGACCTTTTTCCTCAGTAATGACCTTTGTTTCTACATTACCAGGTACTATGGAGACATTGGCATAGATTTGACAAGTATGCTGCGACAGAGTACGCCCACCATTCCGCTGATCTTACTGTATTCTGTGGAGGTGGAACATGTCACCAAACTGTTCCATGACTTCTCCCACAGGAAGCAGGCCAAGACACTGTCCCTCACCATCAATGATGACACACCTGCTATAGAGAGGACTGCTAAACGTATCATCCACAAGGGCATGCAGGAGGTATGTACAATGATATAATGTGTCAGCCAGTGTTACTGTCAGTTACTATCAAATCTCTGGACTGTTCTTGCCCAGGTAATATCAAACACAAAATACTAGTTAGTAAAATCAGAAACAAAATCATGATTTTCCCAGTATCTTCCATTACACATGTAAAGCTTAATCCCCTTTGATATTTTCTCTCTTGAAATAACATAATTTTGGATTTTCATTTTCGATCTGAATGGTATTAATACTTAAATTTACTTACCAGGGATTGTGGGTGCTTCTTCACAATGCTCATAACTCCCCACACCTGATGAATAACCTGGAGGCCATCTTGACAGAGGAGACCAACCCAGAAGCAAACTTCCATCTGTGGATTACATCCAAGGTGGATACCACTGCCCTACCAATCAGACTGTTGCAGAACTCCATCAAAGCTGTCATAGACACACCCAAGGTCAGTACAGCAAGGTCATACATACATCTATGGTCAGTTAAAGGTAACCGACACACCTACTGTCAGAACAACAAGTTCATACATACATCTATGATCAGTTAAAGGTAACAGACACACCCACTGTCAGAACAGCAGGGTGATAGACACACAAGGTTATAGACACACCCAAGGTCAGACAGCAAGGTCATACATACATCTATGGTCAGTTAAAGGTAACAGACACACCCACTGTCAGAACAGCAGGGTGATAGACACACAAGGTTATAGACAAACCCAAGGTCAGTACAGCAAGGTCATACATACATCTATGATCAGTTAAAGGTAACAGACACACCCACTGTCAGAACAGCAAGGTGGTAGACACACAAGGTTATAGACACACCAAGGTCAGTACAACATGCACATAGTTACACACAAGGTCATAGCCACATTCGAGGTCAATACAACAAAGTCAGTCATACACAAGGTCAGTGCAGTAAGGTCATAGACACACCAAGGTCAGTGCAGTAAGGTCATAGACACACCAAGGTCAGTGCAGTAAGGTCATAGACACACCAAGGTCAGTACAACATGCCCGTAGTCACACACAAGGTCAATACAACAAAGTTAGACATACACAAGGTTGATGCAGTAAGGTCATAGACACACCAAGAGCAGTTCAACCTGATTATTGATATACTTAAGGTAATAGACCCACCCAAAGTCAATACATCAAAGTCAGCAAGATTTTAATGATACACTTTAGTATTTCACAGTCATAAATAAATTCACATTAAAATGTAATGCTTTTCTGCTGACCATGCAGATATAATTGATATAAAAAATACTCGTGTTCAAAGGGGCATGTAGTAATTTTAGTATTATGGTGGTAAGTTCAGGTCAGTGGGTAATATTTTGTATGTTATAATGCACCTGAAATTTTCTGTCAAGTGATGATAAATTGTGTTGTATAAGTAGTATATGGTCACCAGTATATAACAGACAGCTTTTGTTTGTAGGTGATGAAGGACAGCCTGATTCGGTCATTTACATCATTTGAATCTGATATCCTGAAGCAGTCATCAAGACCAGAATGGCCTCTTATGTTACACAACCTTTGCTACCTCCATGGGGCACTGCAGCTGAGGGCACGGTATGGTCAGGGAGGCTGGAACAACTGTCAAGATTTCCTCAACATTGGCATCAATGAAATACAGGTAAAGTTGAAAAACTCCAAACATAGTGAGATACAGTTGAAGTTGAAAAACTCCAAACATAGTGAGATACAGTTAAAGTTGAAAAAACTCCAAACATAGGGAGATACAAGTAAAGTTCAAAACTGTTTCTGTAATGAGATACAGGTAAATTTTTAAAAACTTACCACAGTGTGTTGTGCATAAAATTTTAGTTATCTGTGACATACTTGAATTCATGCTAAGGTTGACTTTCAAAATCACTTTTGTACAGACATTAAGTAATAACTATCTTAGATAAAAAGTTTACTTGTTAAATTGTAAAATAGTTTCTATTGTTTGTACTTTTCTCCTCCTTTTTGACTGTATAATCAGGTACTGATACTGTGATTCTGTTATCATAGGAAGCCCTAAGCTTCATGATTACAGAGTTCAAGGAGCCCCTGACATGTGTGTCACCTGATGGGTCACAGACACCACGGTCTACTTCCTGGACTGGAATACGATATATGCTCTCAGAGGTAGGTTTTCACACTGAAATTAAGGGAGAAAATCAGTACATTTTCCTTAAGTTTGGCATTTCCCATATCATCCAAGATGTAACTAATCCAGTTCAACCTATAACTCATTTAAATTGTTTGTGAATAAGAAAGAAGCTCATCTGTTTTATAAGTTTGAATTTGAAAATGACTCATATTATCGTTATATCAACAAATCAAGTTACTTGAAGAGTCCACTTCTCTGCTGAGTGTAAATTCCCTACGGTGGCCAAGGTGTAAATTTAGAAGTAATTTCACAAGTCTCTGATGTAGCCATATTTGGTGTATTTTTACCAAGGTAGTTGAGTGTGCACTCACAGCACAAACAAATTTGATTCAAAGTTGCTGGTGTAGCAGTGTAGGGTGTAGACTTGCTGGGATGGCCGAGTCGGATATCTCTGAGGTCTCTAAGGAAGCCTACTTGGGTGTGTCACCATGCTGGTGTACACTTATTGGATGTATAAACCAGTTGTATTAGCAGAGTTGAGTGTAAACTTACCAGGGTAAGGAACAGGGTGTGAAGTTGTCAGGTTAGCAGAGTTTGATGTAAGTTTACTGCAGAAGTAATGGAATTTTTGTGCTGGGATAACAGAGTAGGTGCAAACTGTCTTAGATAGCTGAGTGGTTTGTCTAAACACTGAGGTAACCAAACTGTTTATAAACTCGTTGAGGTAGTTAACTTGAGCGTGTACTCTCACAGGTTACTCATTGAGTTATCTGAGTTTGGTGTGAGCTCCCTGTGGTAGCAGCATTAAATATTGTCTGACTACATAGAGAGGCTAAGTTTAATGTAAACTCACTGAAGTATATATTGGTGTTTTTTACAGATTATCTACGGGAGCTATATCACAGACGATTATGACAGGAACAGTATGAGTTCTATAGTAGATTACTGGATCTCACCTAATGCTGTCAAGAAAGATTTTGACGTGGCAAAGTGTAAGTCTGTCATCACTCATGATTTACAATTAGTCTTATATCAAAGTGTAAAAAGTAATTAAACTAACTTGTACATGTATAATGAAAGTCCGCACTTCAACATGTATTACTGTATGTTTGTTATGAAATAATCTTACCTGAACTTTTTAAATTCAAATGGTGATGAATCAATACAAATTTAATATATTCTTGTATTTGCCATTATTCACGGAATGAATGTTGGCATTACATTGTTTTTATCCATGTTATGATTTTGATGCAACAGTGAAGTATCGTCATCCCCCGGGCTTCTTCAATACCAACCCACGCCTCAACAACCTCATTCAGGCTCTCGATGGCATCAATAACCACTTCCTCGATGTTCCAGAGGGTTGTCACTTACATCACAGCAACATAGAGGTAAGTGTCAGGTCAAGGTTGAAAGGTCACATGCACTGCTGCCAGCTTGTCTTCAGTGACCAAACAAAGATAATGGTGTTTTCTGAATTTTTGTTGTGAAAGATATAAATTTTGAGAATTAGAGACCTGGTTACTGAAGTATGTAGCATCAGCTTGTTATACTCTGTCACTATTGTACATCACCTAAACACAGTCATAAGTGTGTCTAATCATATCTTCACTGTGTCTTCAGCACTGCATGGACATAAGTATAATCATGATTTGACTCTGATATACAGAACTCTGAATCATTATGTTAATGAAGGATGGGTAATTGATATATGAAAAAAGGAAATTCTTCGCTTTGTGGGTTTCAGAATCAACATCAAATTTTACAGCGAGATGCATTGTTTCCTGTCGACAACATGGTCACTATCTATTATTATATTATGTTCCCTTGTTCATAGTTAGTTTTTTTTATTATATTCATCACCAAATCTGACTTACCCAAGCTTTACCCAAGTATAATGGACTGGTAAAACAATTACCCTGGGAGACTAGGAAATGGAGATAGGGTTGTGTGTGGGAACTGTATTATATTAAAAATGATAAGGTAGGGACTTTAAAGATCAACATGATAAAAAAACCAGGTGGGGATCGGATAGTTATCATTACAGCTGTGAATTATGACATTGTTCAGCATACTTCTCAGATTACCATTAGTAATGAATAGAGACTTCAAACAACAAATCACCTGTTCATGTTGACATTTAAAGTTGTTCTAAAATGTTTGTATGAATCTAATAGTGCATGTAAATCATCACTCACAGCATGATATGCTTCACCATTATTTACCTTTATCATTAACAGACCTGTGTTAGTCTGTACCTTCCTGATTATAATTCTACGCTACTGTTCCCTTGTGTTCACAAGGTTACACTGCTGTAAGCATGTTGTATAGTTGTACATTTTAATTTTGTGATGAGTTCCACAAGTTGTTCAATTTTTATCAAAGTATTTCCTTCCAAAAGAAGTCCACTCGAAGACATTTGGAACTGGATAGATATCTAATAATAAGCTGATCTCTTAAATCTTGATTCAAGAATAACTTCACTAAAGGGAGATAACTGCTACAACTATACAACAACAAACTATTTTATATCCAAGTTTATGCACAATGTATTTTCACGTTAACTGACTGCATGTTTTATTTTGTTCCTGCATGCTTTACCAGGATGATCAGAATCTGGTAGGACTCTGTGTGTAACTAACGACAGAACAGTGTGGCTCTTAATATGTGTGTAGAGATGTACAGTCTGCATTGACTTTGTGAAGATAATATCAACTGTTCTACTCAAAAAATATTTGTCTTTAACACAATACTTATGTACTTTAGACAGTCTGGTCCTAGTGGGATATGTAGTACCACAGGCTTATATATTTTTTCCTCCTAAGTGAAGATTAAAAAGAATAATAAAATATTATCAAAATGAAAACAGGAACCATTTAAATGTACATAGTAATTTTACAACCATAAAGGGATTGAGTGATCAATCACAATAAAATAGTTCATATCTTGAATTTTTTGTCAGAAACATTCAACATATCATAGTTTAATGTACTTCTCAATATGAGAATATGCTGATTCAAAGTCTGGTAAATTATATAGAAACACACAGAAATTTATATCTAACTTATTAAATAGGACCATATATCATCTGGAACTCAAGCAAAAATTGCTCTTGAGAAAATTGAAAAAAATTACTTTTATTTCTAATTAAGATGCATTTTTTTCATTAATTCAGATAAAGCTAAATATATTTAAAAGTTGCTTAATATGTCTACATCTTATGTTACATGGTCTTTTCAAATTATTATTTTCTGTATAATACCTCCCGAGACAATCAAATACTTCATACCAGTTTATAGCATGACAATGTAGATAGTTCCTGATCTTCCACTCACCCTTCTTTGAGTTCTAAAACATAAAAGACAGAACAAAAATGATTTTTCCTGAGACCAGCATGTTTAGCCAGTTGCTTCTGTGTCATTATGACAGTTGTTATATGACTATTAACACTATAGATCTATAATCTATAATGTGGGGGTGTTCTACATCTCTAAAACATCTTCTAACAAGTGTTGTCTGGTCAACAGAAAGGGACTGATAAAAACCCAATTGTTTGTTGTTAATGTCATTTTCAACGCCTGATATGCATGGTCAGTTTATTTTGTTGATGTTATGTAACATGTTTTTTTGTATTTTCTTTTCTTTTTTACAAATAGATAACAATAATGGATAAAACATGGATGTTTTGTTCATATTGATTAACAATACTTTGAAGAATAATATGACATCATTGGAGGTTTAAATAGACCTTTTCTCTAGTGTTAATGAATTATACAAACCTGTTTTGTTGCCTTTAATTACTATGGTACTTCAGATACATATCACTACATAGCTATAACATGTGGAGTATGAGTTACATGTAACAGACAATATCAACAGATTATATTCGATACATTAGAGATAGTTCATAAATGTGTTTTCCTGTGTTACAGACACTACTGGGAGATGAGCAGTATGTTTTTACTCGACTCAACAAAGTGTTTGATGCCATGCCCTCTACGGAGACGTTGTCTCACAAACTTTTCCCCAAACCACCAACTCCATTCCATGGTAAGGGAAATTTTAAGGCATCAGAGATCTCCCAAAAAACACCACCAAACAACAGAACCATATAGAAATTTTGGTTTTCTTTTTGTTACTGTAAGCAGTAATATTTTTCAGAAATACTTAAGCTTCATCCTTGCGGCTTTCAAACATTCAAATAGCCAATATGAAATTTCATCTCTCAAATCTTTGACTTAAAAATTATATTAAAAAACTGTATGAATTGTTACCACAATGTTACATATTCCATCTTCAGTATTGAAACAGGTGGGAAATTTAAAGTTGAATTAATTCTTGACAAAGTGTTATGTCATTATCTTTTGAAATTCTGGTAAGGAAGTTACGCTGTTTGATTTAATTCTTCTACCTAGGATTTATCTGTAACAGCTATAACGTACTATACCGATCATGTATGACATATCTTACCCATCATCTTTACCTAGGTCCAGCCAAGGCAGAGATCAGCAAGTACAGTAACAACCCAGCTGTCTTTACCCAGGGCACTTTTGCTACCTCCACATACTCTGTCCTTAAACGAACCAAGGAGATAGAGTTGTGGGAAGTGTGTCACACACTACTCACCAAAATGCCAAAATCCTACAACAGGGTATGTCTGTCAAGATTTTAAGGAATATTTAACAATATTTTCTGGAAAAATCTAACAAAATTTAGCATCCCTGTATGGTTTTATTTTTATATCTATGAATTTAAGAATGGCCAATAAATATACTCATTACTTTATTTGAAATATGTTACTGTGTTAAATAAGTCATTCAAACCAAACAGTATGTTTCTGATCGGTGTCATGATTGAACTTGTTCAGTAGCTTCAAATGGTAATATGTAGCATCCATCCAATTGTTGACTATCGTGATTCCAGTATTAAGAGTACAAATATTTCTTTTTGTAGGATTTTCTATTGGACCGAGTTAAGAAAATGGCTGATTTCCCATCCTTCAACACCTTTGTCATGAAAGAGTTTGATCAAATGATCCTCCTCATCACTGAGATCAGGACAACACTACAGGTACATACAGCTTTTAAATCTGATAACTATTGGATATTTAGAACATTTTAACAAAGAACTTCCATTTTCTGGACTCATTCAATAAAATTGTTGTCTTACTTCTGTTTATATTATTTTTATAATTTTCTGTCTACCAGGCCATTAAGAATGCATGCGAGACAAACGTTCTGGGTGACATGATGTCTGACCATATTCTGTCTGCGGCTGATGATCTGTTCTATGGCCGTACACCCCAAACCTGGTGTCGCATGGCTGGCAGCTCAGCTCCTCCCATGAATTTTGCAGTTGGCAATTGGTTCAATGATCTTGGAAACAGATGTCTACATTTTGAAAGAATACTCAGCCAGGTATGTTATAAGTCTAATTATACAACGACTAAGATTTAAGGACTTTTATTTTACGCTACATATGTATATCTGCAAACATTAGCGATGCAGCACTATTCTGGTAACAAGAAAAGCAATTACAATTCTTCACAGAATTGGAAGATAAGTAGATTCAGTTCTATGAAACAATAACTAATGATAGAATTTAACATCATCTGGTCAGGAATGTAGCTAGGTTGTTAGTTGGATGTTAAGGCTTGCTTTCTGTTCCAGGGACGAGACAAGATGCCCTGTTACTGGTTAGGAGCCTTCTTCAACCCACGAGGACTCCTTGCCCTCCTCAAACAGGATTACATCCGTCACTACTGTGGAGACCGCTCTGGAAACTTTGAACAGTTTGTGTTCCAGACAGAGGTCACCACCAGGGATAAGGAACATGTAAGTAAAGCAACATTGTCTGTATGTACAGATAACATTCAGGTAAATGTATTTACACTACAATACATATCCACATAGATACCATTTGTAACACATGTGGAATCACTAACACCAAGAACAACCTTAAGGTAAGCAAGTTTCTGGAAACCTTGAAGCTCAGTCATAATTCAACATGTCCAGTATCAAAAATCTTTTTATAGTAATATTGGCAATTATTGAAACAAATTTTATGCATTTATAAGTATTCTTTATAATTGTGAAAATTTCATAACTATATATGACATGTGCTATCATTCCATTGATAACAGCTACGAGACCCACCTCCAGAGGGAATGTTTGTGTATGGGATCCACATGTGGGGTTGTGCTTGGGAGAAGACTACAATGGAGCTCCAGGACACACCTCCAAGGATTGGCTATTCTAGTCTGCCTGTTGTCCATGTAAACTGCTACCCTATCAATGAAAAACCCCTTCTTCAGGACCCTGTCAAGGCTGCCGAGGTGTACCAGTGTCCCGTCTATGCCTCGCGTCTCAGCAAGCGTGAACCTATCATGGAGATGGACTTCAAACGGGAGGGTTACCCTGCCACACGCTGGGCTCTAAGGGGACTGTCATGTACCATCAGAAACTATTGAGAGTTTTTCTCTCCTACAGTGTTGACCGTTTCAAATTACAAGTCTTGTGTCCCACCGTGTACCTGCCATTGTGTACTGAACCTATCCAAGGAGGCTGATTGTTGCAAATGTGTAGACTTACTGCAAGGAAATTCTTACCTAACTATGTATTAATTTTTGAGAAATCTCGAGTGTTGAATTGTGATTCATCACATTATTTGTTATATTGAATATCATTATCCTGAAACTGGAATTAAGAGTTTAGAATAAAAACCAATAAATTTCAGAACCCCACCCTTATAAGCATGTTATGTAAGTTATGGAATACTGTACACAGACTAGATACCTTCAGTATCATTTCGATCAACACTGCGTGTCCTGTTGTAGTGTCGAATTTAAAATTACCAGTATTTCTTCAGCCAAAGTTGATGACTTTGTACAAGGACTAAGGTCATTCATATAGATTTGTGTTATAGTTGTAGAAATGTCAAAACAGCTAGATCCTTGTTTATACTTAAGATTTTTATATATTAGTTTTGCAGAGTGGCCAAATAAACTGGATCTGAACCTGTATAATCAACTGCACATAGAAGTGCCTTATAGCCGTGTCAAATCTTCTTGTGCATATAATGCTCAAGTCTGTGATATCATATAGAAATGTATATATCTGAAATTCTTGTAGACTTCAGAAGTGAGGATGACTTCATAAATTATCATGTTTTCACAAATACCTATCTCTCTTTGTGTGTTTATTAGAAACAAGCAGTATTCATTGTTGAGCAATAAGATAACAAGGCAATCATAGGACATTCCATCATTCATTACAATACCAATTTTCACCTCTAAAACTCGTACCTATTTATTACTTCTTGTAGAACTGTGTGTATATATTGATAGAGATGTCAAAATTTGTTTTATTTATGATATTGATAGACATGTCAAAGTTTTTATGTTTATAATGTACTTATAAAAAATCCTTCAGGGATCATAATCCACTTTATTCTGTTGAATGCTTCAAACACTACACTGCTGAAGGGTTATATATGGTGTGTAGGGGCTTTAATTCAAGAATTATCTAGACTAATAGTAATGCCTCTTTGATTCTTCCATCCTGTATACATGTACTGGTTAGGGTTGTCTGATATACTGCTGACGTCTGAATCTTCTGTCCTCTATTTACTGGTGAATCAGGGTCGTCAATTACATTTGTGTTATAATACCATGATGCATGGCCCTCCATTTAAATCTTACAGTCCGTCCTGTATAAGTCATTTTCAGAAATGTTTTATTGCTGTTAAATAGGATGAAATTTATCCAACTTGTTTGCTGCTGAGAGCTACATTGTAAATCCTAAAGTGTTTTATATTTTTTTCTCCATTATTGGAGAGTATTGAAGTATTTTACATATTTCAACCATAAAAATAAATTGTTGTATTGTTGATATTGATGTTTTGTTTGTTTTTAAAAAAGCTTGCCTTAGTGACTATGGTTACTATAGTAACATGACCATCCAATTTTGTACCTACCACAAGTCTTTTGACAAATCATGGACAATAACAGATCAGCTTTAAAGAACTTAAGAAGGGAACAATGAAAATGTTTCAGCTAATTTTGCATTTATCACCTAATTCATTACTCATGAGGGAATCTTGTCTCAATGATGTGAATAAATGTTCATAATCAATACCATACATGAAAATGCTTAGAAAATAGAGATAATAACACATTGGAAAAATGGTCCATTTATTAAACAGGGTAAATCATGAATAACTCACATAGATACATATCAAAGAAACGAGGTAGAAAAATAACAAATATCCAAAAACAAAAAAAATATTGTCTTAAGTACAGGAACAAAAAGGTGTTCAAAGAATACAGTATACAGCTTAAAAGTAGGTATACCAGTAATCCAGTATTATGTAGATCTGTATACAAGCATATTGAATGATCTAATTGCACTTAAAAGTTTTAATGATTTCATTTATATTATCCAAACATGCTACATCTTGATGGTCCCCAACACTATGCCTCATTACATATACAACCCCCTTCATCTTTCACCTGTTGTGAATTCACCTACACATCATATTTCCATTCATAACACAAATATTGATAAGGTAATGTGGAAGTTGAGAGTACAGCTTTGGCTAGTGAGAATTTCCTTTAAGTCGAGCAGTAGAGTGCCAAAAATTACATATGTATAATTTTCTTTCATCAAGACACCTGAACCACAGGAATATATATGGCCACCAGACTTCCATTACATAGTTGTGACATATGTTCAAATTATACCCTTATATTTTTACTGAAACACAATTCTTAATTCTAAAATGCTTAATATGAATGTGAAGCTTGGTCACAATCCCTCCACTACAGTGCTGATCAGGATTTTCTGAAGAAAAAAAACAGTAACAGTGACATTGACCTTACAATCCAGAATCTCTTCTTGTCTCTGGTATCATGTTTCTTTATATCAATATGAAGTTTGATCAAATTCGCTCAAGAATTGAAGCCACAAGATTCTTACATACAATAAACATATGTATAGGAACATCCCTATATCCCTTTCAATATTTGTCGCAAGACGATAGCTTTTTCAGGGTCATTTGTAGAAGGAAAGCCAGACTCTACATTACATCTCTGTAAGAATGATGTGATGATAGTGCCTGAAAATAATGACTGCATTGGAAATTAATACCTCAAAAAATAATCAAACTGACATTGAAAGTCATTTCAATTCAAAGGACTGTGAATGAATGCAGTCTTCACCATTTCTCCACCCATCTTAAAGATATGTAAGGTGGAGATGAGCATGTTGAGGGTTACTCAGGTCTAATCATACTTACTGCTGTACAAATTACCAAGTAATCAAGAGTCGTTCATGGACAGTTCCCTACACCCTTCTAAACCATTCAAACTGTGTAAACCCAAACAATGATTAGATGTTCAATAGCCACCAAGCACTGGTTTATATATTGTTATTTATTTTATCAGGAAGATCGATTTAGAGCTTTTATGCATTAAAAGTATTGTACTGAGATATTAAACCACTAATTGCAGTTTCTGAATGTTATTTACATAACAACCGTTGTGAATGTGCTTTACCATCATTTTGTTAATTTTGATACGTCAAAAAATGACAAGATGCTTTAAATTAGTAACACTACATGCATCAGGAAAATCTTAAATTGATTTAGCACTACAAGCGATAAGCAATGTTTGAAAGGCTGCTAAAAGGAATCTGTTGCTGTTATGGACATGATCACAGATATACCTCTCTATAAGCTGCATACCATGCATTCTTCAACTACTGATATGACACAAGAAACCAAACATGGGTACCAAGGCTACAGACATTATCTGCATACATGTATGTACTAATGAGTAGCCAATAATCTGGTAGACACTAATATATGTACATATGTCTGTGATGTATAGCTAACATGTATACGTACATAGACTCAATAAGCAATAAGCCCTAGATGTCAAAATCATTCGCTACTTTGGCAATTATTATAAATTAAAGGACAAAATTATATTTTTGTAATTCTGTTAAACAGCAGTGGACAGAGAGTAGCTCAGGTTTTCCATAAGAGCCTGTCGCCAGCCAATTTGACCGCCTACTTTGATCATTTGGCCACCTACACCAATCCAGTTCTGTAATAATGTTCTGTACACGACTACACATGCACGGCAGGCCAGCCTCCTACTTTCACTACACAGCCTACTACTAACAAAATTATGGAAAACCCTGGTAGCTTATTACAAACATGGGCCTATTGTCAGATAAATACAGAATCTGTCTTACAAATTTTTACAATTTTTACAAATTACAAACTGATATCTTTTTATGAAAACATCAAAATAATGCAAGTTGTTGATGGGCCATAAAACAATACAAAAACAAAACTAAAACTTTAAGATATGAAATTTTAACCATCACTCAGACACACAAATGGTTCAAATTGTGTGTAACTTAGTTTTTTTCAGTTTGATAATCAACAATGGAAGATGTACTAAGGATTTCATATAGTGCAAGAGATCCCATAGGGACCTCGGCGCCTTCAACTGTTTGATCTTCAGTTATTCTTTAAAAGTTGAATGTTTTCCCTTTTTTCCTCTTGTTTGCACTTAATTACAAAACATTTCATAATTCTTTTCCAGAAATAGCAACAGTAATCTTTTGACTATCAAAAATGGCTACATTTCAGCCAATTTGATTTTTCAGTCAAATCCGACAACTAGGATCCAAGGGGAACCTACATAATAAACATAAGAATGCCTTGTCAAGAACATCTAATGAAACAGCGATAGGAAAAATTGTTGAAGACCAGACCACAGAGCTTGCAGTGCAAATCTGAGAAAAACAGAAAATCTACAGTAACAACAATCACGTTTAACCACATCACTACCAAGGTACCACCTCAAATAGTTAAAACATAAAAACTTCAATGACACTCACAAGAAAAACTAAGAAAGGAATGTGATTAGGCACAATGGACATTTATCCCCCTACATGCCCTGGCTGTTGAGAACTCTCTCATGGGAAAAAAAAAAAAAAATGAAAAGATTTTCACTGTTATATCTCATATCTGTGAAGTTAACATCAAATATATTTAAGGCATGCTATAGAAAGAGATCTATAATACAGGCTAAATATCACTCAATATCTCATTTGATCTTGTTTGGAAAATTAAACTTCATGTCTTTTACTCTTACAGTCCTCAAAGTTAAGGTAATTAATTTAAGCAAATGTTTCTCCAATTAATTGACTCATTGAATTTGAATGAAGCAAACCACTACAATTGTCATGACCTTAATCTTAAGCTTGTTTATTATAAGGTCTCTGACAGAATTGCTAGTCTCATTATTATATAGATTTTCATTTCCAACCAGCAAATTGTCCAGGGGTCACCTAATATATTTCATCATCTTTATTTTCTTAATATAACAAACAAGTACCATTTGGAACGAAGGAGTGTCACATTCCTAAGTTCTTTACCACCCAATAAAGAGTTATGGTGCTTAGTCACCTTCCTTCAAATACAGAGTTATGGCCCTTTATCCACCTGCTATATACGCAAAGTTATATTCCTTTGTTCATCAGCATATATTTACAGAGTTATGGCCCTTTGTTCACTGAATATATAGAGTTGTGTTCACTTTTCATTACTTTGTTTTTAACATATCATGCATGACGACGACTTAGGTTTGAATAAGTGCCTTTAAATTTTACTTTGCAATCTTAATTTCTTGTTCAATGTTTATTGTTTCAGGGATAAAACAATATTTCCTGACTTACTGAGCACTATCATGTGGTCCACAAAAAAATCAGGCCAGCAAGTCCCAAATTCATGCAAAAAAAATGATATGAAAAAACAATGTTATAAATTATTCTTCAATATAAACAACACTTCTCAAATTTGTAAACTCTGTACATCAGAACTTTGAGAACATATCATACAAAATCAAAATGTAAATAAAAACAAGTGATAACAACAGAACAAAAATTAAATATAGATAACAAAGTAAAAGTCAATACTGAGTTAACAAAACATGAAACTGTTTTCAATATAGTGATACAGTCTTATCTCCTGTATATGTATTGATATTCAGGTATCATACAAGATGGGAATAGATATCAAAGGACATATTGGCTGAAATTTAATGATTCCCCGACGAACATGATCAAG